CTGACTGAGACCCCGCCGCGCGCCCTGGGGGGCTATGTTGCGCTTTTTGCACTCCCAGGAGACTAGGGAGAGGGAAGTGACGTCAACGACACAGCAAACGCAGATTGGGTGTTGATTTCGTTTTCTTCTGTCAACACCCAATCTGTGTTTGCTGTGTCGTTGACGTCACTTCCCTCTTCCAAGTCTCCTGGGAGTGTAAAAAGCGCAACATAGCACCCCTGCCGTCGCCCGGTGTGTCATCCTTTCAACGCCGTCGTCGTCATCTTGCATACTGACCTTTCTACGCTGTTCCCGTGTATGTAATCTGTAATCACTCAGCCCCGATAGTTTGCCGCACAATTTTGGGCGCAAACGAAACAGACGAAGCCGAAACGGAGGAACGGGGAAGGGGTGGCGTTCCATTTACCCTCGACATCAGGAGAAAGAAAACAAAAACTTGCAGTTTTTCCATTTTGGTGAAGAACTTGAAGACCAGCGAAGCTGTACTATAGTGGGAAAATCTCAAGGATGACGTTTAGGACGACCTCAAGGACGACGTTAGGAGGACATCTAGGACGACATCTAGAACGACGCCTGAGAAATTCAGCCTTTCCACTCTGGTGAAAACTAGAGTGGAAAGGCTGGAAAGGTTGCCGCCATCTATGAGCGAGGCCGGTAAACCGGTTGTTTGGTTGCCGCCATCGCTCATAGATGGCGGTAGCTGTCCAGAGTTTTGTGTCGACATTTCTTTGCGGGGGACACGATCCTGGGGAAACTACAGCTCCGCTGTAAAAGTGTGTTTCGGCGCTCGCCGCAGCGGAGCGCCCGTTACATGCCTCTTCTTTATCCGTTGCTTGTCGCTCTTTTCACTTTCGGCGACCGCGTCTCGTGACTATATATCTGTCAGGCTCTGTCAGTATAGGGGAAGCTATGGCCTGGGATAAACCAACGAGCTTGAGTCTTACCTTAGAGCGGTAAACCGGAACCCACTGCCTGCAGCGGAAATGGCACCCCCCCGGTTGCCGCCATCTTGCCTGTTTGCCACATTAGTGATCACGTGACGTTAAGATGGCTGCGCCCAAAGGTGGATCAGATCAGATTGGCCAGATCGCGGTCAGCAGATGGGCACTCTGGGGCTGCGTTCGAATCTTACTCGAATGGCGCCGAGTTATTCCGGCGGATCAAGTCACGTGACAAGACAGATGGAGCAACGCTGGACGCGGGTAGGTTTTCGAACGCAACGGGTACGAGAACTTCACCCAGGAGTGATACAGAAACTGCGTTCGATTTACTTGCACCTCCTGCACCGCCTGCACCGGTGCAGAAAAGTGTGGGGCGGTGTACTTCCGGTCGTATCTCAATACATATACCGGAAGTAGACTGTCCTACACTTTTCTGCATTGGCGAAGGAGGTGCAAGTTAATCGAACGCAGCTTTGATCTCACTCCTGGGTGAAGTTCTTGTACCCGTTGCGTTCGAAAACCTACCCGCGTCCAGCGTTGCTGCATCTCTCTTGTCACGTGACTTGATCCACCGGGATAACTCGGCGCCATTCGAGTAAGATTCGAACGCAGCCCCAGAGTGCCCATTTGCTGACCGCGATCTGGCCAATGTGGTCTGGCCCACGTCTGGGCGCAGCCATCTTAACGTCACGTGATCACTAATGTGGCAAACAGGCAAGATGGCGGCAACCCGGGGGGTGCCATTTTTGAACGCTGGTTTACCGCTCTAAGTTTACTCAAGCTCGTTGGGATAAACCCACGAGCGACTGATACGTGGTTGTTCTTGGTTTGTTCGGGGCACCGTTGCAGCCGTTCAGGCGTTGCAGCAGCGTATGCACCAACGTTAGCAGGCTCCAAACAAGAAACTGGTACACTGCGTAGTGAACCTATTTATTAGGGATGCCGCAAACTTCTTTTGAACCAAAGTTTCGATGATCTAATCAAGCGGTTCGAAAAGTTCAAAAATTTTCGCATTTTCGATCTTTCTATATCGAAAAATTCGACGGAAGTCGACATTTCGAACTTCTTAAACTAAGAAGTTCGACGATTTTCGAAATTTCGAACTTCGCACGTTCAGAAATGCAATGTTTTTCAAACCTTCGAACTTATTACGCTAAAAAATTCGATCCTTTCTGAAGTTCCGAACTTATTACGCTGCAAAATTCGATGCTTGTCAAACTTCCGATCTTGATGAACTAAAAAGTCGATGATTTTCGAACTTTCGAACTTCTTGCACTAAAAAGTTCCACACTTTTCGAACTTTCGAACTTCCTACACTAAGAAATTTGATAATTTTCAAAGTTTCAAACTTATTTATTTAGAAAATTCGAAAATTTTCTAACTTTCGAATTTTGAAAAGTCAAAAAAGTTCGACGCACTTCGAACTTTTAGAGTAAAAGTTCGAAGTTCGTCAAACTTCGAAAGACCTGTGGGTGGTTTCATTTGGATTCAGGCAGTGAGGTACATTCATACTTCTTTTTCCCGAATTTTTACATGCGGTGTCGCATTCATCGCGAAAGACAATGCCATTTATTTCAACGTTCTGGCATACTTAGTTTTAAAGAAAGAAATTCCCGAAGGAGTGAGGAAGGACGACGGGTTTTTTTAAGATTGTCGTTTGTGCCATATTTGAAGCGTGGTATAGGAAGTATTCACTGGATGCCATATTTGTAGGTGCTGTCTAGAGCGCATGCTCAGAACGAGCCCACATCAATAGGCTGCTAAGACCGGCAATCTTGAGGGTGCGGAATGCACGTTACAAAAGAACTGTGGAAGCTCGCCATCAGCACGCGCTCAGCATTCGCGCACACAGCTGTGGCCGCCAGTGAATACTCCCTATAGGAAGTATTCACTGGCGGTGTTGACCGCTAACACCTTCAAAATAAAAGTTCTGACATTCCTGTTATTTCCGTCGATGAGAAATCCTTTGCTGATGTCATAGTCACCATTCGGCCAATCGTAGCAGGCCGACCACAGCGACGCTTTCGATCGCTCACGTCGCCAATAGCCAAAGCTATTTATGGTAGAGATGTCAAACTTTCTAAGAGTGATATATGTATAGCTTACGTAAGTGTCTCGTAAGATATGATTATTGTTATCCACGATGAGTTTCGAAAAAATGTCCAAACATGAATCTGCGGGCAATTATGCCCTAAACTTGGTAATTTGTTTTGTCTACATTTTTCGAGGTATCGCATATAAATTAACACCACAGGCAGTACATATCATTGCCCTCTGTAGAATACAAAATAATGTTTTTTTTGTTTTTTTTTTCACGTTGGGGAATAAATTATATCACGGGAAAAGATTTCAAATATTGTTCAAAGTCACCACGTAATTAAAAAAAAAAAAAAAAGCCTTTTTTTTACGTTTTTGGAACGTGTTTCTTTTTTTTAGCCTGTACACATCTTGGTAGGAGTAAAGCTTGTTTCGAAGTTCTGAGCCAGCACTTCCGGCGGGTTCTGGATAGTTTTTTTATTTTTTTTTTCGTTCCAGCTTTTCGTGCTTGCATTTATTGTTATGTTTAATATATATATATATATATTTTTTATCAGTGGCACAGTTATTTAGGTCGAAAAGACATAGCTTTGAACTTCCGAACCACTAAGGATGTGACGAGTAGTGCCTGTAAAGGGGGGAAGGAGTGCTGGAGCCCTCCCCCCCCCCCCCCCCCCCCCCCCCCTGTTCTTCCTTTTCCGACGCCACTGGTATGGTAGAATGCTCCTCGACCTGGAGTATAATAATAATAATAATAATAATAATTTTATTGACACTTCCAAGGGCGCAGGTGGTGGTGTGCGGAGCTGAACAGATAGGTGAGAACCCTTACGCAGAGCGCCTGTCAGCCCACCACCACCTGCGGGTTTCTGTGCTTTTTGCTCGGCGTGTCCTCCGTCCCGGAAAAATAAACCTCCAGAGCAATTAATTACAAAGTAGACTTACTATATCACTCGGGCGGCGTTCGATCGGAATTAGTCTCAGCGTGCAAGGGGGTGGAGACTGGAGAGGCACACCTGCCCGCATCTGGCCGTTTCGAACTGGATGAGCATCATAAAACAGTGTGTTCGTGTGATCACTACTGCGTGATGCACTTTAAAGAGCCCCCCCCCCCCCCCCCCCCCCCCCCCCCCCCCCGTCTCCCCCGGGCTGGCGGTCACAATTACTGATCTATGGCCACACGTCACTCTGCACTGGCAAATATTGCACCACATCCGGGACACTCGTCGTCTCATTTAATTGCCTGACCAACTTCGCGCAGCCTAAATATCACAACCGCACTTTTCTAAACCTGATTTCGTGAAAACCAGTGGGACGTGAAAACGTTATCTGAAACTGAAACTGTAGAGGATCATGAAAATTGGACTTCCAACTTTGCGAACTTTGACTTAAAATAAGTTCGAAATATTCGAAGTTTTTTCCCCGAATATAGCTATAAAAGAGAGCCGAAACCTTCGACCTTCGTGCAGAAAGAAATTCCACATCTTCGATTTTTCGACCTTTTTCTATAAAAATTCGAAACTCGAATTTTCGAACTTCAGATCAAAAGATATTCGAAATCTTCGAGGTTTCCAACTTCGACCATCGACCTTCAGATTCAAAGAAATTCAAAATTTTCGAATCTCTCGCATTTCAAGCTAGGAAAGTTTGAAATATTCGTATTTTTCTTTCGACTCCCAACAAGTAAATAGATGTTCGAATAATCGACCGCGAACTTTCGAGTTCGAACTTTTCGAACTCGAAACTCCACAGTGTTCAAATTTGCGAACTTTTCGATTTCGAATCTTCTACGGTCGAAATTATCGAAATGTTTTCGATTCGAACCTCAGTTCGGTTCGCCGGTTCGCGACATCCCTACTATTTATATTTCCTTTACCAAAGACAAATAGATCAGCAAATAATGTTAGTTATTATCTAAAATATTATAAGTTACAAGATGATACAGCTTTCTATTTTATAACAAAACTAATTTCATTTAACGGCGAGTTGTCATGTAGATTAGTCGATTCAATCCAAAGCAATCCCAATCCACTCCTCACACACATGGCCCACATGGCTCTGGCAGCTTAGGTATCAATCGCCGACTTATTAGAGCAGCGCGGCGTAATTCGTTACTTTTTCGAGTATAGATAAACATGACTAAGAGTAAAAAGAAGGAGCTCACTGTCGGCGACGACTTTGAAGTGCCCAAAGGAATGCCCAAATCGGGTCGCTTCTGGAAAACTGAAAAGAAAAGGTAAGCAGTGCATCAGGGATGTGCGCTCTTCGCACCGCTCTGTGTGCTACCGCGATTCAATGCTTTATTCGAAATTTTCCTAGATCGTAAGCTGAGAATTGTGGACCGCGCGGGCGCGTGCTCGTTCCATGCTCAACTTGACGGCACCAGCTCCCGCTAGCAACACAAAGCGCGTGCGAACGATCTTCTGGCCGTTGCCATTTTCAGCGTCCGTTCGTATGGCGCGTGCCTTGCTCAATTTCCAAAGCCACGAATAAGCGCGTGCTGGGCTGTCGAGATCGCACGCTGGGATGTGGGTTTGTAAACATTGGAAAGGTGTGTATGCCGAGCAAGTGTTGCAAAATGCGTCTTTGGCGCCTTTGAACGCAAGGAGGGGCACGCGAATCAGAGGGCAGCATAGTACGAGAATGCGCGATGATGAGGCAGCTAAACGTGTGTCGCCATTGGTTGAGGTCGGAGGAAGCAAAAACACGTGGGCTCATTTGGCGCGTAAGCGAGCGCACGAAATGCGCAAGAAGCAGATTAACTTGCGAGGCGTATTAGCACGCGTGAGAAAAATGAAGGAGAGCGACGACTTTCCAGGTTCTCCAGCATGCGCCAGGACAGGCCCTTGAAGACGTCGTGGAAGATAAAACAGCAGCAGCGAGCGGAGAGGAAAGCGCTGCTGTCGCTGGAACGTGAGATCAAAGAAGCACGGCGGAAGGAAATCGAGGTAGGTTGGTTGGTGCAACACTTGGAAGAATGAATCGTCGATGCAGTGCGGCCAGACGGTCTAAAGTGGGCACCTCGTCCTAAGGAAAAAAGCCATGACGACCACTTTTACGTCTGTTGAAACCTGTCATGTTTTCCTTCTCGTTTGTAGAAAATCCGCACGAGCAGCTTCATCCAGGGAAAATGTATTCCAATAGCTTTATGTCCGATAAATGATGTTCCCCACTCCGTTTTGCTATAAGTTCGACCGCAGTTGGTGCAGTGATCTGCTGGAACCAATCAAACAGCACCAAAAGTGCATTGTCATTGTGCTCGTCGTCTTTGCGCGTTTGCTATAACCGGCTAAACCAGTTGTGCACACCGAGCGCACCGTGATCCTGCCCTCTTCTTTGTGTGTGTGTGTGTGTGCTAGCAAACGCACAAAGATGACGAGCACCCCGTGATGATTCCCTTTTTGTACCGCTCGACCTGTTCCACCGGATCAAGCTTCGGCTGCACACGGACTTACGAGCTAAACGAGGTATTGATAGCACGGCCATCGTGCTAAATTTTCGGCGTCATCTAAAAGAGGTAAACGCAGGTCCGGATTGGACACGAGTGCTCCCGGTAGCGTTCGGCCGGGGATTATGTCTTCGCTGAGTGGAACGGGTCCCAGCCTAACGCTAATGCAGCCCCCGTGTCTGCTGTGTGCCTTGCATCTGCTCCTTTTAGACGCTGCCGTAAATTCGGCGCTATGGCCTTATATGGGAGGTGGTGCTTTAGTTTGGTTATGATAATGATTGCATGAGGCGAAAGATTGGAATAGAACGGGTAATTTTCCCTAGGTTCTAACCCCTTTTTGAGACCCCGGCATAGGTCCAAACTTCGTGTGAGCCTTCGCTCGGCACGAGGGCCCGCAGTAGGATTTGGTGTCCCGTGCTGGGCACCAATGCTTTACTGAAAGGGATATTCATACATCCGTAGTCTGAAAGACCCCAAAATCCAACACTAAATTTGCAACAAAAAAAAATTTTTTTCCAAAAGTTATTGTTAAAGATTATTGTGGGATTTGTATTAGGATTAATTTTAATTGTTTTTGTGAGGCTGGTTCAGATGGCAGTTTTAAGTTTTTTTCATTGCAATTCCATACCTTGCTAGGTATGGAATGGAGCCGCTGAACTGTGATTTCAGATTCACTGTAATCACTGCCTGTAGTAATGTGTTTTTCTAAGTTGTCGGAGGCAGTCTGGCAGAACCTGGCAGGCTTAGATTTCAGAAGCACCGTAAAAAAGGCAACGATTTTGCAGTTTTGTTAAGTTTGTGTGTTTGCTTCCAAAACGGGTGTATTCATGTAATGCAACCAATGCCCGCCTCATTATTATTGCCCTGTGACAAGTCGGTGGAAAAAGGTGGCGCAAGCACAAACTCAAAAAGTAAACTGAGGCGGAAATGGTCTTACGATTATAATTTGTTTTCTTCAGTTAAAAATAATTACCTCCATTGGTGATCTTGAGTCGGGCTATAGTGCCTGGAATGTGTCTCTGCTTGGTCTGTGTACCGCATCGTCATAAGTGGTCCCTTGATTTCCGCTCAGTGGATCAGAAAAGCGTCACGCCGTTTCTTGCCACGATTCTGGGAGTGATATGGCAACGGGGGTGTGTGGCAAACTGCTGCAGGGTTGCTTTGCAGCCAGGCAGTCGCTGGAGACTTAAGCAGCCAAGAGTTGGGACATTGCAACCGCAGCGACTCTGTTGTCTGGTCATCTGTTTCGCCAACATTTCTATGACCTACCGCCAGGATCGCAACGGCACGACACGTTGCCGCCTGCGATGCAATTTGTTGCCACTCTGGGACCGCTTTTGATGTGTGGGCAAGGTAGGACACTAGACGCAGCAGTTGACAACATACTCCAGGCACCATAGTAGCTTTTCCAAGGAATGTTTGGAGAGAAACCAAATTTTGATGAACTGGTTAAGTGCCCATTTATCCGCTGTTACGACAACCCGTGTACAAGGTGATCCATGATGGCTCGCTCTATTTGACGAGTTTACCTGCGGCGAGTTGACTGTTAGCGAGTTAACTTGAGGGTACATTTAATAAATAAATAAATAAGTAAGTAAGCTGTTTGCTAGCTCTTTTAGACACACTTTCAGCGGGGACTCGATTAATGCCAGGACTTGCGAATCTTCCACTTTTTTTTTGTCCCCAGCATTCCGTCTTCGGCGAGCCTTTCTGCCTTAGGAGGGGCAGAAAAGACAGTTTTGAGTAATGCGGATTCTTGGGCGAGTTGGTACTGAAAACTTCATTCAAAACTTGTCAAGAGAGGAATTGTAAATTTGTGCTTTGTGAACGCCATCAGAAGGTCGTGTCATCATGCGATGCCTTCAGGTCTGAAGGAGCAGTCAGACCGCTTGGTGGCTGCCGGTTTCCCGGGAACGCTCCTGGTGTCGGTTGCAGAAAAGGTTTTAAAGAAGCTACGAGTAGTAGCGAGTCCAGACCAGGATGTGGCCCAAAAGAAACAAAGAGTGGCGGTTGTGCCTTACATGCACAAAACGGCACACAATTTCAAAAGGATAGCAAACCGCCCAAACGCTCGGGTGGTTTTTTCTGCACCCGAAAAACTTGCCAAGTTGTGCAAAATGACGGACCCTTACCGCAAACCACCGGTTGGCTGCGTGAAGAAGCATCGTAGCCCGTTTGTAGATTGCGCAGAAGGCGTCGTTTATGAGATCCCGCTGACGTGCGGTAAAAAGTACGCTGGACAGACGGGAAGATGTCTAAATGACAGATTGCGCGAGCACAACCTAAAAGTGAGCGGACAGCGTGACGGTCATTTGTCGATGCACTGCCATGACTGTGGGTGCAAACCTGAATTTAATTTGTGCACTGTCATTAGAAAATATAGAGATAAGACGGTAAGGGAAATTATAGAGGCGGACCTGATAAGAAACTACGGGGATCGATGTGTCAGCGTGGCGTCGATCGATTTGGCCGACAAAAAGACACAGTTCTTGCGATCAGTGGCGTGGCTTGGGATTGCTTGAATGGCGCGATGATGCAGAGTATTTATACCTTTGATTTTCTGACGATTAAACCAGTTGAAGTTAGCGCATTGTGTTGTCTCGTTCCTGCCCTTCGTCCCTGTCGTGAAGCGCTATTATGTTCTCCAAGACAGTTTTGAGTCTGTCTTAAGATCTTGAACTTTAAGACAGTCAAATTCAATGGCAGATTGACTCCCCACTGTACTAGCACCCATGCAATCAAGTTGTCTGTCCAACTTTAATTAGATGGAATGCAGATTGAAGCACATGGCAGTAACAAAGAAACTGACTGTCAGCAGTTCTTTCCTGGTAAAATCCGCTCAAACAGCCCAAAACAACCGAGAGCAATAAACCCAGCTGAAAATCAACAATTAATTTGGTTTTTCACTGTGAAGGTCTGCCACTTGCTTGAGAAATCTGTGACTCTTCACCTTTCTTTATTGTTTTCTCTAATGTCCACAACTTGCCTTCTTTTCACAACCTCCACCAACAATCGATGCTTATTCGAGGTGAAATTGTGTCATTTCAGGAGAAGAAGAAACGAAGAGAGGAGAACCTCAGACGGCGTGAGGAAAATGCCAAGAAAGCAGAAGTTGTGCAAGTTGTAAGTGGTTTTTTTAATGCCTGTTTCTTACCGTATCGGAAGCTGGTTACACACATACACCAATTTAGTGTACATTGTTTTGTGAATTAATGTTTTTTATAAGTGAGTTGCATTAAGCTATTCTTCTGTCAAACAACCTCTTTTAGTGGCCAAGCACCTCACCGGTGGTTTGTTGGCACCTGTTTCATGATCAGCCCAAGAGAATGTTTTCTGTGTGCCAATCATAGTGACAGCCTACAGCAAGAATGGTTGCATCATTTACCTTCAACAATTACGGATGAGTATGTAAGGCTCGTTCGATTTACTTGCACCTCCTGCACCGGTGCAGAAATGTGTAGAACAGTGTACTTCCGGTTTGTGTACTGAGATACGACTGGAAAAACACCGCCCTACACTTATCTGCACCGGTGCAGGAGGTGCAAGTAAATCGAACGAGCCTATTTTCGTGTTGCCAAACAGTTCCTAATGAAACATCACTGCATTCAAGAAGCATCGCACAAAACATTACCCAACAAAACAGTGATCAGTTGCTATGAACTCTAGTTAAAGGGCAGCACTGCTAAACTTTTTGCCATAAAAGAAACCATGAAAAAATCTATGCAGTTTGGTTTTGGGTAGTCTGCAAAGGCCAGCCTTAACGTGATGCTGACATTACTTCGAAATTTCCACCAAACTGGGTGTCGAACGCCGTCTTGTGAAATTGACTGGTTTAGCGGGCGACGGGTGGCGTGACCGTCACGAAGATGGAGGCATTGTCGCACAATGCTGTCAAACAAATCAATCGAATTGGTCATTAAATGTTTAGACAGCGGAAATTTAGTACCAGATTATGGCGTTATTGTTACCCACTTAAAGGGGCACTGACACCCCAAAGGTCATATTTTTTTATAGTCTAAAACGGTGCAAATTACAGTCATAGACACACAAAAAAAAAAAAAAAACGCATCGCGAAAAAAAAATTTTTTGCACGCGCGCCTTTTTATTTTTGGCGTTTGATTCTTCCACCTCTCGCCTCTTCGCTTCTTTCGATTCGGGACGTCTAGAATCATGAAATTTAGAAGCTTTGTAGGCGACATTTCTATAACATTTAAAAACGGCAATCAAAAAACATCTTTTTTAACGCAATTGCGATCGCACTACGGCCCTTCTTTTTGAGATGCCAAAAATCGGAGTCCGTTGTGGTGCCGTCTCCTGGATTTGTATCCTCCCGCAGAAAACAGGCGACACCGCTCAAAACCGGTCCGCTGGCGCTCGCTCCTTTCCTCCTCGCTTTGGGTCGCCATGGCAACAGTGGAGAGTCGTGAAAGAAAGTGGACTCTCAGGACTCCGCAATATTTGACGTCAACGCACCGGCGCGGATCGCGCGGGACCTTCGAATTCGGCATTTGGAAATTGTTTTCTTACTTCACAAATACTGAATTCCCAAATTTCGAATGTTGAACGCAATGTCCCGGCATCGTTTTCAATTGTTTCGGATAATAAAAAAAAAATACAATTTTGATGTGTCAGTGCCCCTTTAAGATGAGAAATGTAGCGAATGCGGTGCGACTGCTAGCCTGAAATCTTTAATGAGCATCACGCAGTAGTGAAACATGACTGCACGCCAGTACGATGCTCGTCCAGATTGGAAAGGACAGGGGTGGGGATTGAGTTTAGCATTTCTGAGCTCTGCAGCGTGAGCTCTTGCACCACGTGCTCCGAGCTGTGGTGCATTAAGGCACTCGACCACCGATCCAATTGTGATGCTGTCTAATGCCAAAGAAAGTATCTTGTGCCATTGGCTGCTTACACATACAAGCCTTCAGTTTCATTTGAAAAGTTTGCTCTTACTAGTGAACATTGGGGACTGTCGACTGACTGCGTGTAGGTGAACCGTGTGCCGATGTGTTCTGACTCCTTCCTGACAAAGCGCAACAGAGATTGCTTACCATTTTGTTTGCAGACTCTGGTCTTTTGACAAAGTTTTGCAAAAAGCCATGCTGTTGACCCAAAAGTCACGTTGCATTTTGCCGTGCATTGTTAGCACGATGAGAGTGTTGAAAATTTCAAGACATGTTCAAAGTGAAAGCCGGCTTCTATGAAAATTTTAAGCAGTCACTCTCGTGCACATATGCGTGCCAGTAGGCTTGCATAGGAAAATAATGAATGTCGCAGTGTGCCACCTAGCAGGCATCTTCGTGGAGAACGTAGTTGTATGCCAGTAAATTGTGGAAGCATGAGGATTTACAACACATTGAGTGCAGGACACTAAATGTCTAGATACTGCCAGTATTGAATATGGCACATTTACTGCATACTTTGAAACATCTGCATACCTATTGTCACTATTTTTTTTCTCCTGTACAGTGTGCCTTTTAAAACTTGTTTACGGTGAGATGTACAGTTAATATTTTCAAAAACTGGCTTTATATTAGTGCAACCTGTCATGACAACTGCAGTAGAATGGTCACAGTTTGATGCAGCTGAGCTTGTGATGCTGACCAAGCTTGGGCAGCACCAGTTCTCGGGGGATCTTGCGATCGTGGTTGTGCCACATTGGTGCTTCCCCTTGGAGACGAAATGAAGGCAGTGTTATTTGCCGCTACCGAAATTCTGGTTTTTGTTTGTGAGCACCTTTTGAGGAACTTGCTCAAAAAAAATTATTTGTTTCTTTGCAAGAGAAATGAGAACCCTTCATTACTACTTTTCGAACTGTGATCATGCATAGTCACAAAATCCCTCTAATATAGTATTAGTATGTTCTGACCAAACTTTAGGGGCACTGAATAACACTTGTTTACACTGCATGTTTAAATTATGACCGCTCTTTATAAAGAGAAAAGTTTATAGTATTGCCAATCATTCAAGAGATGACAATTAGTATGTATGAGCGAGTTGGTCATGATTAGCTTTCTTACCCACATTGTCGCATTCCACACACCGAGTTTGTTGTTTTTGTGGAAAGCACATACGAGTACAAATTTTTTGAACTCATGAAGTTGGACTGACCAAGGCTGGTTTGTAAAGATATTAGTGTATGCTTGGAAGCTCTGTTAGTTAAAAATTATAAGCTAGTAGAAAATATGATTAGTAGTGGTGGTTGCTGTATGGCTATGTCAATGCTTGTACACCGCAACCCCGCTTTGCGGTTTATCTGATCAAGGCCACCAAGAGTGATAAAGAGCAAAGAGAATGTTGTGCTACTCTCTGGAAGATCAGAAAATTGTTTGAAAAAAGTAAGAATGACAAGCTTAAAATTCTACTCAATTTTTTAGGTTCTCTCTCTTTCTCTCGAGTACCTGAGCTGTTTATACCTGAAAATTGAAGTGAGTTGAGATATAAAAAAAGGCGGGGAAGGGGGGGAGGAGGGGGAGGGGGGGAGGGGGGGAGGGGGGGGGGGGGTTGATTTCTCTCTGGTCTGATTCAATTCGAGGCATGTATAAAGCCCGAAATTGGCAGACCCGACCTGCACTGAACTAATGTATGCTTAGTCTGAGGATAAAAGAGGGATAATTTTTTGAAAATCATTTTTCAGATCAAGAACATTGCCAAGATCAAGAGGATGTCGAAGAAGCAGCTGAGGTACATCAAGAAAGCGGACACAACGGTAGTTTCGAAGGACAAGCCGAAGTGATGGATGTCTGCAGATATTTGTACAGATTTATTTGTAAAATAAAACGGCCTTCCAACATGTGACACATTGCTTCATTGAAGATAGATTATGTAGCATTGTATCTGTGGCATACCTCTCATACTGTTGAAATATTGCGACTGGCACAGAAATTGTGTGGAGACGTAAAGAGCACTGAAGGCTTGAACAGTGCATAGGAAGCTGTGCCCAAATGATTCAGGTTTGCAGGCTCCACTTTGGAAGTTTTTATTTTGTAGTAATAAGCACCAGTGTTTTAAGGTAGTGAAGATGTTCTAACAAAATATTAATGTGACAAAGGAAACCTGTGCCACAACTGGGGCCACAGTGTAGGAATTCCAGGAGTCATTGCACAACTTTGTGCATAGAGAGAAAAAAAAAGTGAATGTTGAGAAGAAACAAAAACACTCATGAGAAATGATTTTTGCGTTACATTTTTTATTAACATTCTCCCATTTGACAGAGGTCGGAAACCTCGCAAATGCCCCGAAAGCAGAAGACGCTCTTTCGCTGTGGGTGAGGGATGGGTATGTGCACCTAGGAATACATTAAGGGTGGTTCACCATGCAACTTAGACATCTGGGATGTGATAAGTGGTTGCCACACAGTTCGTGCATTCAGCCAACATACTATTTTTATAGTTGATGTTTCCCTGTCATATTTTGTGTGGGGTTCCTCAGCCCTTTTGTTTTACAGCAGCTGCAGATGCCAAATTAAGATGCTAATGCTTTTTTTGTTTTTTACTAATCCTAGTGTCTCAATGTGGCAATGTCTACAACATTTGGTGTGTCAACTTTTGCAACTAGCAATCTGTCTGGGAAAGCTAGAATTGTCGAGGCCTTGGTCCCATGGCAGTCATTTCAGAAAGGTGGTTTGCAATTTAAATTTTCTTAAGAAATGTGGAAATGTTTATTTCATGATGACTTAGCTGACATTTTCCTTGCATCTTGGGTATTAACAAAGCATGTATGATACTTTGTATAAGAGTGAAACGGTGCCAAGTATTGTGCCTTGCTACACTTTAAGTTGGTTACAAACTAAATCTGCATGTCTAAAAATTACCTAAAAATAGTTGTTTCCTGCATACCTCTGGTGATACATAAAAAAAAAAAATGTTTTAAGAGAATTTAAAGTATGATATTTTATCTTGATAAAATTAAAAAGAACTGTACCATGTTTACAAGCTCTTTGCTTTGCTTTGGTCCTTGACAAGGCTAACAGTTCTGAGGAAAAAAAAGTTGTTAAAAAGAAAGGAGTCCTAACTTTATCATTCGAAGGAACAGTACAGTCCAATATATGTGTGTTCCTTGAGAGCTGAACATTATGCTCTTTGACCACTTCACTGTGCTGTGTGCAGTTGAGCCCAATACCTGGAGAATAAAAGCCAGAAATGATACTTCAAAGTTACTGGACCTTGCCCAGGAGTGGTTTGCACTACTGATGGAAGGCCATGCACCCTTTCCCCCTTCGTCATATGCTTTTTCCTTCAGCATTTCTTCTGCAGGAATTGCACCGAGTACATCGTCAACCTTTGCTGTCATGGTAACTGTTCAATAAAAAAAAAAAAAAAATATGGCATCAAAATCATGTTTCTCAAAGCGACTTTTGTGCCATATTTAAAAGAACTCGTCCCACGTTTTAGATACCCTTAAAAACTAGTGGAGAGACTGGGTTTGAGGATTTATTTGTATGAAACAATGAATGCCATTAGGAAGGAGATGGAAGCAGCTTTGTACGAGCTTGGGGACAAAAATAAAGGTCACGAAGGTGAAGTTTCGGGAAAGCGATCGAGTGCCTAGTGGTGCAGCTCGGTGAAATTCACAACACCTTGTCTTGTCGGTCGAAGGAGCGCTTGCACCCACTCATGTCGTGCCTATGCACAGTTCATACCGAAACCACCCGAACTGGCGAGCTTAGAAAAAGGTGAATTCTGCCAACACGACTGAAGGTAGACTTACACTGAATACACAACTCGGCATTTTTTTGTTGGATGTTGTTTTTAAAAGGGAAATGCCCAAAGAGAATTCTGCTTCACTTCGAAATTTGAACTGCATTCTGCTTCACAAGCCAATAGTACCCGCCCTTCATTATCTCTGTTTCGATAAGGATGAGCATCGCATTGGCTTGCATTGTGTAAGTCACTACTGTATGATGCATGTTAAAGACCTCGGGTTAACAGTCAAAGTGCGATGACCAAGTTGCCTATTTACAACGGAGACACCACTTCCTGTTGTCTAAGTATGAGGAACATGGTATCCTATACTCCGTTTTCACCTTACGATGGGCTGCGGGGGATGCTTTGATCCATCAAAGTCATGCAATTCAATGCTGTGCAAGTGTCACGTGAGCTTCAGGATGTGTGAAGTGCATAGTCACCACGCAACACATTCCCAGTGCTGGAGTGACTGGGATGGCTTGTAGCATTTGCTGGGGTCCGTCATGCGATGAAATAAAATATAGTTGCACTTTGCTCTACCAGTTGCTTCGAACAAATTGGGAATTACAAGTCACCAGGGCCGTACCCAGAAAAAAATTTCAGGGGGGGGGGGGGGTTTCGGGGACAATGGCGGCCATTTTGAAAGTGTCTATTGTCTTATTTTCGCCTATGAATCATGTGCATCGGTGGCATATAATGGAGAGTTACAGCAAACCGGAAAACCGGTCCCGGTTTGGTACCCGGTAGCCGACCAGCGCCACTGCGCGTGCGCAGAGGTGGAGATTAAAATCGGCTGGCTGCCAGTGCACCGATCAGGGCCGTACCCAGAAAAAAATTTCGGGGGGGGGGGGGGGGGGGGGTCAGAACCCCCTATCCCCCCCCCTGGTTACGGCCCTGCAAGTCACAGACTCAAAATGGCTGCCATGAGACTGAGCCATAGAAACAATAACAAATTATAGAGTTTTAAAATTGCAATGCAGCTCTTGAGACACCCCTGTCTCAAGAGCTGTCCTGATGAACAACCCAGTAGCGTAGCACTCCACACATTGAAAAGATTTTAAAATAGTCCTGCGTACGAGACATAAGAACAATGCTCACAATATGCAGATAAACATGAGCCCATTTGAAAAAGCACCGAGAAGCCAATTTGCCCATTCCAGGACCATGGTAGCCAATTTCAAACTGAGGACGCCGATGCTGCTGGCAAAACGCCCGAGAGCAGCTCCCATGCATGTTTTTTGCCAGATGTCACTCCTTATACGAGAAACAGAAACGTGCCATTGCCAGTTTATCAAACAGGATGCAGCCAACTTGCAAACCTAAGGTGGCTCTTTACGGTAGGAAGTTTCTTTGCACAGGGTAGAGGTACGCTATGCGCAGTAGCGGGAATATTTGACTTGGATGGCTGTGGAGCACTTTTATACTGTCGAAGTTTTAGAGCTGTGTTAACTTCCAGCACAGGAATACAGACAGGAATTGTGAGGAGTCTCCCAATGATAACTGGCTTTTTTGGGACACATTTAAAGTGTGGAAAGATGTCAGGTTCTTTGTAGCTTACGGGAGTATTCACTGGCAGCCATAGCAGAGTTCGTGCCAGCTGTGCGTGAGTCGATGGCGAGCCTCCTTAATACCTCTGCAATATTGCATTCTATGCCATCAAGCTTGCTTAACTTGGCAGCCCATAAGTGTGAGCTCCAGAGCACGTGCTATGAACAGCACACTCAAATATGGCATCCGGTGAACGCCTGCTATAGGAGTATAAAAGTTTTTGGGATAAAAATGTGAGGGAAAAATTTAATGGAATTGTTCACAGGTGACTGCAGTGCAGATGACATTCAGAGGTGCTCGTGCAACTCTAAACCACGCTTTTCTTTGGAGGGCACCTTATGAATGCTTCTCGAGAAAATGTGCACAAAAATGGTGCATTTGTCTTAAAAACAGTCCCTCATAATATACATGGTTAAGCACTGAACACACCAAGTATGATTCAGTACAAGGCTAACACTCATGTTCACCGACTGCACAGTTCTAAAGCCTAGCTAAGCCCTGTTGTGCTCGTGGACGTGCATGCGAGCTGAGATGCTATAAAACATGTTTAGGAAAGAAACACAAGTATAGCACAGCATGGACATAACAGAATGAGATAGTAAGTCTTAAAAAGCCTTGGCGGTTATCGAGGCTCATCGCCTTTGTGGTACTTTGTAAGTTTTTCATTTCTTTGAAAGATCCCTACCATTGTTAAACTAACAAAAAAACATTTCTTTCAATGTCATAAAATTTTCATGCACACATTAGGATGCCGAGAGCACAAAAATTGAAACGTTGAGCGAGAATCACTTGGTGCATCGTCAAAATCTTGCAGATAAACAAATTTAAAAAACTTTTTTGATGCCGAGGAATTTGAAGAACTGAGAATGAACGATAAAAGCCAGCCTGGGAGTTAAATCCCCGAGGAGACGCAGAAATACACATCACACATGGGCTCTGTTTAGAAATGGATGCGACAGTAGCACACCGAATTTAGAGGGAACCAATCGCACATGCCCAGTCCCTCTGCCTCATTCTCTTCTACCCCAGTCACAATTGTCATGTCTCAATTCCAAGTACTACGGTCGCATCCAGGCATCCGAAACTATATGGGCTTGTTCCTGGATTGGCACACGCTCGTGCAACCAATTCTCTCATAAAAATGCAAGCACACATTGCACTCTTGGGTGCTGCATGAGTCGAAAGACCATTTATGGAGCACATATCACATTCAACTGCCCAAAGCAGCCAATGACAATTTGCTGCGTCGACAGGTGGGTGCTGCAACTGAAGCCACTGGATGGCATTTCGGAAGAAAGCAACGTGCATTTCACATTCCTTGCACAGTTAAACACGCATTAACTTCCATCATACTCAATCAATGTTTTAACAATCACTGCAACAATGATTTTCAGGATGCACCAATAAGCCCAGCAACATACTTAACCACCTGCACCAGGTTCTTCTTTGAGGATCACTAGTGAAGTGAATTTGATGTAAACGAGACATTTTTGAAAGTGGAACTCTACCTAAAGGATGTTCTGTCTACGTTTCACTAATGATCACAATTCGCTCGTACTTGTGGGCCTGTGCCCAAAATTTATTTCAGTTATATTACTTTGTTAGCTGTCCTCACCCTAACAACACGAGGATGACACTTCAGGAATCAATAATGAAAGCTATGACCTAAGCAATATGCTTGCATGGGCATGTGTATATCAGTAAAGAGAAAACATGGCTGAGGTATACTTTGAAAGATGGTCTGTCGACCATATCTCAGTCATGTTGGCGGAACAGACTAGTAGCGCAGACAATGCCCGTGTTTCAGTTTGGCAGCCGAAATGAAAGCACATCTTGTCTCCCTCAAACTGCATCCAGTGGCTCCAGTGCGGTGCACATGACCTACTCATCCAAAATGCTAAAGATAGTAATCTGTGGCAAAAATTGTCTAGAAAACGTCTAGAAACTCTGGAAAAAGGGACAACTTCCCAACTTTGACACGAGATTCTTCACTGAGAGCAGGAACCCCTGGGGTGTCTTTAGAGGCAGAGTTGTCTGTTTACTCTATGAGCTGCGATGACATGCAGTACGAGGCACAAAATGAGGTACCGGTCAGGACAGGAACTGGGGTTTCCAGAGAACTCTGGCTGTACTGCAATGCTCATCCTGACATCAACTGCTTGAAATCACCAGCATCTATTGTATGGTCTGGATGGTGTGTCTGGAACCAGATTCCATTGCTGCGATAAAAATGTGAAGCCACCATGTTAACAGTACTAAAACCCCTAGACCTTTGCCATGCCAAAGCTGTGCCATGGCAGTGGCAAGTTGATGGCTCAATTCAATGAATATGGTTTAACAGGACAGACTCGAGTGCAATTCGGGAGACAAGATTAAGACCAGTGCTTGGCGTCCCTTGGGACCTAACAGCGGCGTAGCACAAATGTAGCCGTTGCGTTGACTAGCAGACGCAGCTGATGCTCAGAGGACGACGCAGCAGCGGCAGTATCGTGGCCTTCCACCCCCGACAGAGGGAGGAGGTGTGACAGGGGCAAAGTAAGCGTGCACCTTGAGGTCCAGCAGATGGCTCCGCAGCTTACGGATGCCCGCGCGCGTGATCAGCTGGCAATCGTAGAGCTCAATGCGCTGTAGACTCTGACAGGGCACAAGGTGTTCAAGCGAGGCATCTGTGATGAGCGGACAGTTGTCCAACTCGAGCACCAGTAGATGTTCGGCGGCTCCCGCGCCCGCACCCAGATGGCGGATGCCTTCGTCCGTCACCAGCTCGCAGTGGGACAGGCTGAGCTGCTGGAGTCTGGGGCAGCCATTGGCCAGGTGGAGCAGGGTGCTGTCGGTGATCAGCACGCACTCTTCGAGGTCCATCTTCTCCAGCGCGTGGCAGGAGCGCGACAGCGCCTGGAACCCGCTGTCCGTGAGCTGCGTGCATCCGGCCACCTCGAGCGTGCACAGTGCCTGGCAGCCCTGGCTCAGGGACACGAGCGACGCGTCCGTCAACTGCGCGCAGTTGGAAACGCACAGGAAGTGCAGCTTGGGGCAGTGCTGGCTCACGCACTGCACCGCCGCGTCCGTGATGTGCGTGCACTCGTGGAGGTTCAGCGTCTGTAGGCCGCCGCAGAGGTTGGCCAGCTGCGAGACGGCCTCGTCATTTACCAGCGGACAGCCCTTGCTGATGAAGGCGCGCAGGCGCCCGCAGCCTTGCGCCAGGGCTTCCACGCCGTACTTGGAAACCTGGTCGCACCACGAGATGTTGAGATGCTCCAGGTTGGGGCAGCCCTGGCCGATGGCCCGGAGGGACAGGTCCGTCACCTGGCAGCAGGAGCCGAGGTCGAGCACCGTCAGCTTGGAGCAGTGCCTGCCCAGGCTCTGGCAGGTGCTATCGGTCAGCTTCTTGCAGCCGTTCAGGTTCAGGTCCTCGATGTTGTTGCAGTTCTGCGCGAATGTCTTGAGCGACGCGTCCTCGACGCTCTGGCAGCCGCGCAGGCTCAGCTTCTTGAGGAAGCCCCCGCAGCGACGCGAGATGTTCTCGACCACGGGGCCCTCGATGTCCGTCTGGAAGTCGAACAAGTCGATCTTTTGCCAGTTGCTGCCGTCCAGGGCCAGCTCGTGCCACAGCCGGGACACCTGAGCGCACGAGCATAGCGACACCACGTCCAGGTACGAGAAGATGCGAAGCAGCAGCTCCTTGGGGAGCTTCTTGTTGATGAGCGCCTCGTCGTCCGTGACTCCCCTCAGCTCCGCTTTGGCCTTGGGCGTCAGGGTCATCACTGGGGCACGCCTGCTCGGGCTAGGCCGGCCATGTCGCCATCGGACACCTCTTCTCTTCGTTGTGGCCGATCCTGATCGCGCCCCGCGCAGTTCTTGAGCAAGCTCCTTCTCGCTGCACCTCAGGAAGCAACGCAGTACCTCCTCATCGTTCGCACGTATATTGACGCAATCGGTTCCCTACGCGGAAGTGGTAGAGACTGCGGCAACAATTCCCGAGTAGCGTTTCATCCCGTCAGCTTACTAGAAACGGGCAATGATGCGACAACTTGAATGTAAACAAGGCTCGGACTCGGAGAGCGAGGGGCAGGAGGTCGGCGAGGAGAGCAACGAGCAACTGCCACAACAACAACCGCAAACAACATACCTACAGAAACAACGCTGTTTCCTTTCTAGTTTCCCTCCTCATTGATAGATGGCGAGCGCACGCGAGTAAGTAAAACATTAATAATTGTAGCGGTTATTGTTCATATATATATAAAAAAAAGTCGTATATTCTAAAAACCAAACAAATAATGTTTCAATTGTAAAAAGTAGTTTTGTTTCCGTAACGCCATCTGGTGTGGTGGTGGCCTTTTATGCTGTATTTTGTTGTGATATGACGTAACTCATGGAGTCGGATCGATTCTCTGCCAGGGGATTATTTACGTCATGATAGTAGCCAAAATTCTAACAATCATCGCTAGGGAATTAAGCTTTCATTTGCGTCACTGAACTCGCCGAGACACAAGGTGAGCTGTACGTCTCCTCCTGTCCGTTGTAACCCTGCCGATAGCGTTCCGTCTATGCTTACAAATCGCCTCCCCTACAGTCGCTCTCATGGACGCAGCAATCTCACCGACTCGCTCCATTCACGAACGCCTCTTTGGCTTTTAAGCGCGTTAGAACTCGTCTCGAGCGCTTTCTCGTCGAGTCGACTTTAGTTCTGTCGCATCGATAGTTGCTCACGAGCGGCGCTTTGCTTGTCGCCGCAGTTTGCAACGTCGAAAGTGGGTCACTGCTAGCCTCTACCGTTCCCCGACGTCTGGCGAGTCCTCTCTTCGGCTGCTGCCTCTTCCGCGAACGTTCGGGTAGTGCACGCGGCCTACCGCTTTTCTCGAACCGTCTGGGCTCGTGCCTCTGGAGCAGCGCAAATCCGGTTCAGTCGGACATTTTGTCTACGCGGGCAGATATTGTCAACACAACTCAGTCCCCGACGAGCCGCAGCCGGGAGCCCCAGCCAGACTCGAAGCGGGAAATGCCTCGGCGACTGGCGGCTTCCTTAATGCCCCGTTACGCTTCAGAAACACCGTGTTATTAGAGGAACGAGGAGTTGGGCGAGAGCAAAGCCTCTGCTACGAGGGGGGAACAGCGCAGGGATCAGAACAAAAGGTGGCAGCGCACTCGTAGGCACTCGGAGGAGGCGACAGTCATGGGAAGGCGGGCGCCGAGGGAGAAAGTCGGGGCTGCTAAGGGGGAGGGGACGCCGAATGACCTTCAGCGCCTCGGAAAAAGAAACATTCTTCTACGGGTGCCGGCAAGTCTGACTCGGGCCAGTCAGCTGCCAGTAAGTCCATGTTTACGCTTTCTTGAGGAGCACGCATCGGCACTGTCTTTGGTTCGCAGTGCTCGCGTTGTCGCGTGGCCACAGAAATAGGGGGAAACTACGATTTCCTTTTTCGCCGCCGCCGCCAACTCGGGGCTAACGTCGCAGCCTTGGAAGTACGGCGGCTTGTTCGGATAGACGTTTTCATGTGGGCATTTCGCGGCCGCGAAGGGCGAAGCGGATCTTTTGGACGCGATAAGCGAACCAGCCCCTTTGTGAGCCACTTGTATGTATACTCATGCACGCCCTAAGGAAGCTGGAGAAGTGAAAAAAATAAAAAAATAAAATAAATAAATAATAAAATCACAAAAATAAAACTGGGCCCTTGGCGAACGTGACTGCGCATCTACAGCTCATCTGTCAGATGTTCATCATATTGCTCGCGACGAAGCACTCGTGTGAGAGCGGGCACTGTTGCGTATGATTAGAGCGTAAACGTGACAAGTGACACGCGTGTTGTTTTTGGAAACTTAACGCACTGGAATGTGTGCCATGCTTTGCTTATATTTATTTTTTTAATTTTTATTTCAGTTGCAATTTTTTTTTTTTTTTGCAGGGGTGTTGTGGTGTAATGGTCTGGAGGTAAGGTGTTTGCCGGGGTATATATCAGTCCTGTATACCTCCCTCACAGCACGAGTCAAAGCCCCTTTAAAAGCTCCTATCTTATCGGGGGGCAAACAGTCTTTTGTCCAGACTTTCTGGCAGACTCGTGTTCAGGGCACACAGATAGAGAGCAGCGGATCCTTTCCCCGAGATCGAAACAAATATTATAAGCACCAAATCTAGCGAAAAAGTAAAAATAAAATCGCTTATAAGTTGGTGAAAGTGCGTCATACAGATATATATTCATGGGTGTGGAGCGTAGCAAACATTTGCCTATCAAGCGAGGCGACGGAACAAGCGTCAGTCTTTATCGTGTCGTGCTTATCAATTCCCGAGTCCTTTCTGTTGACTACCTTTGGAAGCAATTCGAGGAAAGCAGGCTGTTGTGGTACTTACCTACCAGTGTGTGAAGAATTGAACCACATTTGTGTTTAGCATGGCAGCAATGGTACTGCAGAATGCATTTTCAGGAATCTGAATTTCATAGTCTGCTGCCAGTCTTTTTTGTGCCTAATTTGTTTTTGCGATGAAATCCTGATTGATTGTCAGACACCAAGTATGTGCATGCCTTTTGAGTTCCAAACAATACCATATTTGCTGATGGGGCAACTAGGAATGACATAGCTTATCTTCCACCTTTTTCATTGAGGTACATTTTCAACAATGGCACTCATGATTCATATGATAGATTTAATTTTTCTAAGGAGATGAAGTCTCTGTTGTACCCTATTGCACTCCAGCCAGGTGCATGTGGGTGGGTGAGTCTGAGTCGTTTATTTCAAAAGTTGTTTCAAATTCTCTTCCGGGATGAAAGTTGGTCCACTTCTTTCCTGCCCAACATTTCTTCTGGCTAGGCTGGGTCAACTTGGGGAGTGTTGCGGTAGTCTCGAGAACAATCTCCTTGGGTTATGATGGAACAGAGTTGTCGTGACTGGAGTAGTTGGCACGTATAAAGTTGAACCTGATGTAAAATGCCTGCGTAAAAACTGTTTGGAAGTGTTTCACATGGCAAACTGTTTTGCGACTCAAGTAAATGAGTTATCTATTCATTTAGCAGAACTTTGCTTTGAGTGACCAGTCAGTGGTGGGCAGCTTCCACAACATAATAAAGCCGTGGTGACGTCTATAGAGCTATCGAGACATTATCAACAGCGAATGAGGTGTTCACTGGTAGATATCGTGTCAGCCTCTGCAAGAGAAACTCATATAGAGGACTGAAGAGCATTAATAGTGTGGATAAGAAATGTGGGTCAGAAGCGGCTGCCTATCTTTAGAAAATTAGGTTCGCTCTCTCTTCACTTCTGTTTCGGCGTTGGTTGTTTTCAGCAAATGGGCTGCCTTCCGTCGTTTGAGAATTCAATTATTTGCTGCTCAGGGTAAGGGTGAAAAGTGGAATATGCTGCTACTTCAATCTGGCATGGCAACATATGTCAGGTGGGTGCGAGGCCCAGCCTGGGAGGTGTTGTTCGAGGCACCTATCAAAGTTAGTTCGTAACTTGTCGCCTGCAGTAGGGCATGATCACTGGAAGTAAAGTGTGTGCTGGTGCTCTGACTTTTCGGACCGAACCTTTTAAATCATTTGACGACAACCCTCCCCTCACCCTGCACTAGGTATTTCTAGCCAAGCAACCAGGTTCACATCCTATACATTCATGAGTCAGTGAAAGTTCTAGTATCACAATTTCATAACAAATACTTGGATTGATTTTAAATTCGCTCATACCAATAAAATAAATGCTTTATTGTAAAAAATAGAACAAAAAACAAGCATAAAACAAGGTCAGAGTAGCGTGCACCACTGACACATGCTTTCTCTTTGTTCTCATTTTTGCATTATTTTTAAAAATTTCATTAACTGCCAGCTTGCCTAACTTGCCACCCTTTTATGCTTTTGTTATTATTACTCTTGTGTTGTTTAGCACCAGTCCATATTTGCTTTTAGTCTGAAGAGTATGCATTTGGGGTGCCTTTCGTGTGCAACATGAGCTTCGTTGGTGTTCTATCTTTGGTACTAAGCAATGAACATACTATAAACTGCAAGCCCCAACTAGAATTAAGGGGTAAGCACTCCTGTCTGCTTCCCACAGTCTATGGCTGCTTCAATATGGTGCAACCCCTGAGCATCTCATGACCCCACTTTGCACACCCCAAGTGTGTTGCCACCGGGGAAAAGGTAGAAAGGATGGAGCCGAACCGTGCCTGCTGAGCTTTTCCAACAGTGAGAAGCAGAGCGACCTCGGTATATAATCCGTGCAGCTGCTTACGGGACTTTTTTTCTTTTCTTCTTTTTTGGAGGCACTGGATTGTAAAACAATTTTTAATCTCTGGCTGAATGACGCTGGACGTAAAGCTGATGCACACTGAATACAAAATGTACTTTAGAGTTTTGTTTCACATCTTAGCTTCACATAGAAGATAGTACAATGTGGAGCAGCAGTTTTTCTCTAAACTCTGAGGAGGAGGACCATGTGCGGGGTGAAAATGACGAGGTGACGCGGAGAAAAATTAACGCGGAGTGGACTCGAGCCATGGTTACCTCGTCTTGTGTCGCAAGGAAAAAACAGAATTATGATTCTTCGTGACACAGTAAATGAATGGGGATTCCTCAAATAATAATTGGCGTCCGCAAAATATAAAATTTTGTGTATAACTACCGTAAAAATCGGCGGCAGTGCCCACTTCGTTCTGGCGCCCGCTATTGACATTTCCTAAACTTGGGAATCCTGCAAACTTTACGCTAAGCGCCCGATTTGACCGAACAGGCACCCATGTCTAGATGAACCCAGTTTGCAGTGAAAGTGGGGGGTGTTCTTCGGGTTTTTTACAATAGTTACGTTTTAGTGTGCCCTTGTCACCTTGCATCAGATACATATAAAAAAGAAAACAAGAAAAAACTGCATTTCATGGTGGTTTCGTGGATCTTGTGACAAATTGTCTTGTTCGCGTGTTGAGAGTATGGAACACATTGGCTCCTCTGCAGGTCGTTCTGGTGAAGTGAATGTTTGGAAAGCTCACCGCAGCCTTTTTTCCATTTGCATTGAAAACAAGGTCATGACAGTTCCGCCTAAGTGAAGGATGATGGAGATAGTGCCATGTCCGACACAGATTTCTGATGAAGTCTAGCACATCAGGTTGACCCTTTTATGGACATGGTTGAGTTCGGCATTGACAATTTCAGCTTGCGACGGTAGTCCTGCGCGAAGGTGGAAAAAAGCAGTATATGGGGGCTTTCAGATACTTGAAACCAAACTGCTATTGCTAAACACCAATAGCAGTTTGGGTTCGGATATCTGTAAGCATAAATTAGTTTCCTCCATCTTCAAGCAGTATATTGAAAGTTTTTTTTTTTTTGTGAAGGTCATTAACTTGTAGGATGAATTTTTATGCACCATTCCTGCCCTTGAAACTCTGATTTTCAGAGGGCTCTATGGTCGGTGATTGGCTAATAATTCGGTAGAAGCCCTGCCTCCAGCACGAGCTCATTGCCTTCCTCTGGGCTTCGGTTGTGCGTGCAACGAATTGCTATTAAGTGCAGAAAGCTCGCATGGGAGGTGGATCATCTACTGAATTCTTAACCTGTCGCCAACTACAGGAACATTGTGCTGTCAGTAAAAATTGGCAATCAAGGGGTATGTGAGATTGGTGTCCACAGACCATTGCTGGCATTTTGCTTTTCAGACATTTTCCTAATATATTATTTTAATACGGTTTATTCCTGTGCACTTCCGGATTGCAATGTGCGTGCAGAATACAGTGGTATATGCATACAGTGAAACTTATAGGGTCCAGATTTATTTATTTTATTTTTAAAGTACATCTATGAAATTAAATTTTTGACCTAAATAAGGTAGCTGTTTTGAGAAATGCAAAAAAAGGGGGTTTCTGCAGTTTCAGGGTTATTCTTTTGTTTGGAAGTTGTTTTCCTTTTCTTAAGTGTCTTTACAACTTGAAATTAAAAATTGTTTGTTTTCAAGTCCGCACGCAATCATTATTCACTGTTTCTCGCTGTGCTTCTTCAAGGTCTCTAGAAAGACTGTTTGTTTATGAAACTAAATTGTACAGAAAACAAACATATATGCTCCATCAATCAATCGTCAAAACAAATTTCATATTCTGCTTCTGGGAGGTGTATGTGGCCAGCTTCTTGAGCTCTTTTTGCTGTATTATCCGCAGCTTACAGAGGCACCTCAAAATTGTGACTCATGGCTTCAGGTTTTTGAACAAGATTTCCATCATAAATCATATTTATAGTAAGTGCCCCGACTGGCCAAACTAGTTCTCTTGCTCTGCATATCCTAAGAGGCATGCAGATATACTTTAAATTTTTTAGGGCTCAATATTTGAGAAATTTTGCATAGTGTAGATTTTTGAGAATATTGTGCAGGCACAAAATCTTGTAATTGGGAGTAGTATGTTGTGTATTTATTACCATAAAGTGATAAATTCACATAGTCAATTTTTTGTAATGTCTTTGAAGCCTTGAAATTCACAGTGGTGTCAATTATTACGGTACTTTATAAAAGCCAGAAGAATTTGCAGAGTATATTGAGGAAAAATGAGGGTTTCGCTTTAGGAGTCGGAATCGGGTAAATTTCTAAAGTGAAAACGTCGCCAGAACGCGTGTTTCGGATATTTGTTTTGTTTACTTACCTAGTACTGAATCTTGTGTTTTCAATGCGAAGAGTAAGAGGGTGTGGTTCTACGAAATAATTCGCTCTCCGAGTGTTTGTGCGAAAAAGACGCTTTCGGCAGCCACATTTTCGTGTCTTCCTGACGCTGCACAGTGCTCTTCCATACCTGCCAAGTCTCCCAAATTGTCCGGGAGCCTCCCAAAAAGTGGCTGCCGTAGGTTTTTTTTCTTTTTTTGACGCTCTATTGCTACAATCATCACGCACGTGTCAGTGCGAGTTACTCAAGAGTAGGTTTAGATTACTCCGGCGGGTTACCACATGTCAACTCGGAGAAGCAGCATGAAACGGGGGTAGATTTTCGAACGCCAAGGTGCGAAACCTCTACTCCCGAGTGTGTTCAAGTGCATTCTGGAACACAGCTTGTATGATCGTGGCTGCGCTAGGCTTCAGGCCAGATTCACGAAGAGCTTCTTAGTTTACGACAACTTAGCTAAGAAGTTCGTAAGTTAAGAACATCGTAAGAAGAGGAGAAATCGGTATTCACGAACGCGTTCTTAAGTGAGAGGAGGAAAGCGACGTTGTCGTACGGAAAAACTAAAAGTTACCGGTGCTGTTGCTATGGCGACGGCGTCTTCGGCAGCACGAACAACCAATCGGAGAGCTCGGCATTTGTTCGGAGTCGTTCGGAGCCGTTCGGAGCACGTGGATTTTTCATAACAAACACAGGCGGCCTTTCTGCCACCGCTGGTCTGGGGTTCGTATCCGTGCAGTGATATGTCGACGCTAACCCGATTTAAACTCGTCGGAATGCCGAGGCCGGGATGCGTAACCACCCCCATTGACTGCTGCGAACTCGATCGCTACCAAGTCAACACAACTGTCATCGCGTTGGTAAAAGACGGCCCGCAGTCGCTTGCAAAGCGACGTAGAGGGGAACAAATTGCCGCGGCGTTTTTTGCGGCTTTGGAGATGCAGGAGCGAGCCGACGTTAAAAAATATACGTTTGAACTATGACAGTGTAAGCAAGAGCCACGTAAATGCCTGTTCACACTACGGAACGGACGCGCGCGTTTGATCGAAGTGCTGGATTTGCGCTGTTGGACCGCGAATTGATAAGCGCTTCGGGACCGATCCTTTACAATTGCAGCTCGATGCTGACGTGACACCCGGCGAAGAAAGGTTGGACCGGCATTGCGACCCACGAACTGTTACAGCGATCGACTGTGAGGTGCAGTCGTGTCAGAATAAAATGGAATACTAATAACAAAATGTACATACCATGTTGCGAAGGTAATCCATACGGCGTTTATTTGAGCTTGATATCACACAAAACAGAGATAGAATCGATGAGAGCCCCTTTTCGACAACAGCGTTCGTCACCGTTGCCTCGGAAAACAAGGAGATGACAAGAGGAAGAGGTTGACCTCTTAATCTAGAATTGAGGTCAGCGATCAAACTATAATACGGGAAGGGTTCAAAAGGGTCGCGCGGGCATATTCCATTCAGCACGCCAGCCGGTCGTGGGCAGACGGTCTTCGCCAAGGACCGTCAGATCATCGCTGCGCCGAGTCGGAGTGCCTGCTAGGCCTATCTGCCGATCGGTCGGAGTCCGTACTCGTGGCCCTTGGAGTTTTTCGCGGGTGTCTGTGGATCCAGCGTTCTTGTTCGTTCGTCGTGGTCTGTTTCAAGTACTTTTTACTTGTTTCTTGCTGCTTGAAGTCGGGACGCGTGAGAAGCGCACGTAGAAAAATAAACATCCGTTGGTTGTCGCGACCAAATGAGCGACGCTGTCGGCCATGCCGATTTGATCGTAAGAAGTGCGTAAGACAGCTTCGGAGCTGTCGTAGGATTTCGTCGTAACCTGCGCAAAACTTACGAAAATTTCGTTTCGTGAATACGGATTTGTTCCTAAGTTTTGTCTTACGCACATTTTTGGCGTAAGATCGTTTCGTGAATCTGGCCTTTCGCTCCGTCAGGTCGTCGAGTAACGTGCGGAACGCCGAACTACCCCATGTGTTTCCCCAACGTTCAGTTTGAAGGATCGATGGTGCTTTCAAAAGCCAAGAAATACTTGCAAGTATTTGTGATATCATACCCGACTGAATTTCCGTGCTTTGTCACTTCGCAGAAAAGTGACAAGTATGTATTCTGTACCATGTGCGCATGTGGTGTGAACGTTTTGCACGGAGGCAAGGTCGACATCAGGATGCACATCGCTTCATAAAAGCATCAGAACTATGTTCGTGCCGCAGATGGGCAAGGCAGCATCGGCAGTTTTGTTTTGTGAACAGGAGTGCCTGTTCAAAAAATTTCTTGTCAAACTAAAAGAGAAAATTCGCACGCACGGCGGGCTTTCGAATTTTTATGTTGCTAGGTTGGCAGGTACGCTCTTCAGACGGAGCTTAAGCAGTTTTGGATACGTGGATTGACATCATAAAAGATGGAGGTATGGTGCCTGGAACGCAGCTTCGACCGGTACGCTCCTCTACTGCCCATGCACCGAAAGTGGCTTCAAAGTGGCAACGAATTGCGTTACAGAAGCAGCCGCGTTATGTGGCTGGATGTCGCGATTCCGGCGGTTGGTCGTGGAAGTTCCGGCAAAAAAGAGCAGCGAATGCGAGCGTTGCCGACACGGTTACGTCCCAGCTCCTGGCTGCCGTGCTTCGAGAACCGTGGTTTGAGAGTGACCTGCAGCAGAACAGGCATCTGCCACATCCACTACCACTGCTGCGACACCGGCAGGATCACAGTGGGCAACAGTGCGACACTATAGTCATTTCCAGGCTAGGTGGTGCAAGCTACCGCCCATTGTAAAGAGTACATCCATTAGCATCCATCCATCCATCCATGACAAGATGAGACTTGTAGGGCATCTTTTCCGAATGCCTGGCCTCCTGCATGTGCTCGTTGCCCTCCTTCGCTCTTTGGCTGCGGGTCCACGCTCGAAGCACACAAGAGGTCAAAGTGTCATCGAAGGCAGGAAGCTGGCACTGGAGGCGGGACGACTGAGAAAGTTCTCTGCCATTTTCGTCATGTCGACAACTATAGTGCGACGCCGTTGGGCAGATGTCTCGAGACCACAAGTGAGGACGTGTAAACACACCGGTCGGAAACGCGCTCCGAGCACCGGGGCGGGAGTGAACGTGGGACCTAAGAAGAGCGACGTGCGTCTCTCCACTCCCCAGGGCCCGGTCCGCCGACATGGAGGACGGGAGTGAGGAGCCTCTGCCTGAGACGTCTGCCAACCTGTCAGGCGGCCAGTGGAGCTTCACGAGCATCTGTGGCAGCGACGCATACCCGATGCGGCCCCTGGTGGCGGACGACCCTTCTCTGGTGGTGCCCTTCCCGTGCCTGCCCGGCGAGGGCTGCGAGTTCCTAGGGCGCACGACCCGGGGCTGCGTGGCGCTCTCTTCGTACCGGCTTTTTCTCTCGGGCCCGGACCAGCACCTCAACCTGCCCCTGGGCCTGCTCGAGTCCCTCGAGTGCAGGGACATCTTCCACCTGCACCTCAGCTGCAAGGACGGACGCTCCTTCAGGTGGGCTTGCATTCCCCCCCCCCCCCCCTTTCTCCCTTCGATGGGAGCTTCGCACGACGAGAGCTGCGGACGAGCCATTGCTTGCCCCGTAGTCTGTTGCAGATTAAGAAAACTGGGACAAGCTCCTTTAGCATGGCGAACGCTGGAAAGGAGTTGAGTGGAGAGGAGGCAACCAGCAATCGTGGCGAGCTGAAAGCTTTGTGTGGAAAGGCTTGTCTCGCCTTTCTTAACCTGCAACAGACGATAGCGAAGAGTGGGGCTGTACTCTGTTTTAGCTTAACTTGTCAAATAGTAATAGCTACGGCCCCGGAAGACCAGACTGAGTAAAGCATGTGGCAACGCGCCATCGGCATGCACTTCTCCAGTGGGGAGCTGTTACGTACCCCACTCTGTCCGTCCAATTGGCTCGCCTTTCCCCTTTGCGAAGCTTTTCCGAAACGAAATTGAATGCCGCAGTTGGCCGGTTCAATCCGATACTTGGTAACCATTTGCAGTTCCGTGGGATTTTCGTGTAGCAATCTTTGCTGCATTGCGGAAGGCCATTGTGGCATTTAAAGGCTCTTCAAATGGCACTAGTTTTCGCTGTCAAATACGAGAACTAACCTGCTATTCTCGTCACTCACGGGATGGGAACGGCAGGGAAGTGCTTCAATTGTCCCGCCTTGAGCGTGGCCTTTGATAACTTTTTGGCATCTCGTGAGCTTTGAGCGTGCACGCATAGCCAATATGTGACGCAAAGCAAGGAGAGTGTGCTTTATGCCAGGCACTCAAAAGTGATGCCCTTCTCATCCCATCCCCAACTATTCGCGGCGGGAACCACGCTAGGGGACACCATTGCGCAGCACACAAATGTCGCGTGATACCGGAAAGGTGAGGATGCCGGGTTTGTTTGCATTGCATGAACCTGGAGGTACAGCGTGATCGCTTGCCTTCGGATGCAGCGCGGTGGTTCGTTATTGTTATGTTATTGGTGGCACAACATACACGACCAAGAAAAGTGTAAGGTTTTACTCATATCTAAGGAAAAAAGAACTGTTGGAAGTACGAGATAATGGCGCAAAAAGGCGTGGATGAGCGTGACGCTGTGCTCAAAGCACTTAACAGACACTTTCACGACGAATTGTATTGTTTTGTATTACATTTTGCTTTTGTTCGCGAGTCTTTGCTTCATCCTTCGTATGGATTTCACTGGCCAACTTGAATCTGCTACTCCGCCTGTCCTTTTCCCCCCGGACCTGAATTTCTTTCTCAACGTTATCCGTGTCGCCAGTCGTGTGCGAAGTCGAAAGAATAAATGGCCTTCCTTATATCGTCCAAATAAAAGGACACTTCTGTGCTTGTTCAACAAATCGGGTCGCGAGGATCTCATATTCAAGCGAGTCTGGCCTTTTGTTACAATGCAGGAGCTGCGGTGTAGTGTTGTATTAAAAGTATTAAAAGTAATTTGTGCAGGTTGTTTCACTATTCGTCTACATGCAAAAACTCCATTGGGATTATTTTTCTTGTTTTTTGCTTTTCGCATAATAAAATGCACGGTGCTGAATGTTTATTTATACTCATTACTACGAGTGTTTGTTATATTAGACGGCTTATGGACAACAGGGCAAAGTGTCATGTAACGTCCCAAAATACTGGCTGTAATCCTAGGGTTTGTTGTGTTTTATTGACAGTAATTATAACTGGACCATAAAAGTACTTCACTTATGGATCAGATATAAAAAATCCCACAGCTTTCATTTTTTAAATTATATTACCATTACGGTCCTCTCATAACATCTACATCTGTGCAATGTCTCAAAAGGCTGTCATTGAACCATTAGCTGTCGCTCGTGTGATTTGCCAGTTTCAATGCACGATATTAACAAAATGACTTGTTGATAAAAAATAATTTGACGAAGCAATTTTCACTAAGTTTATCTTGAGGGAGGAAACCAAGACAACAACGGTGCCATTGATTATTCTCGAACAGAGTGGGACATGGAATTTCTCTAAAACTGTCCAGGAAAGTCTGAAAAATAGATATATATTTGAAATATTGGTGAGCTAAAAGTGAGCAACTTCACTGTGCTTTGCCCAAGACGTTAAAAAAAAGACACAAAAAACATCCCAGTTAGCATCATTGAAGCCTGGGATCAAGACCTGCGAGACACAGAATTTGTAATCATCTGCAACAAATGAAAAAAAAAAAAAAAAAAAACATGTTATAGAGAAAAGACAAAATGAAAAGTTGCTGGCGAGGCAGTGAGTCTGAACGAATGCCCATTCAGCTTTGAGAAGTGGCTGAGTTCTCACTTTGGGTTGTGCCGGGCTTCCGCTATTAGCGGCGAGATGTTTTGGTGGCGCCCTCCTATGGTTCCCCCTTGTGACGTCATTACCTTGCGAACAACAAGTTCGATGGTGTTTGTAAATAGCATGGTGGAAGCCTGAAATCATTGCGCTCTCAAAGCAACACTGCCAACACAGTCGAAATTCAATTTCTTTCATTCCTCTTATTTCCGTCGATGGTATACCCTTTCCGACGTCATAGTCAGCTTTTGGGCCAATCGTGGAAGGCCGACCACAACGACGCTTTCGGTCGCGCACGTCGCCAATATGGCGACACCAAAACTTCTCGCCGCAAATAATACCTAATGCAAAAAGTCTAAAAAAAAAATTAAAAAAAAAAAGAAGACCAGCATATAAGTTTTTTCTTCTTACCAAAGTGTGCTGGGCGTATATGTTGATTTATTAAAACAAATTCTACAAGCTTGGTCATGCTGACAAAGACTTGTAAGCACGGAATATGTGGTGGTAGGTCTTCCACTTATCGGCATAGGCCTGCGGGAGTCCCTGGTGAAGGCTCTTCTTGCGACTTCGACCATTTCTTACGTTCTCGATAAACTAGCCTCTCTTCTTTACTGTGGCCAAGAAGAGAGAGGCGTCTAAACGACACCGCCTCTCTACAAAGCAAGTGGGTCCAAGGTTTGCTCCCATTTCTGACAAATGCCGCGAGATGATACAGTATGACATGCCCACATGTGAGAGCCTATATTACAGAGAGTGTCAACTGTTTGATCGGGGCCACAGGGTTTATGGGCCGCGTTTGCAATGCAAGCTGTGAGGAGGTGATACATTTTTTTAATGTCTGCGAGCGTCTCTGCCTTTTCTCCGCAAGACGATGCGGCGCATATGCACTCGCAGCCAATCGGCACGGGAGTTGTCTGCCATCAAATTGAAAATGCTCCCAGTGGTTTCAGATGGACCCCCTCTACAATCTAGGCTCTCTGCCCACACGCTTTCAAGGCCGCGAGGCCTTGGAAGGGTCGGGAGGAAACGCCGTGACCCCGACCGAGCAGTTGGACACTTTCTGTAGTACAGGCTCTCTATATGTGGGCATGTCATGCTGTGCCATCTCGCGGCATTTGTCAGAGATGAGAGCGAATCTTTAACACACTTTTTTGTAGCGAGGCGGTGCTGTGTCTCTCTTCTTGGCCAGGGTGGCAGAAGATAGGCAAGCTTCTCGAGAACTGAAGAAATGGCCGAGTAGCAGGAAGAGCCTTGACCAGGTCAGTCGGTAAAGAACTTGGCTCACAATCTCAAGGTGGTGAGGTCCGATCCTGCCGGGGATCAAAGTCTCTTTTTACGGTTCCCAATGGGCGTAACGCTTTCAGTGTCGGTTTTTCGTCACTGCCAAACATTACACCCAAAACGTTACAGGTCTTCACGGAAATCTGCCAATAAAACACATTCTGCGTTAAAAAAAAAACAAAAAACAATGTTGTCGGGTTGCCTCAGGTGCTCGTTCGCCACCAACGAGGACTGCCAGAAATGGCACCGTCGACTCAGCAGCGCCCTCCAAGTGCCCAAGAGGCTGGACGACATGTTCGCCTTCCGCTTCTTCTCTTACTGCCGCGAGGAACGCTTCAACGACCTCTTCACCCTCCTCAAGAACGGTGAGCAGCCGCCGCTCGGAACGGAATGACGAGGCTAAACTGTGCAAGACTCTAGGCTGGGTCACATTGCTTTTTTCCAAGTGTGACAGAGTATGTCATACACACTGGCGACATCTATTGGGTAGCTTTGGAACCGGTCTATGTGTATATAATTTCAAATTTTTTAAGCATCGTTCCTTCCCTGTGGGCCTGAACTCATTCTGACATGTTACCCTCTGTTGAATCTCACTTTTTTTCATCTTGTACCTAAGACTTGTGCATTCTCCTTTATTTTATTTTGCTTTCAAATCTTTGGGGATAGGTAGTTATGGGGAATACTGCTTTCCTTTGACTTTGAAGCTCTGTTCTTTGGTTGGTCCATATTTTTGCCCAAAAAAGCAATTGACCTACAGTTTAGCGATTTGTTATTTCTATTTGAGTTTATGCTACGAGAGATGGAGAATACCTGGATTTGAGAAAGGTAACTTGACAATACGTAAACCGTAAAATCCCGAGCAAGTGCCCACTCGAAATTTGGAGAAGATTGTATAAAACTGAGAAATGGGGGTTCCTTAGGTCAACGATATTGAAAGGTATCTTCTTCGTGTATTTTCTGAATGTTACAAAAATTGAGTGGTGGGTGCTTATTGTGGAAGGAGTGGAGGCTCGGTATTTTACGGTAGTTGTAAGAGGGAAGTCAAGGTTGATCTGCATAAACGGAAGGCAGCAGTTCTCTTCCTTTGCCGTGGAAGTCTCGAACGACACCCAACATCTTTTCGGTGCCATTCTGTCGTAGAACCCACATGTCTTTTCTTTGCCACGACGGTGTACCAATATTTTTCCCTTCTTGTTTGCCTTCCTTCCAATGGCATTTAGACAAGCCCAGTTCAGACAAGAGGGACTCTTCACTGCTGTACCAGGAGTGCAAGCGGATGGGCTTTGATACCGACTTGGACGGCATCTGGAAGATCAGTAGCATCAACGAGATGTTCAAGTGAGTCCGGCGCCTTGCAGACGGCCATAGCGTAACCTACGCTTTTCCAGTTGCTAAAGAATGAACAACTCTTGCGAGTCACGGCTAGGACTCCGTGTTTTTTATGTATACCGATAATGAACCCCAAATCGGAGCTTTCCTCGAATGAGAAAAATCCAAGCTTCTAGAGCCGAAATCTTTATCTCCGGCTTTATCTTGCGTTGACCCGGAACACATCTCCCACTGAACTATCCAAGAGGCTGCTTCTCCCTTAGGGGACCACGCCCCTCATCTTGTTACCTTGTCTTATCAGGACGTTTTATAACTGCTCGGGCCTTTTGTATGTCTCCTTGGGGTTGGGCTTGTCCCATCTCCTGTCTCGTTCAGCATGAGCCCCGATAAGTGCTGGGTCTCTGTTCGGTTAAAAAAAGTGAACACAAAAAAATCTCTGCATATATAGACCAATTCATGTTTACAAACAAACCTGAGCGCCCCTAGTGGGCGCAACGACGCCGCACATGTGCGATGGAGTGTGGGCAAGAAGCTCGCCGTCCCGCATAAACAAAGCATTGAAATGCAATGTTGTCGGTGTGAGTCCCCGTGCTCTCTTTCGCATTGGAATTGTTGATTCTATGTCTTCCTGGCAATGTCTGACTAACTTGAGCGGCCTCAGCGAAATTACTGAGGCTAGTTTCACCGCAAAACTTCGCAAGAATAATGTGACATGTGGCGGTTCATTCTTCGTGGATGCCACACAATGGGTGCTAAAGCCCGATTCGCATGATAAAATTTCGCTTGCAATTTTTAGTCGCGACCTCGCTCGGGCTGCAAAAGCATGAACCGTAGCTGAGGTTGTCTACGTCGATGCTGAAAATCGCAAGCAGAATCGGACCAAGTGAATCGGGCATAACAAGTTGGTGATTACCACTGGTAACAATGATCAACATCTCCTTGTTATCTATTGTTTACACAGAGCCTGCTTACCCCAACCAACCTTCAAACTTAACCCCTTAACTGGGGGCGCATCTTTAGACGCGCATTAATTTTGACCGCAGATTGGGAGGCGCATCTATAGATGCGCTGCACTTTTCTTTGCCATTGGGAAGTGCGTCTTTAAACGCTCGCTCAATTTAGCGTGTGGGTAGGATGCGCCATCTATCCTCGTGTATCGGAAACATTTTTAGTTTTAATAGGATACATACATGGCAGCACAAAAAAAGGTTGTGTGGATGCCACACAATGGGTGCTAAAGCCCGATTCGCATGATGAGCTGAAATGTTTGGAAAATGGCGTCCAACAAATGCCAGCGCGTCCCTTGACCAATGAAGAAATCGCTGAGCTGCTGCAAAATACTCGCAAGGACAGCGACTGCGATGTTGATTTCTGGAGTTCAATGGAATGCTCCTCGGGATCCAACACGAAAATTAAAAGATGACACTACGGAACAATTGTTTATGGAAACACCATCAACTTCGGGATCTGCTGCGACCTGGCAAGTCGCCAGCACAGTGAATGATTCATTTTGGATTGTAGGAAGTGCCGTGGTGCACATCCAACTTGATATAAATAAATTTGTTTTAGGTTTTGAGGCTATTGTTATATTGTCGAGACCGGTTATAACAAAGTCAACCGGAATTGAAAATCACTTTGCTATATCCGTTATTTCGTTATAACCGACTTCGGTTAACGAAGTGCAAAAGGGAATGAAAAAAAGTGTTCGCTTCACTGTAGCCGCTATTTCGTTATACCCAACTTCGTTATAACCGGTCTCAGCAGTATCTTCAAAAACTAGAAACGCTTAAAAAAGAAACTTATTCTACTGATATTTTTGGTCAAAAAAGTCCCCAGTTAAGGGGTTAGAAGTCTTTTGAGGCCTGCACTTCTTATCGCAATTGCCGGGCCAACATTTGGTCTACGGGCCGGTGTTATCTGAAAGAGCAGACGACAAGCAGAAATGTTTGAAAACACAGACGACAGTTCAAACGATCAGGCGGCCGTTTGAACTTGAAGACGCACCAAACGTAGACCGCAGGTCTACGTTTGGTGGCTTGTACAATTAACGGTTTTACCGCGTTCATGTTGGAACAAAACAAATAAATCTGACGACCACAAGTGTCCGTGAATTCAATCCAAAGTGCTTATCGCACAAGCAATCGTGGTCCAATGGCATCTGGTTTTCCTTTTTCATGGCCCTATCCACATTCTCGAACGAACTGAGCAGGCAGAAAACACATAAGAACTGACCTTCAAACCTTTCCCGACTCTTTTGGCACAGTCCTAGTCGGCGGTGTTTTGACAAGAAGGCAGGTTTTGGTCTGGTTTCTTCCAAAAAAACTCAGGAATGTATGTCTTGCAAGGTGACTTGCGCCCACAGCCCCAGACCTGAAGTGCGCTTTACGCACCACCACCGCGGCATGACATAACAGAGTTGAGTTTGTGTATAAAAATAACCCCCCCCCCCCCCCCCCCCCCCCCAAAAAAAAAAAAAAAGCCCCTGAATTTGGCAAAAAATAAACCTCTAAAACACTGAATCCTGGTTATGGGGCATTTCGTTGTACATAGATTGGTTACCATTCACACACGGGGACAGGCTACAAAGCCGGAAGCCCAGGAAACCTTCCTTAATTTGTAAATTTGATTTATTTGATTTAAATAACATTTATTTTATAGAAATCATAATTACTCAATTTAAATAACTTCAGTTGAAAAAAAGGAAACTTTTTGTTACTAGATCTGTTTTTAAAAATGGCTGTTTGATATAAATCTTGCTCTACCATCCTTTTCTTTTAGGTACAAAATTAATGCCCCTCGAGAGCATAAAATGATAGACAACAGTAAGTTGCATATGTTTTGGGGCAAAGTGGTTAATTAAAATCATCATAGTCAAATTTGTGTCATTTAGATCACAATGCGGAGGGCAAGTTCGTCTGCTTCTTGCGCAGGGGTAGCGGTGACGTCAGAATGCCGAGCCCTGATTGGCTGATCGCGACCCCCCTATCTGAGCGTCGTCTGCTCCTTTGCAACGTCATCTGCTCACAACGTCGTCTGCGTCTGTCTTACCTTTCCTGTGACTTTCGGAAGTGCAGAGGCCAGATTCACGAAACAATCTTATGCCAAAAATGTGCGTAAGATATAACTTAAGAACATTCACGAAACAAAATTTTCGTAAGTTTTGCGCAGGTTACGACGAAATCCTACGACAGCTCCGAAGCTGTCTTACGCACTTCTTACGATCAAATCAGCATGACCGACAGTGTCGCGGTCGCGATGACCCACGGACGTTTATTTTTTTACATGCGCTTCTCGCGCGTCCCGACTTCAAGCAGCAAGAAAAAAGTAAAAAAAACCTTGAACTTGAAACATACCACGACGAACAAGAATGCTGGATCCACAAACACCCGGGAAAAGCTCCAACGGCCACGATTCCACCGAATGCAACCAAGCGATCACTGCAGTTAGGCCTAGCAGGCACTCCACGACTCAGCGACCGTCTGCCCACGTCCAGCTGGTTTGCTGAATGGAATATGCCCGCGCGACCCTTGTGAACCCTTCCCGTATTATACTTAGATCGCTGACCTCCGTTTTAGATAAAGAGGTCAATTTCTTCCTCTTGTTATCTCCTTGTTTCCGGAGGCAACGGTGACTCTCGCCAAAGAAAAAGCGGTGAATCTGCGACAGACGCGGGAAAGGTAAAGCAGCCATCGCTTTGACTAGCAGACGTAAAGCAGACGACATTAACTGCGCCAACCCGCCGACACCGTTAAAGAATGAGGGGTTTGGCCGCACACGAAAGGAGGGAAAAAGTATTTGGGAGGGAACTTGGGTTCACTAACACTCTCAATCTCAGTTCTTAGCAAACAAACCTCGACGCCTCAGGACACCTCGCCAGTGAGTCCTTTGACTTCTCTTCGTGATGCACGTCTGCTAGTTGTTAGACAAAAACAACGTACCGCTCGAGTTCTTTCGTCTGCCCTCTCTGAAAGGCGAAGTCGAACTCGCTTGTAAAGACCTGCACTTCCGAAAGTCGCAGGAAAGGTTAAGACAGACGCAGACGATATTACGAGCAGACGACGTTTCAAAGGAGCAGACGACGCTGAGATAGGGGGTCGCGATCAGCCAATCAGGGCTCAACGTTCTGACGTCACCGCTACTTCTTTTTTCATGCGCAGAAGACTAAAATGAGCCCACTTGCAAGGCGTATATAAATCAACTTTATTTTTATTCTCCACCTTGGTTGGGCGCATTTTATTTCTTGGAAATGAGTGTGGGCTTCCGTAAGTTACAATGGGTAGACAAACAGAATGTAAGGGCGCAAGTGAGTTGGTTTATGCTGAACATTTTGAAGCAACCCGAGACTGAGGAAATATGAAAGTTGGCACCAAAAGAAGAAAAGGAGAATGTCTCAAACACAGCTAAAATTATATTGCAGACAGAACTTTTTGTTTGCAATGGCAGATGAATCTCAGACTTTTCACTCGTTTCATTTGCCACAGGTTCTGCCATAGTTACCCGCGCTACTTCCTCGTGCCTGCCTCTGTTCAAGACCAGGACCTTGAAGCTGTGGCCAGCTTTCGCTACTCCAGGAGGATTCCCACAGTTGTTTGGAGGTGAGGGATGCTTCCGTGCAATCGTCGACCTTCTGCATATCCTTGCGAGAGCACCGCAAAATCCCAAACAGGCACCCACTTGTGGTGAGGACACAAACGGCGAAAAAAAATGTCGCAGGTGATCTTTCGGAGTCCAGCAGTGAAAATGTTTACTAGAATCGGTTGATGCCGTAAATCAGTTAAGTGAGCCTAACAACGATTGCAACATTTTTGTGGTGGCCCATACCACCAGCCCAAACGGCCATCAAGTGCAGGCATGCACTTAAGTGAGCACATGCATCTAATCGCACACGCTACTGTGTCAAGCCAAGTTCTGGATGTTCGAACTTTCCCAACTGCTGCTTGCATTTCTACTGTTTGCCGGTGACTCTAAGATATATTTAACTTGCAGTGCATATCACATGCACTCCTAGTGTGCCAATGCACTGTTATTAGCCTGCCCTGGCTGCCAGCATTGTGCTGCATTGCTCAGGTCTGCGCTCTGCCGTTTTTGGTTTGGGCGCACTCTGTCCCTCAACACCTTGCCGGGACTTGTAAGCAGTACGTATTATACACTACACCAGTCAAATTGTACACAAACTGACCTGCCGTTCTGCTGCTGTGTAATGGCGACTAGCTTCTTGCTGCTGCTGGACTTGGCACTCTAGTTTTGCAGCCATGTCTCTTTCTCTTCCTCCACCTTGCGGCCGCCACTGTCGAGCGCAACAAAACCCGCAAGCAAGAGCCTTCATAATATGTGCAGTCCGCTTTGCTGCCTCCGAGTGCACACTCGGGAAACTCCATGCTCCTGGGACAGTCGCCGATTGCACGCAGCATGTGCAATCGACGACTGCATGCTTCACACTGTACGCTCTATGCAGACCGCATTCCTTGCTCAGACATGCAAATGTCTACGCATTTAAAACCTAGGCGTGCGCGAGTGCCTCGACAAGGGCCCTTTAGTGGCCCTGCTTGGGTGTGAGCCTCCTGCCCCGCTGCGTCCCCAGGCACCACCTGTACGGCACGGTAATAGCGCGCTCGGCACAACCAGAGGTGGGCTGGCTGGGCTGGCGCAGCCCCCAGGACGAGAACCTGATCCAGGCGATAGCAGACGCCTGCAGCGTGGACCCGGGCCCTGCCATTGGGGGCCTGGAAAGCCTGCCAGACGAGCACAAGTTTGACTCGGACCTTAGCGACCTATCCCTGCTCAACAATGGCATCACCAGCAGTGAGTGACTTTGATCTCTTTTGTAGGCTGTCATGGTCGAGGTGCATTGCTTGGTTCACACCATTGGGTGTTGCTCACTCTGCCCCACACACTTTTGCTCGTACTCAAGCTTGCACTCAAACTTGCACTCAAACTTGCACTCAAACTTGCACTCAAACTTGCACTCAAACTTGCACTCAAACTTGCACTCAAACTTGCAGTCAAACTTGCAGTCAAACTTGCGCTAAGACTTGCGCTAAGACTTGCGCTAAGACTTGCGCCAAGACTTGCGCCAAGACTTGCGCCAAGACTTGCGCCAAGACTTGCGCCAAGACTTGCGCCAAGACTTGCGCCAAGACTTGCGCCAAGACTTGCGCCAAGACTTGCGCCAAGACTTGCGCCAAGACTTGCGCCAAGACTTGCGCCAAGACTTGCGCACAGACTTGCGCACAGACTTGCGCACAGACTTGCGCACAGACTTGCGCACAGACTTGCGCACAGACTTGCGCACAGACTTGCGCACAGACTTGCGCACAGACTTGCGCACAGACTTGCGCACAGACTTGCGCTCAGACACAACGTAATCTTGCGCTTAATCTTGCGCTTAATCTTGCGCTTAATCTTGCGCTTAATCTTGCGCTTAATCTTGCGCTTAATCTTGCGCTTAATCTTGCGCTTAACCTTGCGCTTAACCTTGCGCTTAACCTTGCACTTAACCTTGCACTTAGCCTTGCACTTAGCCTTGCCCTTAGCCTTGCCCTTAGCCTTGCCCTTAACCTTGCCCTTAACCTTGCCCTTAACCTTGCCCTTAACCTTGCACTTAACCTTGCACTTAACCTTGCACTTAACCTTGCACTTAATCTTGCACTTCTACTCATGCTGGTACTTGGATCATACTCATACTCGCACTCATATTCAATTTCGACTCCTACCCAAATTCTCCTTTGTACCTGTACTCACTCATGCTCATACTCACATTCATACTCGCACTCACACTAGAACTCGTCCTTGCACTTGTACTCGCTCATCCTCATACTCACAGTCGCACTCAAATTCATATTCGAACGCATACCTTGTATGCTTATGTATTGCCTGCTGCAGGCTTGTATGCTTTATGTTGCCTCTGCCCTCGTGCGGCGCCTTTTCGTTACACTCGAGCATAACACTTTGCACGAAGTCCAGACCATAAACAGATGCCGCGTTAAAAGCTAGTTGCCCTTCCATAATGCTGTCTTCATTGGTTTCCTCGCTTTGCGGCGCAGGCATGCACTTTGAGCCGAGGTCAGCACCCCAGCGCAAGATGCTGATCCTGGACGCGAGGTCGTACGCGGCGGCCGTGGCCAACAGGGCCAAGGGAGGCGGCTGCGAGTGCCCCGAATACTATCCCAACTGCGAGGTGCAGTTCATGAGCCTGGCCAACATCCACACCATCCGCAAGAGCTTCCATATGGTCCGCACCCTCTGCAGCTCTGCCGCCGACCAGTCCAGGTGGGCGATCCACCGGCGCCCGCGTGTCCGCATTGCACCGGCTATCGCACGTCGCAGCACTGTGTTTCATCTTACGACGTGCTGCAATGGACGCCACGAAATACGTACATCGGCCGATTTGATGCACCACACACGCTATGCGACTTCATGCCCCATGTGTCGCTCTGCCCGACCTCGAGGTTGCACGACACGCTCGGACTCGCGGATTTGCTCCCGTTGCTCGTAGCGTCCGTTGTGGTACGTTGGAAGGTGAAAGTACATATAGTGTCCCACTAAAGGATGCTAGCAATAATCTTCATTTTGAAGAATTGGTTCACACTAACTGAAATACTGAAAATGTGATTACCATGTGGTGGCGATTAGGTTTGTTGCAGTCGTTGACGAGATGAATAGAACAGGGAGGCCTTTCAGTCGTCCCGCCTCCAGCGCGAGCTTGCTACCTACTTTCATGAGCACTTGGGCGTCTCGTAAGCCACGGGCGTATGTGTGCAACCAAGGCATGACAGAATGCAACAAGCGTGTCCGGAGGCTGAGCATTCGGAAGAGACGCTGCGCCGTTTCATCCTGTTTTCGTGAATGTAGTATCGGTCTCTTGTGGGGAAGATTGGGCTGAAACAAGAGATGTAAAGTGCAATCACTGTTTTGAAACCTTGCACCTTTTACTTTTACAGTGAAACTGTTATGTGCTAGGATCTGTAAAAAAAATGCCTCCATGTATAATAATAATAATAATAATAATAATATTTATTTGCACACAAGAATCTGATCCTGAGTGGCGTGCACGGCTGTGCAGAAAGGTTAAAACCCGTACGCGAATGGCGCCTGCCAGCCCGCCACCCGTTTAATGTTTAAACTCCCGTTTAAACGTTTAAACTTCCGTTTAAATGTTGCAAGTGTAAATAAAAAGAGGGGGCAACCCGTGTGAGTCATCCTTCCTTGGAATTATTAGATAGTGAGGTCCTGATCCCTTGTTATCATCTACGGTCACAGACTTATCTCAGCTAAGAGTGCGCTGTGACGAGGCTGAGGGCAGATTGCGCTGAACTAACAATCTTCTCTTTTGCTTCCGCGATGCTGATAAAGAGACTTGGGCTCAATCGGAAAAAACTGTCCTCGAGGTGTGCCTCAAAAAATTGGGTTTAGAAGTTGCCCATAAGTGACCATAAGGCAATGATCACTTTAGTCACTAATAATTAAATAAAGACAATTGAACAATGAAGTTGTATATGTGTCTTCACTACAATCATATGTAAATCGTATAGATGTTGTTCAAGTAGTCATATAGTTGTTGTAAAGATAACAGCTTCGCTGGTCCTCCATGCTCTACATTTTTTTCTTTTGCAATCGTCTCGAGGTTTGCTTAGTGAAGCTAAACCAGTTTTGGCAGATTCGAGAGTTTGAAATAACGTTGCTGCAAGTGTGCATGCACCCAGCACAAACTGCATTCTGTGCCTCTCGTGCGCTGTTTTAGCGTATGCCAGTTTTTAGAAATTGCGCCCATATACAAAGAGTCTTCATGCTCCTCTAAGGAAAATTTGTGGTGCACAAGAAGTTGGCCAAAGCCAAGACGAATGCAGTTAGAAAATGGTGGCTCTCAGGACCGTGGCCGTGCCTGCTGCGGTTGCTTTGGCAGTCATAACGAGTGCGACGTCGGTGGCATCCTTGCGACTGATTTTCACTGCTAGACGACATTGCACTCCCACGGGAGGTATCTGTCGGACAGTTTTGAAGACCCAGCAAGGTGTGCAAAGATTGCCAGAAACTTGCTGCTTCCGATGCACAAATGTTTCTCAGCAAAAGTAGGGTCAGTAGTGCGTGCAAAGGTCCTCTCGTGCTGAGGCGATGTAAGCGGACACGACCAATCGACTGCTCGTGTCGTAGCTTCATATTTAAACAAATCTAAAATGTTACTCTGAACCAAAAAACTTTTTTCTCGAGTTGCAGCGTTTAGTACATGAAGTAAAGGTTGTTACTCTTATCTCGGTGGCATTGCAAGCTCGAGACTCTTCAGTTTTTGTGGCGCGGTGGAGAAACACTATTCTAAACCTCTCGCGTAGTGCACACTAACGCAAGCGCTAAATTTAGCACTAGCGTGCGCTAAAACTGCATACGTTATTCTAAAATTTTTTGGGGCTCTGCAAGCACTGTGCTGCGCACGGCACCCACCGCTATAAGGGACTGGCTAACTCTGCCCAGTGCCACTGGGGATCGAAAAGTTACTAAAAGTTTTCTCATTAGCTGGCCTTCGAATGTGGTACCTCCCTACAGGTAGCAGCAAGGACAAGCTGCTGCAAACTCTACTATCTTGGGAAGGAGCATAATTTACTTGTGTTGTCCAAATCGTAGTAAGAAGGGCTGGGACGGCTACTGTGACAACAAGCCGATGTTTAATTGTTGTCCTCTGATCTGTCCTGATCCACACGACTTCTGCTCATTTTATTTTAAGCAAAGCATTGTTAGTTACTTTCTCACACAACTAGAGCAAGCTGGATGCAAGTGGGCACAACACGCTCGATTTCACTCAAACGCAAAAGTGTGCAACCGACCATAACCAGCGGCGCCGCGGTTCTCGCAGTTGGATGTCTACGCTGGAGTCCAGCAAGTGGCTGCTGTACCTGTCCGGCCTGCTGAAGGCCTCGCTGGTGGTGGCCAATGCGGTGGACCTGGAGCGGCGGCCAGTGCTAGTGCACTGCTCGGACGGCTGGGACCGCACCCCGCAGATCGTGGCCCTCGCCGAGCTCATGCTCGACCCCTACTACCGGACCATCGAGGTATGTCTGCCGCTCTTGCTGCTACTTCGCACCGGCCAATCGGAAGGGAAATTGAGGCTGCAGCTGCATTCGCGCTCAAATAATCAATGATCTTATCTACCATAAAATACTATTAACAATCCTGGAAATGTTAATAGTGGGCGCTTGTTCCGAAGTGGGCACCTCTGCGGTATTTTATGGTACAAATCTTCACGCCTCGACAATAACTGCAAAGTTGGCATACCCACATGCAACACTACCTCCTTGTACGGTTCTTTCATCACCAAAGCCGTTCGTGATTGGAACCACTTTCCCACTTCTGTAGTGACAATCGGAGATTTGTGAAGAGGTTTAAGGCTGCACTAGGCTAATTATTCTTGTTTTGAGCTTGTGTAACAACTTTGACTAATGTTTGTATTTCCAAATCCCCGCCCCCTCTGTAATGCTTCGGCCTTGAGGGTATAATAAATAAATAAATACATAAATACAGCTGAACCTTGATTTAACAGTCTTCTCTTGAGCCAAAAATTTTGTTAAATCACTAATTTCGTTGGACAGAGGTTTTTGTTTTTCAGCATTGCAATGGTCTTCCAGGCTACCAAAACCCTCCAATTGATTTGACTACACAGTGTGGTGGTAATAGAAGAATGCAGTTCATTGACCCTCGTTTTCTACAGTTATGGGAGCAGTGCCTAGCACTGCAGGATAGCATGCAGTCGGGAAACCAACCACTGGCACTTACAGTAGCCATAAGGCTGTCTTTCTACTTCAAAATCATTGAAAGCGAACTGCGAAATTTCATGCTTCTCGGCAACCGTCTTTTTCTTTTCGCCATTTGTCACTTCAACGATTATTTTCGCCTTGATGTCGAGCGGCGGAACTTTCCTTTTGCACAGTTTACCATTCATTGTTCCAAGAAGAATACAACCACTTCAGCACAACACTCGAGGCACGAAACAATTTTTGTTGTTGCACACTCACAAGAGCTGTAGTTCGTTGGGCGTAGGTGCGTGTAATGGTGGATTTTTGTTTTTTTCCCACAAGAGGCAGAGGCTACAAGGCTACTCATTATCATCATCACCACCACCGCCACTAATGTGCACTTTTCTTTTTTATTTTGTGATAAAGACAATGACCGCACATTTTTATGCTTAGTTTTCAAGTTTGTCAAATATCTTTTTCTTGTGGAGGCTGCCGATATGTGTATATGCGATTTCCAAAGACTTTGCTAAATCGAAACTGCAGCACAAAAAAGTTGAGAGATGAAATACATTGTCTTTAATGAAAGCAAGATGGGGAGACAAAAAATTTCATTAAATCAAAAATTTTGTTAGACTGGGCTTCGTTAGATCGAGGTTCATCTGTACTCGGTTTGGGAGTACAACGAGAACATAGAGGCCGGTGCACGCTTGCGGCGCAGCGCTGAATTGGCGCTGTAATCAGTGCCCAAATATACCTTTCCAGAAAATCCTGAGAGATTCTGCTGTTAATTATCCCAGATTGCACTGCAGAGTGAGGGAAATTGTGGAACTGTGGAAACGTACCTGCGGGCAGACTCGGGACGCCTTGTATATCTTAGGAGCAGCACAATCTACTCTTTCTTGTCATTGTAGTTCCGTACCCACAGAAAATAAAACAAACACAAAACATGGTCAATACATCCTCTGTTTAGCTTCCCTTCCGTTTTCTTTGCATTTTAAAATCGCAAAACTAGGCATGTGCAAGTAGTAGAGTGTGAAGTTTGAAGCGGATTCAAAGCGAATAGTGGTTTTTACAATATTTTTTCATGAGATACGGTCAAACCCGTTTAAATCGAACTTGCAAAGGAAGGTCTACCTGTTCGATATAGTGAGTAATTCAATATAAAAGTTTTAATGAATTTGACTCTCCGATCCACTTTCTGCTGACATATTACCCAATGAAATAGTCTTGTATCTTCTGCTGCTTTTTCTTCATTGCATCCGCGATAAAAATATTTTTCTACGCCAGTGGTTCTCAACCACTGATGTTTCGCGGACCCCTTGTAGATTGGCGGAGATGGAGGACCCCATTCGTGGTGAAAGGAGAGGAAAGTTGTAGGTTAAATATATGAATTATTTAATAAAGGATGTAACTAAGGGCTAGTGTGAAGTAGGCATCTCTTATTGACATATACACGAGGAAACTCGCCCCGAAATTGGAACTTTTTTTCTCAGTCTTAAAAAAAGACAACTTTTATTGCCGGGAGGCAGGTCTTCGCGGACCCTTAGGATGCCTTCGCGGACCCCAAAAGGCCCGCGAACCGCTATTTTAGAACCACTGTTCTACGCTATGGATGGACTCCAAAATGCTGAGGCCGTTGGCTTCTTTATTCGCATATTGGCACCAAACTATGCCGAGAGCGTGTAGCACGTCCAAGCAGGAGCACCTTCTCCTGCAGAGCTCTCCAAGCTGGCTTTCCCCTAAGGCAGGCGGCTGCTTTGGGGGAAAGCCAGCTAGCAGAGCAAAACTGGCTATTTTTTCTTCCGGGCCGCCGCATCAACCGCCCGGAAGAAAAAATAATATTCTCTTTTGCGGACGGAGCGGGGAAAGGATGCTCTATGCTCCTCCTTCCTGCTCCGTCCGCAAAAGAGAACTTTAGTTTTGTAGTGTGAGCTACACTGGTCAAGGTTGAGCAGTTTCGCGTGGCTGTCAAAGAGCTGTGCTGCGCAAGCGCGAGGAGCAGTGACGTCACACAGCTCACAGCTGGCGCGCCGGAGCCGCCGCCCCGCATGCCTCGCCGGTCTGCCATGCGCGAGGTGCATTGATGTCACACGGCGCACAGCTGGCGTGCCGGAGCCGCCGCCGCCACTGTGCGCGCCTCGCCGGTCTGTGCATTTTAGAGGAGTGACGTTATAGCTGCGGCAGACACACTGGTGCCACCATGTGCCCAGCTTTGCGCCTCCGTTGCACAGTAGCCAAGTCTGACACTGCACCGGAGTCGCTTGATAGCGCGTCTGATTTTGTGCACATAAGCTCAATCTATGTATATCCTGGCATAGCCGAGCTAAGCCACCGCAATTTTTTTTCTTCCGGGCGGTTGACACGGCAGCCAAAAAGAAAAAAAGGTCAGCTTGCTCTGTTAGCTGGCTTTTCCCCAATGCAGCTGCTCGCATTGGGGGAAAGCCAGCTTGCAGAGCAAAACGGCGCTCTTGGCAGTTCAATACATCGGTAGCGGCTGCTATTTTTGTTCGATGTAACCATAGTTTTTGCTATATATTGTCACTGTAACATTACTGTGCACAAATATTGTTCGATATAAGGGGTAATTCAATGTAAACGGGTTCAATACAGTCGGGTTTGACTGTATTGAATAGTTTCTCCAAGCATTTCACTACCGTGCACCATCGTAAACGAGCTGAACTTGAGAAGCTTATTCCCAACCTTCCACGTGTTCACTTCTAAGCTCAGTTAATTTTAACAGAACTATATTTATCAACTGTGGCACGTAAACGACAGCTAACCCAGTTAAGGGTATTCATAAATATGCTTGCTATGTGCCAGGGGTGGCCAAACCGTGGCTTGCGAGAATAATGTGGCTTTTTGGGGACACAGGTGCGGCTAGCAGATCCTAAATAATTTCCCCCCACCCTGGTAAGATCAAAAGGAAAGAGAAAAAAAGGCAGCTTGCATTTTGTCAGCTTTGTACCCTTATACGCACAGCAAACAAGGTTCTTGTTTTACGAATGGAGACACAATAAAGAAACATAGTGAGCAATCATTTTATGAGTGGTATTCGCCGTGGCCGCTAACTGAGAAGACCCTTTGTCTTAAAGTGACACATCCCTTTTTCTTTTGTGGCTTTTCACTTAAAATGTTTTCTTGTTATATCTGTGTCAATGGTTCTCTCTGGCCACCCCTGCTATATGAAAATTTGTTTTCAATTTCAAATATGACAAAAAAAGCATAAATGATTTACGTGGGTTGTCATTACATTGCTGCATAACATATTCACTCTTTCTCGTGCGAGTTGAAACGTGGTGGCACCAGTGTGCAAATAGCCTCAACCACTTCCGGTTCTGGACTGGACGGTGGGTTTCACAGTATATGCATAATCAAACATGGCCGCTATCTTCTGGAAATGGCCAATTATAACACTGTCGGGCTTAATTTACTCTTGCGATAAAAAAAGGATGAGTAAAAAATGAGGAAATATATGAGAACTGGAAGTTTGCCAGGGCTACCCAATAGATGGTGCCACTGAGATTGTTGCCAAACAAAAAAGGACGAATACTTTTGCAAAACTGCAGCGGGTTAGCCTTTTGACTGCGCTTCTCACCGAGCACCTGCACACTGCGGGGAAGCCAAACCCGTGGAGCCCGCAAGCTCTGCGGGTTTTCCTTCCCCACAGGGCACAGGTGCTTGATGGGAAGCACGCTCAATGGGGCTCACCCACCTTGATCAACATTAAAGCTCTGTTTTACTCCGACGTTGAGTGCAGCGAATGCAGGGTAGCACAGAATGTGCGTGTTTCATTGGCCAGTGAGCAGGAGCTAGGTATCTGCGACCAGTCAGTATCTGTGTGCACTGTGCTACCCTTGTTTGCTACGCTGGACGTCGGAGTATAATGGGGCCTTTAGAAAAGCACGAATATTGCAGTTCATCTCGAAGCCAATACCGAATATTGTGTTATTCAAAACTACCTACTATTCGAAAAATTTAATATTTGTGCACCACTACACAATACGAACAGACTCCAACTTTGTCTTCTATTCCTGGGCGGTCTTTCATGTGCCGTAGATTGGATCGTCACAATGCGTCAAGCAGACGGTAGGGGTAGGACATATTAATGGAATGTTCTATATTGTTCTGTGTAGTGTTGATTTAGCACTGTATTTTCCCCTATGTTTTTCTACTGCAAGGTAACTCGCTGCAGCGAGATCATTTCAGGAGCTTTTGTGCTGGTGATAGAAGCGCTTTTGTCAAAGAGTACCCCTAATTCTTTCTGCTGTCTTGGTGAGATAATTTGCTTGATTCTGAGGAAGACAAGGTTCATTGTTTGGGCAAGCCTGGAATTCTGACTGTGTTCCTTGCACACACCATTGAACCCATTGATCTCGAACAGGAATAAGTCACTGTAATCGTAAGCACTGTGATGCATCATTGCAACAAGTGTGAATGCCGAATCCACTTTCCTTTGCCAGATGAGCGCTGTATTAGCAAGCGCTGCATAAATGCTGAGGTCAGCAGTATTTCCAGTGCGAATTAGTGCTGGATTATTATTGTGCTGTTTCTGAGACCAGGCCTTAAAGGGTGTTTATGTGAAAAAGAAAGCACTTTTTACACCGTGTAAAGAAATTATGCATTGCAGAGTGGCTGTGAACGTTGACTTGCAGCAGTTCCTTCCTCTTCTAATAGGTGTTCTTTTGTTCTTTTTTTTTTTTTTCCTTCATCACATCTGAGGTAATTCCAGAGCAGTAGCAGCTGCTCCTCAACGGACACAGTCACCCCTGTTCAAGAAGCCAAGTTGGTCCCTAAGTGTAGGACCCCTCCACATTGCAGAAAGGTCCCAATGTAGTGCTAGCTACGTCCCATTTAGAAGAGTATTTGGTAGAGATGCGCTTGCAAAGTTTCCACCGATGCAGCGATCTTCCTGCTCGCAGGGCTTTGAGGTGCTTGTGGAGAAGGAGTGGCTGGAGTTTGGCCACAAGTTTGGAGACCGGTGCGGCAACGGCGTAAGCGCCGAGGACGTGAGTGAGCGCTGCCCGGTCTTCCTGCAGTGGCTCGACTGTGTCCACCAGCTGCTGTCCCAGTTCCCTTGCAGCTTCCAGTTTAACCAGCAGTTCCTGGTGAGTGCATGCACGCCCTCTTGGGCAGCTCGGATGGCATTTCGTTAATGTTTGTTTTCTTAAAGTAGTTGGTACATAAGTCACGCTTCTTTGTACCATTGGCGGTGTGAAACTGCATCGATAGCAGCCAATTTAGATATTCTCACGAACAAATTGATTGAGATGTATGGCCTCTGTGGTTATAGTAAATCGCAGCTCATCCCCAAAAGAAAATTGTTGCATAAAACTTGCAAACAAGAATTTCGAAAAAAGTCTGCGACTTGCACACCGGGGAAATGACGTATATTATGTGCAAAAGACATGCAGGTGAATTTGTAGCCCCATTTTTTGCGTGCTCGTGGAGTTGCCAAAAAAGAAATTGCTGCTCATTGTTTGCGTTTTTGGAGAACACCCAGCTAGCGTATGAAACTATTCTAAATTAAGCACGGTTTCAGATGCCCTTCATCGTATAACATTTACTGTCATTTTTGCAGCCGATTGCTGCTAAAAATGTTTGCTTGGAGTGTTTCTGCGTAAATGTAACACAACCACGAGACTGTAGGTAAGCAAAGGCTGACATACACGAAAAGTTTCTCTCTATGCAACCCCGAGACTTTGTAGGGATTCGCGTACCGCCGCCGATTCGCCGTTTCCCACGTGGTCAGTCAACAACCCGAGTCCAGCCTGGTTCTTTCACGGTAATGGGATTCCGCTTCCAGTTTATTGGTACAATAAAACACAATGCTACAAAACACTCGATCTAAACTACAAATACAAGCGACATTACACAAATATTTACAAATGCACGTTAAGCCAAAAGCTAAACACAAAGAAGGCCCCCAGGCCTCATGTCCCGCGATATCCTAGATCCGGTCGCCACCCACCTGCCTGCGTCTCGGTCTCGTCCGAAGTTCTAAGAGGCCTCTCGCCCCCTGGCCCACCGAGTATATATTGATAGATGGGCGAGGAGCTTTCTCCTCACCCGCCACGGGGCGCCTGCAGCGCCATCCAGTGGCTAGGAGAGAAAGCGGCACGTCGGGAGCCGAATTCGAGATCCCAATCGACGCCGCGGCGACACGACCATGTGATCATGTCTGAGGTGAGGCAGCTACCTAGCTGCCTTGCGGCCAAGATTGGCAGAATGGTTTGATGGGCGCCCTCGTGAATGCACGGTGCGTTATAACTTTTAGTGCACGCGTCGTCCTTTGCCTGCATGCAGTCTCGGGGTTGTGTTGTGTCCAATCTTCACCTGCTGGTTTGCTCCCCGACTTCCTTTTCACCATGTCTGCGCGGCCGTTGTAGAGTGCATTGCTTTGGCCATGCCGCCCTGCTCGAAAAAGTGACGTCGTGACTCGGTTTTGCACTTCACAGGTGAAGCTTGCCCAGCACACCTACTCGTGCCTGTTCGGCAACTTCCTGGGCAACAGCGTAATGGAGCGCCAGCGGGAGGGCGTGGCCGAGCGCACCTTTTCAGTCTGGTGCTTCCTCAGGGCACGCCCGGAACAGTTCCGGAACTACCTGTACAGCCACACTGACCAGGTGAGGACACCAAAAAAAAGTCTGTCCTTTCTTTTTAGTCGTATGTGCGGCGTGGGCAAACGGAGAATGTTGCAAGATCAGCGTGCTTCCAATTTTGTGCAGAAAGGCGGCAAAAATGGCGAGGAAGAATTCTCTTAGTAGAATATTGAATGACACGGAAGTTTGGGTAGTAGGTTCATTGAATGCTCGTAATTGTGGTGCTTAGAATTTTGGTGAGACTAACGTATTTCATTGCATTTTGTTGGGGAAGGCGGTAATGAATTTGTGAGCAAGTAAGAAGAGGGAGAGTCTACTAAAAGAAATGGGACTGAAGGGTAGTGAAGATGATAGAAGTAGAGCTCCACCCCTTAGGTGACAGTGGCACAGTGCTGGATTTTCTACGTTGCCCAACTTTTTGCCAGTGGCAGGACGCAAGTGCTGCGTCAACATTCGGCCGGGACGTGAATTCAGTTGGCGAGAAGTACGAGAGTCCCAGCTGAATGCTGGTGTGGCACTCCTGTCTAACCCATGCCCCACGCTTTCCTCCGGTAGATGTGGAAAATCGAGCACTAAGGCATTGTTATCTGTGAGGTGTTGGATAAAATATGAGAGAGGGAGAGGAAAAGAAATGGCCATCTCTTCTTCAATTTCCAAAGCGTTCTAAATGCGTAGCATTTTTAGGGCCTCTTTGGTTCCTCCTTTTGCTGGCCTTTCCTTTTTCTCCTTATGACCCCCCCCCCCCCTTTGCGGGCACAGTAAGGACGTCCCTCGAGGGCACATTGCAACGGTTTTGCGAATACATAGAGCTCTCGCAGTGTCACGTGACACCAAGATGTCGCGTGATGTCTCGGTGTCATCGATCTGATGCCGTACATTTAAGTGGTCAGGCAGGATCCCGTCTGGTTTCCATCGCCGGCGATGGTTTCGTGACCCATAGGGTACTGTTCTGAGATGCAAAGTGGTCGCACGTCCGGTCCCCTCAGGTGCTCCGTCCCCAGAGCCAGGTGCGGGACCTGCGCCTGTGGAGCGAGGTGTACCTTCAGCCGGCGCCCTGCACTTCGGCCCTCTCCGGGGCACCCCCCGCCACGCCCCCGTCGGAGAGCCAGGAGGCCGCCGAGGAGACGCCCCCTGAGCCGGCCGGGGAGCCCTCCCCGCAGACCAACCTGGCCAAGACCAAGTCCGTGGACTCCCTGTATGCGGGACCGGACACCCAGGCAGCGGCCCCGGACAGGCGAGCGCGCTCACTTCTCTCGGGGGCGGAAACTGTTCGTGGAACGAGGCCTTGTTTGGAGTGGAGCCAACGATAAGCTATGCTCGGAGCGAGGGCTTCTCATACTCTTTACCACGAGGAACCCTTCCGGGTCGCGTCATTGACGTGGTAAAGGGTGCGGACTCCTGCAGACATTATGAACTGTAATGCACGCATTAGGAAGTGTTTGGCTCGGGGCTTTGCATTGATGGGTGGCTTGGATCTGCTAAGAACTCTCATTTGGGGGCAGACGAGGATATTTAGGAGTTTGGGGAACCTGCGAGGGTACTCTGGGGCACTCCCGGGTTCCTAGAAACCCAGTCTGAGGACCCCTGGCGTAGAGTGTCGCTACTTCGTTCCCCGATTTGCTCGCTTGCGTCACCATTTCTGTGCACAGTGCAGAGCTGGTGCAATCGGCGATTCATGAGCTTGAGATTCCATGCGAGGAAGCTCGTCCTATGTCCTCTTGCTCTGTCACTAATGGTTTTACCGATTCCGGAGGATAGAAAGCCGTTTCCCACGCTTTCGGATAGAGCTTCGGTGATTTAAACACTGAGATGTGATTTAAACACTGAGATGGCCAAAGTGTTGTTACTCCTAGGCGTCTCTCATTTACAGACTCTAGTCCCGCAGAGAGGAAAGGTAGTGCTTAGATCCATCGGTGGAGGACTTCGGGGCCAAGGTATTACAATCGGTGTGGGTTTGGCCAATGGCATGGCTCAACGACCGTGCTTGGGGTCAACTAGAGCCTCTAATTAAGCTCCGCTCCGGAGTAACGACACATTGGCCATCTTTGTGCTTGAAATCCTCATTGCCAGTTATCTGAGGCTTTATTTGAAGTCACGGAAAACACTTTTAAGGGCGAAGCTCCTTAGGGTCTAGCCTTGTCCGCCCGGCGTTCGTGCTCACATCGATTGCCATCCCATCTGCCTTCTTAAAAAAAGAAAAAATGTTTGCGCAGTCGACAAGATTCGAACCTGTGCGGGGAGACCCCAATGGATTTCTAGTCCATCGCCTTAACCACTCTTCCACGACTGCGAGACGAGTTGGGGGCTCTGAGATGTGGTAGTAACTCAAGAGCTGGGGATGCCATGGATGAGACGTTGCATGTAGAAGCTCAATGTCTATACAGGAGAGGGCGCTGCAGTCAAATGCGTATATAATCGCATTAAAAAATTAAAATAAATTGCGTTAAAAAAACAAACAATCGGCACCATCAACACTACCTATGAACAAAATCAGTATCATCAGCACCACCAGAGCTTCGCCCCAATCAACATCATTCACCACGTGGAGATGCGGTCATTTTTTCATCTTCCAGGAACATTAAAACATTTCGCGATGCAACAGAAACTGTATCGCGGATGTTCCTGGCACGCTATCTTGAGCTCAGGAAGTTGCGTTTTGGAATTGTAACTACCGACAATCGTGCCCACTCACACTAGGCAACAAAAGGGCAGTACCTGCAAGATGGAGAATGGGGCATTGGTTTTATAAGCGCAGCTTTAGTGGCTCGAAATTCAACGGCCGGGGGGCAGGTGCTTGACGCCGGTCATCATCGTGCGTAGGCACCAGCGCCGCCTGAGCGACTCCAGCCTCAAGGGCTTCCCCATGGAGCTGCACAGCCACGAAGACGCTGCCTGCCAGGCGTCGCCTTCCAAGCATAGCTGTCCCGACCTGGTGTCCGAGCCTTCGCCGGGGGGTCCGACCGTGGTCTCGGGCAGCGGGGCAGAAGACGACGGACCTCGGGAGGGGCCCGCAAACGAGGCACCTTCGATAGACGGGTCCACGGACACGCTCGTCAATGAGATCGGGCAGCAGTCTTCCTCCGTGGGCGCCGACGACGGTGTGCTCCAGGTGTGTTCTGGCGGCAGGGCAGATTTACCAGTTGAGTCTTTGGGGGTTTGGGGGAGGGGGGAAGAAGAGAGGGGATTTGGGCTAAAGGTTGCATCTGCAATGAGACATAGCATCATGGGCATACTGAAGGCCTGATCTACAAAAAAATTTTCTGCAAGGTAGAAAAATCCTTTTTTCGTCACGCTTCCCATTTTTTCCTCTCCCACTGCTCTCATGACGGCAGGGGGACTGTGGCTGCAGATTGGGGCTGGATAAGCCGGTAGCTTATCCCAGTTTATCCAGCCCCAAGATGCAGCAACAAACGAGTCCCCCTGCCGTCAAGTTAAGAGTGGAAGGGGAAGGGTGGCGAAGAAAATTTTTTTTTTCTGCGAAAAATGATTTTGTAGGTTGGTCTTAATGCCTTGTACGGACGCGACGTCGCGGACAAAGAGAATTGTGCTTTTACCTAGATCGAGGCATTTTAATGCAGAATGTGTGTATGTGCTGAATTTCTTGCGAGAAGTGCAATGCTCAACTTTGACGAAAAAGCGTTACGCATGAGCAAACGCAGTATAAAACCTGCATAGCCCATATGGGCAATAGACATCCAAAGCATACAAAGGCATACTTAATCGTCATAGTTCATACATAATTGTAACTCAGTACAATTAATGGCAGCCAGAATGAAGATACGCGGTGGGAATCAAACCCCAGACTATGCGGTTTGTAGCAGACATGTACAAGTTACTCAAAAATACTAATTAAGTTAAGTTACTGAGTATTGACGTCAAAAGTAATTTGAGTAGAGTAGAAATTACTCAAATAGAAAGTAATTGAGAAAATTACTAATTACCGTAAAAAAGTAGGGGATTACTTTTGAAGTTACTTTTGTATTTTTTAATGGTAAAAAGAAAGTAGAGGTTTTGATCCGTTAGCGAAATTGTGCTAGCCAAGTATGAATCAGCTTGTTTTTTTTCACAGAAATGCTTTAATAGCTGGTTCTGCTTCTGCGTGCCTAATTGTTTTGTACTTTCTTGTTTGTTTGGTCCATGATGTACTGCGAATCTGTCATTTCTACATTGAGGTTTAGCACTGTCTCAGCTTGATTTTTTAGACAGTGTTTGCTTGTTTACGGTGTTGCCTAAAGTACATCTAAAAAGTGAAGTGTAGTACAAAGGAAATGAGAGGTTATGTACTTCAAGTATAGTAAGTACACCGGGTGAAATGTACTTGGAAGTAATGTATATAAATACAATATATTTCAAGGTAAAGTGCAAGCACTTTTAACACAACCTTTCATGATGCCCTTTCATTTCCTATACAGTGTCTTTTTAACTGGTATGCTTTTCTCCAGGGGTAATCAGAGGTGCATCAGTTTTTTACGGAAATGGCAGCAAATATTGCATAAGGTGAGGTCGCCACAGAGTAGTCAGTGATGTGATTGCTGCGCCAATTGCGCCTAACTGCGCCAAGGGGCTAACCCTGCTACATCCTGATACATTTTGCCAAAATATAGGTAATCTGCGCCAAGCTTGCACCAAAGAACCAATTTTGCTCGCTTTTCAAAACTGAATCTAATCTAAGTACTGTAATGAGCACACGTGAGCTAGGTGGCGCAAGCAGGCACCCGACACAAAGTAGTACCCTGCATCACTCGTTCATCCGGTCTTGCATGGTTTTTCCCGCCGTCTCTCGTTTCATGCTCTCGTCCTCTCATTGTCTCGCGTTTTTTCAAAAATTTTTCAACGATAGACGCGGGTGTCTGCGCACGCTCAGACACCAGCGTGGGTACCAGCCATGTCATCATGCTGTGAAACGAAACCACGTTTTTGCGCGGCGGGAGTTACTTTGTGAGCTGAAGCACTTGCTTCTGAAAGCAATGGCCGTGGGAAAACTACATTTGGTACCTGCCTGCCAGTCGCCATGGTCGCGCGATGTAGAGTGTTGCCGTCGCCACGTCGCTGCAGATGTGGCGCTTTCTAAACTTAAACTTTAAGGACCGCCTTAATCTTCACCAACATTCTTATTCTTGTTTAATGCACTACTACAAAAATTCCTCTAGATCAAAGACTGCTGTGTCAAAGTTTTGCCTGGGTTTCTCTTGGTAAGCTTTTTTTCGAGGGGTCGCCGGTACGTGAAAAATCTGCCACGAGAGTGTTGGTGAAGAGAAGTGAGCTAAAGCAAAGAAGGCAATGTCTGTTACACTGAACTCGCACAGCGCGCTTGTTTGTCTCGAGTTCAGTCGTTGCACAAAGCGCTGCAAGAACTTTCTGACCCTGGCTCGTGATATCTTGCATCGATGTGCTCAGGTTCTTTTTTTTCTGTATGTTTAGCTTATACCTCGCCAGCCGCTCTGGCAAGCATGTGCGGCTGGGCTGTTTTTTGTCGTATGCTGGACAGTTACATTTTGTGTACAATTTTGGCAACCAGTTGGCGACGGAGCGGAATGGCATGGTTTCGATCGAAGAGCTATCTCCGCTTGCGTGACAATTTCGCATTGCACTGCAGTGGTAACGTGGATCAACAGTTAGAGACTGCTTCTATTTATTATATAACTAGTCAACCTAATGCTGCGATACTTAATACTAAGCTGCATGGTCACTTTAAAATAAATTTTAATAGATGCAGTTTGGTTTTTAGTTACCTATAGCAGGTACATATATATGTACCATTTTACTGAAGCATTGAACTATGTTTCATGTGATTGGCATTTCAGTTAGATGTTGAGACTCCCAGGTGGTCTAACTTGACTATAATATGTTTACTGCGGCGAGAAAAGTGTCCTTCGTTTGTCTAGCACTTGAAACAAATATTTTTATTTTTCTAAGAATATCTGCTCCAAAGTGCACTTTTGCTGCTCCAAAACACTGTTTTGGCTGCTCCGAAAGGTGCTCCGAAACGGCTTAGGCCAATCACATCACTGAGTAGTTGTTTTACTCTCGCTGACGAGCTATCTGACACAATCAACTTATAAGGCACTTGTTTGTGTCGGTCTTATAGCCACCATTACTTCGCTCAGAGAAATGACCAGATGACGTCTCCAAAGAATGTGTTTTCACATGACGATACGCCATTTTTTCATTTTCAAATTCGAGGAATGTACATTGAAGTGGGGAGTTTTACTTTCCTTGGAAAGTACATGTTCAGAGAATTTACTTCAAGTAAAGTACAAGTACAAGTAAGCAGTATGTACTTTAAAGGGGCACTGACACCCCAAAGGTCGTATTTATTTTTATTGTCTAAAACGATGCAAGTTGCAGTCATAGACACGCAAAAAAAAAATGCATTGCGAAAAAAATTTTCTTGCGCGTGCGTGCGCCTTTTTATTTTTGGCGTTTGATTCTTCCTCCTCTCGCCTCCTCGCTTCTTTTGATTCGTGACGTCAAGAATCATGAAATTTAGAAGCTTTGTAGGCGACATCTTTATAACATTTAATACGGCAATCCTAAGACATTTTTTTTAATGCAATTGCGAATGCACTACGGCCCTTCTTTTTGAAATACCAAAAATCGGGAGTTCGTTGTGGTGCCGTCTCCTGTATTTGTATCCTCCAACTGAAAACAGGCGACACCGCTCAAAACCGGTCCGCCGCAACGCCGGCGCTCGCTCCTATCGTCCTTGCTTTGGGTCGCCATGGCAACAGCGGGGAGTCGTGAAAGAAAGTGGACTCTCAGGACTCCGCAATATTTGACGTCAAGGCACCGGCGCCGATCGCACAGGAACTTCGAATTTGGCATTTGGAAATTGTTTTTTTACTTCACAAACACTGAATTCCCAAATTGCAAATTTTGAGGGTAATGTCCCGGCATCGTTCTCAATCGTTTCGGATAATAAAAAAATTATGATTTTGATGTGTCAGTGCCCCTTTAAGTACCATGTAAATAGAGTACTTCCCAACACTGCTTGTTTATATTTTTTTTTATATAAAAACGTTTGGGGAATTGCTAAGGTTTCTTGAACGATCTTCGAATCTTTGAAGACCTGCATATTCCGAGTTTTGGGAGGAAAGGCAACACAAAAAGGTAATCATGGTATCATGGTGTTGCCCTTTAGCATGCGATTCTTCGAGTATAGCACAAACTACGTGAGCACCAGATGAGTTTCATGGAAGGTGCTACATTTTTTTGCCTCCTTTGAGTGAGGATGCAGTGTGCACCTCCTGTATTGGGCGAGAGTTCCTACGTTTGGGAGAAGCGGGGACCAGCCCTTACTTTAAATTGGTCAAGTCTCCTTGAGCTTCGGGACACAGAGAAACGCCAGTCTTCGGCGCACATCCTGCAGTTATTTGGCCTCTCTTGCGTCGAGTCTTTTCGCTCCCCGCCCCCCCCTGCAACAACACTCGTAGCAGTGTTGTTGCAGGGGGGGGCGGGGGGGTTGGATTCTCTAAACCATTTCCTCCCCTCCCTTCCCTACGCCATATGCTTACCCCTCTTTGCAAATAAGCTGATCTTCCGACATCTTATGTCTTTTGTGTAGGAATGTTTGCTGATAGGCAAAACAACCACTAAAATTCGAAAGTAATTTGTAATTTGCATATAAGTTACTCAGAAAAAGTAAATGAGGTAAACTACTAATTACCGAAATAAAAATATAATTGAAAGTTACTAAACTATTAAAAAAAGTAGTTAAACTACAGTAACTTGAGTAGAGTAGTTGAACTACGTACAAGTCTGGTCCGTAGTCGGACGTCTTTGCTTGGCGTCACAAAGACGTGAAAGAGAGCGTATGCAGCTGGACCAAGCACGACCACCAGCAGACTGTTGCCTGCGGTAGCATGCGACTGTCCGTGGCAGGTGATACTTAGTCCAGCATACCTAGTCCACAGGTGACCCTCGGCAGCGAGTCATACTTGGTGCGTTATGCTATACGGGCAGAAACTGAGGAAGAGGCGGAAACGAGAGCGCGCAAGGAGTTAGAAACGTAACAAAAAGTTGTGATTTGCCCACCTCTTAGGCTTTGCAATATGACACAAATTTTTACAAATTTCCCATCGACCACACTTCCTTTCATGGTATAGAGATCTTTGAAAACGAAACCAAAACTTTGAGAATTTGCTCTAATTTTCCCGAATATGCTGAACTAGGACCCAGCCAGGATTTGCGGAAGTAGATTCATCCGTTTTGCCTGAACCATTTGAGCTAGTTAATGCAGTTAGGTTTCCAGCACATAAAATACAGTGGCGCTACCCTACTTCGTTGCTGCACGATTGCTGCACTCTTCTAAACTTGGTTTCGCCTATCACTTTTGGTCAAACAAAATGAGCCCAGTGGTACTTGGGCGTAATCATTTTTGCCTTGGCGCCCCACATTCTGAAAAATAGGGTTGTTGCAAACATGAAGCCTGAAAGTGCTGAGAGTTGAGCATGCTTGCCAGTGCAAGCCATTGCGACTTCAGGAGCAGTGGTGCGCTCAACGATTCACCTGGATCATTAACTATATTTCTACGATGTCTGGGCCACCAATTTGTAACGAGCTATAGGTACATAGAGTATAAAGCTATCAATAAACAAACTATTTATTTACATCATTTCCACTTGCCTGGTTTTTGCCGGGAATGAAAAGAGAACATTGTGTGCCACTTGTGCTTCCTTTCCTTCTTGTTACTGTTGAACTGTGGTTGCTTCACCTGCTCACTTGCTAATGTTTCTTCGTACAGAAAACAATGCCGGAGCCAGCAGAGCTGTCACCTGCGCAGCTGGATCAGCAGCTGAGCAACACGGCAAGTACGAGCACGACAGATCTCCGGAGCTCTGCCGGAGCGGTGCTTGGGGGAGGCTATACGGAACTTCCCCTTGAGGAAGTGGCCCCCGGCAAGTGCGTTGTATGCCTGTCGCGCAAGAACGGCCACGAGAACCTGTTGGCAGCCACGCGCTCGTCCCTGGCGCGGTCGGCCGCGGCAGCCACGACCAACGGTGGCCGCTTCTCCCACTACTCCACACCCATGCATTCGAGGTGGGTGCCTTGGCTCGAATCGGCCATGTACGGCGGTGGACAAAGCCAGCGAAGCTACAGCAGTGTGCGGCCTTGTAACAACATGTGCATGTGATGCCAGCAGCGAGGGCAAGCGATCTTGCCGAGTATAGACCGGTTACAAGATTCGACGTCCGGCTATCGGACGCACAACTGAGCACGGCACTATCAAAGACGGCGTGATCGGATAGCTGAATGTTGATAGCCGTTAATCTCGAATGGGGTCGGCACCCAATGTGCATGGTTCCTCTTGCCGCCAGCATGATTCACGAGTGTTGCCCAAGGCCACGCGCTTTTGTGGCTTTGTTGGCTTTGGTCACCACTGTATGTTCTTCCTAGGTTCTAACTGTCTTTTTTAAAGCAATGGTTTGCAAACATTTTTAACTTCAGATGTTTTGCAAATAGTGTTTTCTATTCAATTTATTTGCAGCTCGCTTTTACCGTTCAAAGTTAGTTTTTCCAAGATTGCGAGTGGTGATGTCTTCGGAATTCTCCACTTTCTTTTGCATTAAGTTTCACCACTTCGCTCCAGAAGAAGCACGACCTATGTTGAAGTAATTGTGTTTTGTGTTAGTTCAGACGGAAGGAAATCCAGATCCCTATTGGGCATCTGGTGTCTATGCTGTGGATGAGAAATTAATCAAGTGCTCTATCACTGCTAGCCTGGGGTTTTCGATGTGCATCACATAGTACAGTTGAACCTGTTTATGACAAACACTCTCTGATGCACATATTGGTTTCATATATCAAGTACAGTAATCTCTCGTTATAACAAAGTCAATGGGACAGCAAAAAAAATTTATAAAAATCAGCACTTATCCAAAAACAGTGCCAGTAGCCTTCCAGTTGAATGGGAACACTGAGAAACACTCTGACATTATATGTAGTCAAACAAACCTTGGTTGTGAACAAGGAGCAGCTTCACCGAGTAAAAGAAATAAGTGGAGTTTGCCGATAATTTCATTATTTCATTCGGGCATCCGTTCTCCTTGAACTGCTCCAGGCATCACAAGAACACTGTCACTTCCACTGCACTTAGCTTTGTTTCGAAGCAGCCGTAGGATGTTTTGTGTCTCCGCAGTCGTCGGCGTTTCCAGAAGTGCCTTTCTAATGTCGCTACCTGTTTACCCTTACCGCATACAAGGTTTACGATTGCAGCGTCCGTGGCAAGAGCAACAACGGGAACGTCCGCAACGACAAGCGCGAACGAATGAATTACTGTAAAACCCTTATTGTTCGCGAGCCCTCAATTTTCGCGAATTTCACGAATTAAAGAATTCGCGAAATTTAGTGGTCGCGATTATGTCATCTGTGACAGATTCGCGAAAATAAAGGGTTTTACAGTATTCTTGGTGGCTTTGCCGACATCTTCTCACGCACTCCTGTAGAGGCCATTGCTGCTCTGGGAATCGTGCGCCGGCTCAGCAGGCATGCTTGCGAGAGAAAATCCGACGTCCGCAAAGCAGTTGGCTATCTTTCATCTTCAGGTCGCAGGCATGCTTTCTCTTGCATGAGAAACTTCTTGAACCGGCCAGTATGTTTTGCTTGCAGTAGACAGTGTCCAACAACCGATGCGGGTATGTCAAACTCTTTGGTGATTTCAGATTTGGGCTGACCGCTTTTCTCAATCTCGCTGATCTAAGTGACTTTGGTAAAGACTATCAATCCCATACGACGCATGTGTGCGTGTAGCGTGCGGTACGCCGCAGGCGTGCCCGTGCAAGTGCGGGCGCACCCGTGACAAAGCCCTTTTTATTAATTTCTTTTCAAAAATATGCTTTCCCAGCTTTGATTTTTGTTTTTGGTAATATCCTCAACCATAAAATTCTAAAAAAGTAAGCTTGTCGTGCCTTCATGAAGTTACTTAGGAACAGAGTAAAAAAACCTGCGTGCAAATTCATTCAACAGTTCCCGAGATATCGCTGGGATGAGTGCTGATGTCAGCGGAAAAATCCATTTTGAGGAAGTGGCAGTTGAAAGTTGCACACATATTTTCGGCATTTAGCCCATTTCACGTGGCGAGGTTCTGCTGCGATTTTTATTCGTGTGCGGCAAAGATTCTGTGGATACGGTACTCATGCACATAATTCATCGTCCACGGCTTTTGGGCATTTGTTTTCTTTCAAGTGAGCAAAGTTGCAAATGAAAATCAGGAAAATCGCAAGCAGGATTACACTATGTGAAACGGCTTTACCCAGCGGAACAGCTGTAAGTGTCCTGGCATACTTTCTTTTTGTTCTGCCATTGTCTTTGCTTAGTTTGGATGACCGAAGGCATAGATAAAAGAATCAGTCTCGAGTAGCAACGCGATGAGCATCAGTGCCCCACCGCGCAGAGGCGGGCCGCCAATGCTGCTTTTGATGGTCCCCATGCAAAGAAGCTTGCATGGACCGCTTCCATAAGTCAAATGAGTGCACTGTCTCGTACTTTATTCCCCACTTTGTGTGTGGTTACGAATTGACGGGCAAGGTACACAAACCTACTAAAACAAAGGGCTGCAAACGATTGTAAATATGGTGAAAGGCGAAGTGGAGTTGACGAAGTGAGGGAGCAAGTGGACGAAACGAACCAGGTGCCGCGTTAGCCACGGCGATGGAAGGAGAACAAACATTGCAGCCAACAGTAGTCGCACACTCCCTTGGGCGGGCACTTTGGCCAATCACTGCTTCACAATTGCAAAACTGGGAAACACCGATCACGCCAAAACTATGCGGTGGGCAATTTTCTGAAGGCTGGCAAAAAGAAAAAAAAAAACTGCTTCAAAACAAGACTAAAATGGCGGCCATCTGCCAAGTTGAAAGAGCGGGAATCGCTCAAAGTTTGGCTCGATTTTGCGTCCTCGGTGCGATTTGGAAGCCACGGGAAGCTCGTAAATATATTTTTAAACATATTTTATTAGTGAGTTAGTTTCTGATAATTATAGGATGTATTTTATGAAATATACAACCCAAAAAAGTGGTTTTCCGAAAAATCGCCTTTTTGGGGATTTTTTGGTTTTCCCCCCTTTTAATGCAAACTAGCTTAGGGCATGTGGAGCGAATGTTTGCACTACAGAGCCCAGGGATCCTGGGTGTAATCCCCACCCCTGGCCATTTCGATCTGGATGAGCACTGTACCTGCGTGCAGTCAAGTATCGGTACAGTCACGTCTGTTTATAACAAACCCAGATACAGTGAATTGCTGCATATATCGAATGCCCAAATATTTTAAATGAAAATGCGAGCAAAATGTTCTTCTATAATGAACAACCTATTGGCTATAACAAATTTTGAAACAAAAAACGGCCCTTAAAAATGTACACTTCTGTCCTATTTAAAAAATATAACAAAAAAAAGTCTTGCGAAGCACAAGCCAAAAACGAAAAAGAGTGACCCAGCAATTCAAAGGCAAGGTCGAGGCACGCTCCCGTTCCGCGCTGGACACTTGTAGCATGTGATAGACTGTTTGCTTCAAAATCATGCGACCACCAAATCGCGCGTTTTTCTCCTTGCCGAGGGCCTCCACGCAAACCTCACCCATGGACTAGCACGCCGTCTGCTCCTTTGCTCGATCGCTGCAGCTCGACGTGGGCTTTTTTATTCTTCATTTTGGTTCAGCTTTTTAAATTCCATTCTAGCAAGAAAAGGCGAGCAAGCAGCAACGGCATTTACTCTTCTCAAAGTCAATATAATTAATCGTAAAGAGTGCAGTGAAAAGTCTGACGTCGCCGCAGATTCCAGAATTACCGGGAGCACGCCGAGCGGCCGAGCACGAAGAGCAACTTTCTTGGAGCAGATGTAACGAGCACGCTGCGATCGCCGGTGCGGCCTAGAGAGCCAAGATTGAAGAGGTGGTCCATCTCAAACCATGGGAAGAAATTGCAATTTAATGGCGCGCACCCTTTGCAGAGATTGGATGCACACGCTGTGTCGTTGCATGGCGAAGAGGAAAGTGGGCGGAAAGGTGGAGGCATTTGCAAACGAACAGTGTTTTTGCCAGCTCACGCTTATACGAAGGCAGAGATGGTGAAAGCATGCAAGCCGACACGGAGGTGCCCAGAGACCTTTGCGTTCCCTCCCCCTTCTCCTCTGAAGTTGACGGCAAACTGGGAAAACGGGTGACTGAGGGCAGAGCATCGCTTCCGATGCCAGTGCACGCAGGTAGCAGCGGAGCACAGTCTACGTTCCAACGCTAATCGCAGCACCCATGGCCGACGCTGCCCAACTCTTGTCGGAATCGGGTCAAGGGAGTGGTGGAGCCCCAAGGAGATCAACCTTTCGGGAGCCTCCGACGTCATCGAAACTTGTTTCATGGAATTACGTTTTGTGGACAACTTTTCATGAACACACGTTTCGTCGACAAGATTGTTTCATTGACACAATCGTTTCGTTGACACCATCATTTCGTGGACACTCATTACGCGAATTGCACGCTGTATGGGCATTTCATCACGCGTGTATCACTGGGGTACGCATAAACCCACCCACCCGCCCGCCTGCTTTCACGCCGCTTCGCGGCGACAGTATGCAGCGGCTCATTACAAAAATGTTAAAACACCTGACCGACCTATACACGCTGCTTCGCGGCGACAGTCTCATGCAGCTTATTATTGAAAAAAGCTAATTTGAGCTATAAATGAAACAATTTGTCGTTGAAACATATGTCAATGAAACGTTCTGTCAGTGATACGTTCGATGAATCGATTGCCACCGCCTGACGCGCACGCCCTGGGGTGCCCATCCAGGAATGCTCATAATAAATTTCACATTCCCACAATGTTTTGCTATTTCTCCAGGCCTGGGGTAAAGCAAACAAGTGAACCATAATGAAAATATTTTGCAAATTAAGAACCCGGGGGCACAGCTTTATGAAATGTAGCAGTTACTCTTAAATATGTGCTATGAATGCACCCTGAAAATGTCATACAGATAGCTGTAAATATTAAATAACTTAGGTCCCATGTCAGCTCAAACCCCCTCCAACCCCACGAGCTGTGTTACTGGCTGTTCATAAAGTACTTGCAGACGCTTGGCTTCGTAGCAAAAGACCTGCATTTTGCCATATGTGGGCTGCCCCCATTTGCTTTTCCGCCGCCTTAGTGTGGTGCAACGTGTGTCCGCACGTGTTTGCTCGAATTTAATTATGCAGTGTTTTTCTTGTTCGAATTACCATATTTTTTGCCGTAGGAATTTGTCTTTTTGATGACAATAGAAATAAACTGCGTCAAAGGAACTGAAGTCGAATCCAGGCGAGTTAATTCCGAGACGCCAATTTTGCAGGACACCGAGCTCTGGCTTCCCTGCAACGCCGTGCGACGACCGGCTTCTCCTGGACCCCATGGCCTCGCGTACCCAGTCTTCGCAGGCCTCTTGCCAGCAGCAGTTTGACGTTGACGGCCTCAACACCCCCGTGGATGCCCTCCAGCAGAGGATACACCAGATGGTTCTAGACCATGAGGTGGGGGGGGCTTTGCCTGCTGCCGTTGCCTTTGCACATGCCCCGAGACGGTTTCGTCAACATAAGCTGTAACGAAAAAAACTTGCCGCGATACTTAGTAGGAAGCTAACTAACATAGACTGCGTCGTGTGCTTAAGTCCATCCGTTTCGATTTATTTAGACCTGTGGAGTCTGTTTTGCCAGTAAGGTTTTTGGGGTAATCTGTTAAGAAATGAAGCACAAACACACGACACATTCTGCATCTTTTTCTTTGTCATCTTCAACTTTTTCTCCTTCCTATGCTCGTGGTAAGCTTCCAGACATTCGTAATCAGTCTTGTTCATAGGTGTCGTTTTGCCGTGACGAGCCGTCACAGGTGATCCGTCGGTGCAGCGCACGATCACGTAACATCACGTGACCGTTCCCGACATTGGTGCCAGTCTTTTTGCAGCTGCGCGAGTTTGTTTATAACACCCAAAATAAAGCTTTTCCTAGCCGCTCCGGTAGCTCGGGGATAGTGTTGCCCCACTGACCGAGAGTTCATCAGTTTTCGATTCCTGGCGAGGGGTGAAATGATATCTGCAAAGAGAGTTGTCTGTGTTAGTATGTCTTTCGTTACAACCTTTTGTGACGCCATAGACTTAAAAAGCCATCTCTAAAATGCATTCTGCAACTAAATTTGCAGCTGTATTTCAGTCTCTCGAAACCGTTGTATGCAGATTTCCATTTTGTGAGAAACTCTGCCGACACTCGTGCTCGACATCCGCGTTTTTGGTACGCACTGCCGCGTCTTTTTGAAGCGGAGAATGCGCAGAAGTGGAGAATGCGCACGGAGTAGCTCGTCGCGCGTTGATATGCAACTTGTGTCGACATGTGCAGGTGGTTGGCAGGAAGTTGATGGCACAGGTGTTAGGCAGGTGGCCAATGTTGCTACCTTCTATCCTTGTGTCATGCACACTTCAAATTGTCGTTAAATCAGAGTTGGCTTCCGTTAGAATGCAATTCCGTGTTAATAGCAGATGGCTATTTCATTGAACGAATTTAGCAGATGTGCCAGTTCCTGTTCCCATTTTGTGAAAGACAAACTCGAGATCCTAAGCTGCCGCTGCTGGTTTCAGTAGAGCGGTCAATTCCCGCGTAACTCTCAAATACGTTTTGGCCCATGGTGCCGACGGTACGAAGACCTTGGCAGTCTTTGTAGCTCGTTTGTGCTTCGATTAGAGGAATAAGACTCAAACGTTATTGCTAGCGTAATTGGTACTCGGGTGTGGTACTCGCAAAACTGTGAAATTTCGGCGAGTTTTGCAAACTTGAACAACTTTCTTTCGTGGTCTCCAACGTGCCTAAATATCAAGTCGTCCCACCAGCGCCAAACATGTTGGTAAAGGTGTTTCTGCCAAATAATCTTTCACAAAGTTGGTCAAGTTTCTAAGGACATCTTCGGGGTAGATTTTCAGAGGCAACCTGCTGCTACTTACCTTACGTCGTCGGCAGGCAGTGAGGAATCTTGCATGAGGTATGCCTAGTGTGCTAGGAATGCTTAGTGCACCGTGCTTCGCAACACATTTTTTTTTTCATTTTTAAGGTTCGAGTTTTTGCACGACGGGAGGGGAAAGTTGGTGCCGTGCAGTTGCCCGCACGAGCAGCAGCAAAGGCGACCGGGGCTTGCTATACCCTCGGTTTCCTAGCGGAGACACACTGTGTGAATAGTGGCTGCGCGACTGGATTCTGACAACCCGCCCATGATTAGAATGGCTGAACTGCTGCACGTGAGCAGATTTCGAATGGCAGCCGGAAAGCTAAAGCCTAGAGCTGCACCCGAGAGCTTCAGGCACTCAGAGCCCCCTCGACCCCCGGGTCGGATATGGGTAGAGCGGCTTTTTCGGGGAGAAGGAATTTGCCATTTCCTAGGGGTGTCGAGAATGCGCGGCATTCGGAGGGCCTTTTTGTGCACCTCCTTTTGCGAGTCCTTTAAGGAGGCCACTAAAAGGCATACTGTGAGGGTTTTGCGAACATTTAAAGCCCTTAGTGTGGCACGGTGTCGTGACACCACATAACACGATTTTGGCATCACGTGACACTGCAGTGTCTTCGAGGCTACATCCACAGATGCAAAATCCTTAAGGCTTGCCCTATAAATGTTACGCATTTACGAAGTGCTCCACCGGTGGCCGACGGCAAGAAGAGTGCACTCTCCTCGCCTAACGGAGCCTTTCATTCCTCGACATAGACGCGAGCGGCACAATTCTTTCGAGGTCGACGCGAATCTCGAGGAACCTCTAAAGGTTCTGTGTTAGGACAATGGAAATGCTCGGCTGGCTCTCCGTCGTCCATCTCGGGTAGGGTCTAAAGGCTGGTTCGGACGTTTGTGTTCGAGCGCGATTGAGTGCGTCGCAACCGGTTGCGACTGCTTTCGACGAGACGACACGCCGGCATCTTCCGTCGGGCAGCCCCGGCCAACTTAGAGTCGGAGTATATATCCCGGCCTTTTACGCTCTCTTCTTTAACTGCGAGCTCGAAAAAATTCTGGCGGTCTCGTGAGCAATTTTGTCTTGTAGACGGATCATAGATTTGATCTTGTAAGTACTGCAGAGCATTCGGTTTAGTTTGGGTGTGGTGCCTGGAACGAGTCTCCGACCGGTGCGTTTACCGCGTCCCAAAAAGTGGTTCCTCGATTTCCGTCCGACGACGGCGTAGGAGCGGTAGATGTGGCAGACGTCCGTTTTGCCGCAGGTCGCACTCCAGGTCGACATATGCGGAAGCTTGGACAACCGGGAGTTGAGACGCCGTGACAACGGTGACACTCGCCTTTGCTCGTGCTTCTTTGTCAAAACTTGTATGACGAACCGCCGGGATCGCGACGCCCAACGATGTAACACTCCGGCTTTTCTTCCATCGTTTGTTGCCCGTTTGGGACCACTTTCGGAGCACAGGCTTCGGAATGGGACGCGAAGCGCACTGTTTGGAGACGTGTTCCAGGCATTGTAGATCAAGACCGGAAGCGTTTGAGTGCCGTCTGCAAACTGGCACCACCCGGATCAAACTTTCGTGCAACGCGTTGCGGCGATATGCGACAAATAACTCAGTCAGCCACACTCCAATGTTAATGTGCGAGCCGGTGTTAATTGTGAAATGCTTGCCATCGTTGCAGGCCAAGATAGAGAACTTGGAAAACGAGCTGCGCCGAGCCAGGTTTGCGCTGGATCAGCGATCCCTGCACCACAACGGCAAGGAGGCCTCGGAGGCACTCGAGGACGCTGTGAGTCTCTTCTGGAACTCTCCCTGCCTGCAGCACCTTTGCTCCGGGGCTATGGAAATGGAAGTGGGCTGCACGTGATGCCTTGCCACCGCGCCTCCCTTCGTGCTAGGATTTCCACCCGAAATAAACTCCGTCGCCGTTGGCAGTCTCCACCCGGTGCGCGCAAGAACCGCGCCATTGGCTGTCCGACCCGATTCACAAGCGAAATTCGGTGTGGCCCCATCTCGGTGTTAAAGCGACTGATTGTTGGGGACTTTCTTCCTTTGTTCCGTCGTGTGTCACAAAGTTGTACATTTTGTTCTCTGATGTTGTATAGTAATAAAATTTGCATTTAGTTAGGCCGATGGGTGCATTGTGACACCAGTGTTAGTGCTGGAATTGAAACCAATGACTTTGTGTTCTTGAATGGCTATGTGCATCGTTTTAGGTGAAAGTCTGTTTTAGTTACTTTGTGGTTATGTCCAAAGTTATCGGTGTTCCCAGGTATGGATATGCAAGAGCGTTGGGTGATTGAAGATGGTTGCTTTGTAAATAGGTATTTGGGTGGAATCTATATGCTATTATATTGCTTGCAGCGAGTAACTTCCCTCACCCTATGGGTTGCTAAAATTGCAGATGGAACACTACCTATTCAATCTGGGCTGTACCTGCATGTACACAACTCCGCTGTGCGGAAACGTACACACTCGCTAATTCACTCCCTTAGACCTACAGCAAATTTAAGAATACCAATCTCTCGATTAGGTGACCTTTGGGGTTCTAGCTAAATTGCCTTGTTTTTGTTGCTAGTCAGGATCATTTCAATATATCTAGTTTGATTTGAGGCACAGCAATGGAGCTTTCTTGTCAGTTGTTCCATTTATGAAACATGAATTCCCATGATGCAACATTTAAGGGGACACACCCCTTGGGAGGGTCAATTTTTGAGCCCTTTGCTTAAAATTAATTAAATTTACAGGGGTAGGCTGGTGGTCATGCTAGAGGGTGCATAACAAAATTTCAGGTCTGTTGGTTAAGTGGGAAGAAATTAGGGCAGCTTCTATTGGCAACACGCCTACATTGTTTATTCTATCGTCCAAAACCTATCACAATATTCAAGATTTTTATTCGCTAGATATGTAGCAGAATGCCTAGGAGGTGCGGCTATGGAAAGCTTTTTGTAAAAAGTAAGTTACTTCTATCAATTTTCACTTCTGCAAAATTAGTCAACTTTTTTTTTTATAAAACACACAATAAAATCCAAAAAAAATTCCATAGCCGCATTCGTTATTAAATTTCAGTCAGGAAAAGTGAAGAACGAGCCTTCCCTGTATTGCCATTATGAAACAGTAGATTCGACTAAAATGGAATTTATACCAAAAAGTGGAATGGAGAAAAATGCGTTCAAAGTGCTCCAAACCCTACCTTTTCTTTAGCTTCGGTGGACAGAAAATAATTTATAAAAAATGAACTATGGAGTGTAAACTAGTGGAAATTTCTAGGAATACTCTAGATGTTGGTAGATGTAAGTGTAATTTTTCAAAATCATTGTTTTTTGTGGAATTTTTTCTGGAGGGACACTACCCAGAGAAAAAAAAAAATTTGGAAAAAACATTGATTTTAAAAATTACATATTTACATCCATCTACATCCAGAGTATTCCCAGAAATTTCCACTAGTTTACACTGCATAGTTAATTTTTCATAAATTATTCTCTGTCCACCGAAGCTAAAAAAAAGGTAGGGTTTGGAGCACTTTGAACGCATTTTTCTCCATTCCACTTGGTATAAATTCCATTTTAGTCGAATCTATTGTTTCATGATGGCAATACAGGGAAGGCTCGTTCTTCATTGTGCGTTTTATAAAAAAAAATGTTGACATTTTGTCGAAGACACAGAAGACCAAAAAGTTGACCAATTTTGCAGAAAAGAAAATTGATAAAAATGCCTAGGAGGTGCGCCATAGGCGCACCTCCTAGTCATTCTGCCACATATCTAGCGAATAAAAATCATGAATATTGTGTTAGTTTTCCGACGATAGATTAACTAAACAATGTACGGGAGTTGCTGATAGAAGCTGCCCTAATTTCCTTCCCACTTAACCGACAGACCTGAAACTTTGTTATGCACCCTCTAGCATGACTACCAGCATACCCTGTAAATTTCATCAATTTTAATCCAAGGGTTCAAAAGTTGACCCTCCCAGGGGGTGTCTCCCTTTAACATAAGCCTCGGCATCACTTGCAAGGATTGAAGTCCGTCGCAAGGTAGGGGTCAAGGTCATATCTGGACCATTGTCTATAATGTGAGGCCACGGCTATGTAAAACTCTCAGACTGCATACTGCAGCCTTAGCATTGGCAAGGTCACGGAAGCACGTGACTCTAGACTTCTCGCAAACCACGTGCCGAGAACAAAGAACTCTGAAGATCATCTGGCTCTAAGACTGATCGCTGGCAACATCTGGCTCCTTGACTTTCCCAGTCTTAATTTCTGCTTTGGGCTCCTGCCACTGTATCGAAAACTATTAAAAACAAATGCATCAGTCGACGTTAGCTGATGCTGACCAGATTGTAGCTGGAATGAAAGTGATACTCTGGCTTTTTCGGGGCCATTTACAAATAGCTGTTGGGACCATTTGCAAATAGCTATTGCATCATACACTCCAACATGTTAAAGACTGTCTCCGTTCCCTTGCTTTTTTTTTTTTTTACAAGTCCCTTTTTCTCATTAAATCTATCCTGGGGTGTCGGGAAACCTGCCCGTAGCATCCAAAATGGATGAAGATTTCAAAGGGTGCAAACTATAATCGCCGAAATAAAGGTTGATACAAAGGTGAGCTGGCGAATGATCATACTTTCGAATCCAGTCGTCGGGATGCTTTGGGAATCAAATTGTGCGTCTGTTAATAATGCATGCTCTTGCAACCCAATTTACTGAAGTGAGTGTGGTGTCTGCAGTGAAGTATGCAGAATTGTAAATGACACTAACTAGGGAGGTTGAGTGGCTAGATGTTGGCCCTCAGAACTGGCTGGACTTGAGCCTTGCACTCCTATTGCCTTGTTGGCTTGAGCAAGGTCTCTACAAAGAGCTCTACAAAGAATTGCTAATTTTTGCAGAATTTATGGCAAATAAGCTTAAACCATAGCTAGAAACATGCCGAAGAGCAACAAGCTCCGATCCTAGCTAGAGGCATGCCATCCAGGTCTGTCAAGGGGGGAGGAAAAGCAATGTGGTGGCAACTGTACTCCATTTCACTAAGTCGTAGCGTAGCAGAAGCTTCGAAGAGCAAGCTCCTGGCTTTCAGTGTCCCTGCCAAGCAGGTGCGCTCGTGCAGTGCAAGCACTGTTCGGGGCCACCTGCTCGAGCTTGTTGCATGGGCTAAGTCTGGACCTGAGCTGAAACGAAGTTTAGGAGCAAATTGTCCTTGGAGGCATGGTAAAACTAGGTTATATGTGCATCATTTAGGTATTGTCAGTCATCTACAGTATACTTGACTTGGCTAGCTCTGGGGTCATTGTCACAGCTGTAAGCAATGAGTTGGGCTTTATTTCCACTCCCAAGAGAGATGGGTTTGAGCGACTTTATAGACCCCTATCACTAAGGTATAAATTTCGGGTTCGAAAAATAAGGCAAACGATAATGTTTGATAATGCTGGTTCTTCAACCTCTGCTGGAAGCAATTACTCCAGTCTGCTTGAGACACTATCATTTACCTCGAGTGCTGACTGCAGTTGGGGCTGCACCTTTGACTGGAGTGTAAACATGTTCCAAATACTGGCTAGTTTGCAAGCATTAATCCGACGTCCTGTTATAGCAAAATGGACAAACTTCATTCTTTAAAGTGTTTAATAAAATCGTTAAATTAATTTTGACTGCCAGTATGTTGCCACACAGATTTCTTTAGTGACTTCTGTGGGTCATGGGGTGAGTCTGATATTTATGCTGCAGAGGTCTCATTGCATAGTAGAGGTTAGAGGGGCAAGGTCCAAGGAAAGTTACAAAATCCTAGCATTTGCATACAATATTCTAAACTGTTTTTTTTTTTTTTTTTTTTTTTAAGTTGTGCCAAGATGAAGTGCAGGCTAGGTGTTGCAATTTTTGCTGCTTTGTGCATAACGCTTGGCCTTGGAGACCAGTAGGAGTGGTGAAGCTGAGGGCAGTAGAGAATTTGAACATACAGTAATTCCTCGTTATAACGGAAGTGAATGGGATGGCAGAAAAATTTGATATAAGCGGTATTTCGATAAGTGATATAACCATAAGAACAGCACCAGCAGCCTTGAAGGTGGACTGGAACTCCGAGGAGCACTGACCGTATATTTAATCAAACCTTGGTTATGAACAACAAGCGGCTGCTTTACCGAATAAGAAAAGAATGAAGTGGAGTTTGCTGATAATTTAATTCGAGCATCAGTTCTCCTTGAACTCCTCCAGGCATCGCAAGATCACCGCCGCTGCACTCCACTTTGTTTTGAAGCAGCCATAAAATGTTCAGAGTCTCCGCAGTCGTTGGTCTCTCCCGAGGTGCCTCTCCGACGTCGCTTTGTGTTTACCCCGGCCACGCACAAGGTCTACGATCGCAGCATCCATGGCAGGAGCTACAAAGGAAACGTCCGCATCCACAAGCTGAATGAATCTGAGTTATCCTCGGTGGCTTCACCAACATATTTTCACACACTCCTGTAGAGATTGTTGCAGTTCTGGTAATCGTGTGCTGGCTCGGCAAGCATGCTCGCAACAGAAAATCCGAAGTGCACAAAGCAGTTGGCAATCTTTCATCTTCGGGCCACGGGTGCACTTTCTCTTGCATGAGAAACTTCTCGAACCCGTCCAATATGCCTTGGTTGTTCTGCAAAATGGTGGACAGTGTCGAACAACCGATGCCAGAATCTTGAATTCTTTGGCGATTTCTGACTTGGACCGGCTACTTTTCTCAACCTCGCAGATCTAAGCGACTTTAGGTAAACACTCCCATACCACGCACGTGTGCGTGTATGCCGCGGGCGTGCGTGCGTCAGGGGCTCCCGAAGGGATGATCTCCTCCGCGTTCCTCCGGGCTCCATCGCTCCCTTGACCCGATTCCGACAGGAGTCTGGCAGCGTCTGCCGCAGGCACCATGAGTAGCGTCGGAACGTAGACGTTTCTCTTGCTGCTCCCTGCCTGCGTCGGCGCATAGGCATCAGAAGAGGCGCTCTGCGCGCTCAGCTCTCAGTCATCTGTTTGGTTTGTTTTCTTGTTTGCTGTATTTGCAGTTTGCCTTTTTCTCAGTTTGCCTCAGTGAAGGGGGAGGGAACACAATGGTCTCCGTGCGCCTCCGTGTAGGCTTGCTTGCTTTTGGCACCGCGGCCTTCGGAACAAGCGTGTTTGGCCGCCAATACACTTGGAATAATCCAGTTCAAAATGCATGCATTCTGGTCACGACCACGTTGAACTTCGATCATTCGGAAGAAGCGATTTCGTTATAATGAGGGATTACTGTATAAATATAATCAGTTTATTCTTACGTAGATCACAGGACAGCCCAACTTGAAGCACCTTTTCAATCCTCTACCTCCTAGTTTTTGTAGCTCTCAAGTACTACACCCCTCGTGGCATAAATATTGAATAAGCAAGGTCAGCCTGCTGAATGGGAACATTTGGAAACCATGTAGGAAAGTTGCCTGGCTTCTGCTGCTCTACTATTTGGAAACAGGCCCCTCTGGAAACTTTTAATTTATTTTTCTGTCATTGCAATTTGCAAAGGTTACCAGAGGAATAACTTTCAGTTGGGTGATCTAAGATGTCACTACTTTGTATACTACCAAATAGTTTCGAGGCTATTTGTGTCGAACTTGGAGGCAGGCTTGAACAAGCTTTGCGCATACTGTATAACCTCTCTGTATCTAGTTGAAGAATGCTTGTACTACCAATGTAGGCTGTGAAGTGCTGATTAAAGACACTGGATCCTGGGAAATAGCATCATTGCCCTCTCTGTCTACTAGGAGGACTGAAACCTACTTGGATACGAACAACCAAATCGTCGCGAAGCATTTGATAAAAAAAATATTTGTTGCCACAGCAATTGTCATTTCAGTCCTTTCAAAGCTTTGATGGGGGGGGAGTCTAAACCAGCAGCTCTTAGGTTTTGATGGCGCCGTCGTGTTAAAAGCGGTTCTTACCAATGTCGCTGTCATTGGTGCTGTATACACAAATAACTGATCAATCTGGCTTATTTCCACTGATTCCTTAAAACGATATCATCCTCCATGCGTCTTTCATGACATAAAAATTATTTTTCAATGCTGCCAAACACGTGCTGGTAATGTTACAAGAATAAATGGAAAGGAGCAAAAAAGGATGAAGATGGGACGAAACGTCCTTCCGAAGACTTTTCGTTTTAGTGCATGGGACTGAACACGTTCCCAAAGGTGTTTCACCCTGACCTCGTCCTTTTTGGTCGCTTTTTGTTCATAGTTTCAGCAAGATGTTTGAATATGTGCAGAGTACAATAGAGCAAGGCTGGTGCTTGCAACATCGAGCGAAACATTTGTGCCCGTTTTTTTACGACTGTGGAGGAGTGAAGCGTGTATGTGTGCGTGTGTGTTGTGTCCGACTGATTGCCCGAGTGACTGACCGACTGACCCCCGTGTGTGTCAGCAGCTTGGGTTGGACTGTGCCTGCAGCGGGGAGCCCCCGTGGGGCGGGTGCCAGGACGGTAGCAGCTCCTCGGAGCTCAGCTGGGAGCAGGTGGACGAGCGGGAGGCCAGGGCCACCCTGTGGGTGCCGGACCACGCCGCCTCCCACTGCACTGCTTGCGGGGCAGAGTTCTGGATCGGGCGCCGCAAGCACCATTGCAGGTGAGGCCCCCCCCCGGCGTCGTGTGTGCCAGAAGTGCCGTTCCCTGCTCATGTTGACAGCCATGGTTATGTAGCAGGGCTTCCTCCTCGATAAGAATTGTGCCCGTGGTCACCTACGTTTTTGGTTGGGGAAAATACCGTGTCGGGCACCTTTGCTCGGATTTTTTGCAAAGTAGCGCCTCTTGGTTACAGTACCACGGCTAGGACAAGAGTAGAGTCATCCTCTTTCGCAGGTTGGAGTTCAATAAACCCATTGCTAAACAGACGTCCACGTGTGAAGTGTGCAGTGAATTGTGGAAATGTCCCATATACTCCTTACTCCTGCAGCATTTACACTATATTTGGCGGCACCGACACGAAAGAGAAGAGTAGGTCTGTTCTGCACCTTCCCTCGCTTGCTCGCCTACAGCCGGCTCTGTGCAGCCAGTTTCCAGAATCCCTTGTGGTGCAGGCGGAGGTGCCAAAGAGTGCTGCACTTATTTCAAAAGCTCCGTTAGGATGTACATTTGCACTTCACTCCCAAACTTTTCATTGGGAATGTTCACGCGTCTCAAAGCAGAACGAGGGGCATGGGCCACCATCGATACTAATTGAATCATCCATATAAATGGTGGAGCTGATGCACTTGGATGAACATTTTGTAAAGCGTTGGAAGGATGCTTGTTAGCCGCCTCGGTGGCTCCGAGGCGAGAGCGCCGGCCTACGGATCCCCAGGTGGCGGGTTCGAATCCCGACCGAGGTGCCCGCAATATGACGGAGGCTTATTGCGGAGAAGGCGCCGTGTAACCGAGCTTTCGGTTGCACGTCAAAAGATCCCCAGGTGGTCGAAATTAATCCCCAGTCCTCCGCTGGGGCGTGCCAGATGCCCGTCGTAGGTTTGGCACGTAAAACCCCCAAATTTGACTTTTTGGAAGGATGCTTGTTCAGGTTCTCTGGTTGATTCGCAACGCTAGCTTCTCAAACCTGCGTGTTTTTGAAGACTCTTGGAGCAGCCGGGATATTACACGAGCAATCTTCTTGCAACCTGAAACCTTTGCCAGTGCTATTGCATAGTTACTCAGTTTTTCTCATTGGCAGAAAAATTCCTGTCACTTCTTGCTTGGAGGCTACGGATTCCCAGCCGCCAGTTTGAATCCCGGCCAAGGTTCCCACAATCCGACAGAGGCTTGTTGAGGAGAAGGTGCTGCAAATCCAAGATTTAGAATGGACTACAAAAGATTCCCTGACAGTCCTCTGCTAGGCATGCCAAATGCCCTTCGTTAGTTTGGCACAGAAAGCCCCCCAATTTGACTTTGGTGTCTACCGGGCAGCCTCTGCAGTGCTTTTCTGCTGCATTGTTTTCTTTGCCACTCTGGCAGGTGCTCTAGCCCCCTTGTCTGCCTTTGCTCTGTTGCCAGGAACTGTGGCAACGTGTTCTGCAGCCAGTGCGCCAGTCAGATGCATCCTGTGCCCCACGAGCAGTTGTACCAGCCCGTGCGAGTGTGCAGTTCGTGCTTCGAGGCACTACGTAGCCGCCCGTGCCGGCCGTCTGCCCTGCTCGCTGCACCGGGACCCCACCCGGAGCGGATCCTAGCCAAGACAAGCCCCGCCGTCACGGCCGCCTCCAACTAGACCCTCCTTGCCCCTCCTTCGTATGCCCCGCAAGAGCCTGACCCCGGTCCGAGGACGTCCGGTGCCCCGCCGAGCGGGCCAGCCGAGGAACCCAGTTAGAAAAACGTGCCAAAGGAATGGGGCCTGCCGCGAGCCCCGTCCCTCCTACGCCTCTTTTTTCTAGCATGGCCAACCGAAGCCGGCCAATCGGGCGTCCCGGTTTAAGGACGGTCCCTGCGACTCGCCGCACCTTACTTCTTCTCGTTCGTTCCGTGCTGCACCTCCTGGACGGCGAGGCCGTGGTGCCGAATTTTGGGCGTCGCCTGAGAGGCTGACACTGGGCACGATTGGACACGAGTGGTGCATCAGTGTTTGGCTGAGACTCGTGTTCGGTCAATGAGAACGCCGAACGCCGATGATGATGCGAGAACGCCCAGCCGAACGCCGATGCGGAACCCGCGTCCAATGCATACCCTGCGTGAGCCTCTTTCGGGCGACGCCGAAATTCGGCACTACGACCTCGCTACCTAAGAGCTGTTGTCTGCGCAGACCGAGCATTATTTCGTGGAGGGGGAGCGGCGAGGAAGATCGGACTGCGGGTAAACGTTGCCGACCATCTTTCGTTTTCTTTGTCGCTTTGTACTACAAGCGTGCCACCGACGCCCTAGGACTAATGGAATTTCGGTGCAAGGAGAATGTGTCTTGCCGTGCAGCGCACAGACGAGTGGTTCGAGTTTGCCGTCGTGGTGCGTGCACGGAAGAGAGGCGGAGCCGTTTGGAGCGAGGACCGAGCCATTGTTAAGTTTTGACGTTTGACTGCCTCGATTTAGTTGTGGAGGAGATGCCTGGGAAAAGGTAACCATTTTTTTTCCCTTTCTTCCGCTGGGTTTGTCCTTGGTTCGTTTGTTTGCGTACAGTGCCGTGGCCCCTGCAGCTCGAAAACTAGGAGCTTGTGTTCAGTTCCCCGCAAATGTTCAACTTTCAGTACACCAAAGAGTGGCAGACCTGTTAGTCGACACCTAATCATTTCTTGGCTGCGCCGCTGTGTTGCTCGTACCTTAGAACCGACTTATTGGGCCAGAGTGTCGCTTTGAGAAGGTGCCACATTTTCCATCAATATGGATGTCTCGGGGCTACATAAACAGTCCGTCTTCTGTGATAAACTGCTGTGAGATCGTAGCAAGTTTTTAAACCTTCATTGAAGATTTTGGTCAGGTACACTATTTGTGGTTTTCTCAGTCTTGGCGGGAACTCTAAAGGGATGCTGAACCAAAATTTGGATTTCACAAAGTAGGGCCGCTGAAGCGTTATGCTACGAACTCCAGAACATCATTCGTACATCGAAATCTCTAACAGATGGCCATTTTTTTTTTGGAAAAGAAGGGCGGGGTCAAGACGTCGCGATTCTTTTCGAAGTTGAGAATGAGGAAAAATGGCCTCGGTTCGGTTCACCAGCTCGAGGGGACGTAGTGAAAAGGAGAGGGAATGAGAATCATGACGCTGCATATGTCTCATCGGCCTTGTCGGGTGTGTTCTATGGCTCACCTCTTTTCCAAAAAAAAACAAACAGCAATCCGTTAGAGATATCGCTGTACGAGTGACGTTTTTGGGGTTTTGCATTGTCCCGACCACCGCTCTAGCCTTGTTTTGTAAGCTCCAAATTTCGGTTCAGAATCCCTTTAATTGGTAAGCATTCATAAACCGCAAAAGCGGGAAAACGATCAATTTTAATAAAAACGCTAGGGCGTGTTCCAGGCATCTGAAAGTTTAAACGTAAGACTTGGTAACCGTGCAGATTTGGTGACTTCTGGGCTGCAGCGAAAAGAGGGTTGTTTTTCCAAACCTGTGACTAGTGGATCCTGTTCCGTACATGTTTACGCCGGAAAGTGACAGCAGTTTCCAACTGGGTTCTTTTGGAGAGCTACGGTAACTTCTGCTCGTGCAGAGCATAATAGGAACAGGCTGTGATGCATTTTGCAAACCCCCTTTCTCGCACTGCGGCACACCGTTTAGCGCTGCCGCCTACATTGGAGCCGCCGGTTTTGTTTTAGTCCAGCTGGCATGCTACGTTGTTCCTGTGCAGTGTATTGGAAAACAGTGGACAGTGAAGCTGGCATGCAAAAGTAGAATGGCCACGTGATTGCCGACAGTTTTCTCGCATTCGTTTCTTCACCTCGGCAACCCCTGGATGCACGTGGCTTTTATTACTCCCGTTTTCGTTTGCTTTCATGCCTACTACTACCCCCTCCTTGTTTTTATTTCAACATGCTTGTGTTCAGTGCATTGTTCCTAGGATCCAATGGGTATGTCGTGTACAGGAGGCAATTTCTACAGAATTGTGAATATCATGACCTGAGAAGTGTACATTGATATCTTGTGTTCCAAGTGTAATGTTCTAGCGACGAGAGGACACAGAATAAACCTAAGTTTCAAATTTGTTCTTTCGACTTTGTCTTTATTTTGGCGATGTAGGACGAAACCGTCCTCTTGGTGTGCTAGACATTCTGTTTGTCCGGCACTTTTTCTTGTTCAATGTTTTCCGGTGCAGTTTTGAAGAAAAAACGAAACCTGATAGGCTGCCTAGCTGCATAGGTGGTGTTTGAATTTCATCAAGAGCTTGTGCCGTCATTTCGAAGCATGGATTGAGCATGCGTCCATTAGGCCCGCAATCCGCAGTGTACGGGTCTACTAAAACTCTCTATGCGCTCTTTTAATGTGAAAGCATTAACTGGGGTCCCACGGAGCGAACCGGCCGGCGTTCTCGGCTCTTGAAGCCGTGCGCCAAACGGCACCTAAATTCCCCTGTCCCAAGGGAGGGTGTAGTCTGTGACGGTGAGGCAGCATAGTTTCAAGGGATGCCACCCCATGGCACTGCGGCCCTACGCCGGTGGAAGGAACACTGTTAACACGGTGGTGCGTGCTCGCAGGAGGCCCCGAGGGCCGAGGAGGAACGGGTGCTCCTCTCGGCGCCAACGAACATCGCACCACAAAGCTCGAAGGAGCACTTAGCGGCATCCAATTCAAAATTTATGCTTTTGCATTCACAACTCATAAGAAGTGCTTAAGTGTCTTCAGAATTTTTAAAACAGAATTGTTTGTGCACAATTTTGCGCTGTGCTGACTCGCGCTTTCGGTATTAAGGCTGCCAAGAATGCAAGAATACAACTGGACCCTTTTGCCGAGCCATGGCCGCACCTCCATCGAGGAGGATGTTACAAGAACGCTATGTAACCATAGAAGCGCAGTGCTACCCAACAAGGATATATAGTGAACCTCAGGGCTCGCAAAATGCAAAAAGACTGCACAAGAACCTATTGTTTTTGCCCCCAAAATGGTTAATGGCAGGCCAGCCACACACTAAAGGTCATCTTGGAATTTTTTTTTTTATCATCATGATGTTACACAACACCATGACAAAGTGCGACATCACAGTCGTGCGATCAGAGTCCCATGACAAGTTGGAACATTTGAAAGAATTCTAGGTTATAAGTAATCAACAATATAACTGTAAGCGGTTCAGGTAACGGTTACGGTTCACTTAAGATGAAAATATTGGTTCCGTTCCGATTACGGTCAAACCGAATCCGAAACCAAAAACCGAAACGGTTTTTGGTTTGGGATTCGGTCTGAGCCTCCGATTAATTCTTTTACTAGTAAAAATAAACACATGGTTCCAGCAAGAAACTTGCTAGTAGTCATTGAAAACCACTAAATTAGCCAATTCTAGAAACACATGGAGCATCTGGGAAGCATGGCTACTTTGCCAAAGGCGATTGGTTAAATACTAGAAAAATTGCTCGGTCAAGCAGAGGTTGAATGCATTTTTAGGACCCAGAAAAACTAAGCATGCGCTTGAAACATTGCTAAAATTGACGGATTTTATGGTTTTCTATGACAGTCAGCGTCTACTAAAAGTGATTTTAGGAATTGAGAAGTAACTATGTAAAACTAATTAAAATCTTAATTATCCTAAAGGCTGGATGCCTCAATCACTGCCCTTGCAGTAATGTGATTGGTCCGAGTCATTTTGGAGCACCTCTTAGACCAGCCAAAAGTGCATTTTGGAGCAGCAAAAAGAATGTTTGGAGCATAAGCACACACTTGATGATCATTCATACCACTGCAAATATTAAATTAAGGTTCATACATTGACCTGTCCAACTACAAGGCAATGTATCTTTGCCTTCCCCCTTGTGTGCAACCTTTTGTTAGCATCAGCTGTACGGCAGGCGCGATTCCCTTAAACACAAAACTAGCTTTTAGTTCAGAGTAGAAGCACCAGACATGGCAACATTAAGCTGATTGATGAAGGACAGCATGAATTGCTGTGAATGGTTACTTTAGGTACAGAATCAAAGGTAAACAAATAATACATTCCACTAAAATAATGTTGAAATAGAATAATTTTGAACACCCTTAACTCATGCTTCATTCGTTCTAAAGGTTGTAATAAAACTGCCATTCATAACAGATAAAAACAAAGGATTTGTCACTTGATTATGAACTTTCTGACAACAAACGTCAGCATGTAAACTAAACTAAAGCCAGCAAAAATCTGGCTTTAGTTTACTGATTCTGCCACCGAACAGATGGAACCGATATAAAGGTGATAGAGTCTCGACATAAAAAATAAACCTATAGAGCAGTCAAAATAAATCTCGAAGTACCCAAATATACTTGCTAGATTTCATATTTGAAAAAAACACAATGTCATCAGAATATTGTAGCTTATACTTGCTACCCAAACGTTTGTTAAAAAAAAAAAAAAAAAAAAAAAAAACAATTGCAAGGTACAGTTCCCTTAGCACTCAAAAAATGCATGTGCAACATTCCGCCCTGGAGGAGTGCTTTCTCCTTCGCACAAGGGTGCACTGCAGCAAAGCAAGAAGCGCAAAATCGCAATGCCTACTTCGCTTCGCGGTTGTCGCTTTATTGCAATGTACCAGTGTGCGGTGAGAAGTGAACTCAACAGGGGCAGGGCTAATGTCATAACAGACCACGAACATCTGAAATATTGCGTAATTTCCGAGTACTGTCAGTGTTCGGTAAAGAGAAAAAAAAAATTGATAGTATGATGAAAATAATTCCTGCAGAAGGGGAAAAAAATAAACCTATACACGTTTGCAAGTCCGGTCTCAGGGCGCCGCCATCTTATTCAGTGGGGTGCGCTCTTCGGCGCGGCCATAATCCGATTACGACGCCTTAGCAAGGCTTCGTAATTGGATTATGACTCGTCCGAGCGCACCCCAGCCAAGCAAGATGGCAGCGCCCTGAAGCCGGACTTGCAAACGTGTATAGAGCAGTCCCAATAAATCTTCTCGCAGTACCCAAATATATTTGTGTCATTCCTGTCCTGTCCAGCTCGCTTGCACTTAGTAATTGCATTATAAACATAATGACTAGTATGTTATTTTAGGCGATAATCGGCAGTTTTGAAAATTTGCACCAGCCTACCATAATGATCTGGAAGTGTAGCGGGACCCGAGCGATTAAACTTCACCCAACGCATTAATAAAGGGCAATGATGCTTTGGTGCAATGCTGGTGCAAACTCATCTTTCGGCAAGATGTAGCAAAATGTTGCAGGGCAAGTACTTTGGCGCAAATGGCGCAGCAATAACATCACTGTTCTTGAATGTCCATTAAATGGTACAAATCTTGTTTCTGAGCAATGTATTTTTTACACGAAAAAATTTGAGATGTTCGGTGAAACATCCTGTATATTTGATGAAATCAATAAACTGCTTCAGCAGTTTCTGGATTTACACGTTTTTGTTTACTCAGCACCAGCTACTTGCACCCACACTTTGCATTTCAATTCCGGGTGCGTAATAATGAAATTTAGCAGGGTACAGTGGCCCGGGCATTTCCTAACGTATAAGGTTCATCACAAGCGAGATAGAAAGTAAAAAATAAAATGTCACTACTATGGAATGTCTGGTATTGTGTGCCCATATATGAAGCACCTTCGGGCGAGTTGAGTGGACCCCTCCCATAGAGACTGGGTTGATTAGTGCAGCTTACTTATGATGACAATGAGAAAACCCACATATTCAATCGTTATAACCAAGCATTATCTGGATTAGAAACTGATCGTTATAAGCAGTATATCGTTGTGATATCATCATTAGCAATTGCACTGTACATTAATGCTATCTAATGTGCGAGGAATCTATGGCAGTCTGCAGAACTTCCGGACATTTGTTTCGAAACGTTTGCAAAGAGGTTATGAAATCAGTACGACATGAACGGTGTACCTCCACCAAATAAACCAAGAAACGTACCTTAGTGTTCCACACTTCTTCCAAGTCGAAATACTAGGTAGTGACTTGCCCCATAGACAAGGCCCACATCTCTCCCAGCCATTTCCCTTTTTTCTGAACACCACAGAACAACGGTGCCAGGAATGCGGCTTTGACTGGCGTGCTTAGCGTCCCATTTCGGCCATACACCAGAAGTGGGCAGGAAGCGACGCCACAAAAGCAAGCGTGTCCTGCTGTCGCGATCCTGGTGGAGCAAGAAGTCCCGGAAAAAAGCACGAGTGAACGAAGGTGTTGCCATCGTTGCGGAGTCCCAACCCCTGGCTGCTGAAGCTTCAGTAGGCACGCGCTGGAGGGCGACACAAGAAACTGCTCAGTGCGACACTGCAGACTGTACCTTTATGAGTAGCTAACCCAAGTACACCTTTGGGGTTTCTCCTAAAACATTCATGTGTCCGTTAAGCACAGCAGAAAGCTCTGCCAAAACCTCGCAGTAGAAACCCTTACAGCTGCCGGCGAAGATGAAAGCGACAAAGGGGGACATTTTTTCTTCCGAAATCATTTATTCGCTCGTTCACTGGCAAAGGTGCATGTGACCTTGTCTATACAACCCAGCTGATGTTTGTATTTTTATACAGCGCTATTTACATCAAAGGGAAACTGTTGGGTGGGGTCAAAGTGGTAGTAGCACGCAAAAATTAAAAAAAAAAAGTTATTTTATGTGGTCAACGTAACAGAAGGGACAGCCCTTTCCCAACCCCTATTTTTGTTTAGTGCAGTGTCCTTTGGAAAAAACTGTAAAAAAATTGTCGGTTCAACGTTGATTTCTTTAGAAACGACACATTCCTCTCTAATGTACATTATTCCAGGGTGCAAATCGTCGGGGCGACGGTTAACGGGACGCAAAAAGTATGGTTCCGTTTTCTGCTTCGACCCGGGTGCTCCTACGACCCCTCCGAGAGAGTCGACTTTTCTGCTTCTCGGCTGTCTGCCCACGATTCCAGAACGCACCTCGGATTTCCGCCATTCGTTCGGATGTGAACGATCGGGTGCCGATCTCACGAGGCAAGAACTAATCGGAACCCCTTTTTCGTTCGACCAGCAGACGAAAGAACCTCTTCCTTCTTCCTCCATGGTTGAAACGAAGGCCACATTTTGGGACCCTTTCCAAATTCAGTATGAGCAGTCACTGTTGTGTGCGTTAAAACTACCTTGATCAATCACTTACGGCAACAGCAAGGTTCCTTACTACTTTCCAAAACAAAGACAAGGCCTGTGCCACGAACAGAACAAGAAAAAAACGCATCTTTTTCCCGAAAGATGTCAGGTGCATAAAGCCAAAACAAGATGGCTTATTAGTAGGGTCAGCCTGTAATCAAATTCTGGCTGCGCAAAAAAACCAAAAACGGGGGGGAAAAAAAAAAAAAAAGAGCCGACTACAGTTGAGTTAAAATGTTTGTAGGACACATATTAGGCGCAGACCCAAAAAGGGACACCAGTTTGCGTGTCGCACCACAAAACTTACAAGCTTCTTTCTCTCACTCTCTTTTAGAAGTTAAAATAGAAAAAGAAACTGAAAAGAAAAAAGTCACACAGCCTATATAAAAAAATAAATAAAAAAAATTAGTGGCTTAGGCAAGAGGACAGCCCCTGAAGGGCACACTACAAACCTGCTGGTCAAAACCGAAAAGGGCTTTCCAATTTTTTCCAGTCGCTCCCGTGAAAAAAGAACGAGAAACAAATGTTCACTTTGGTCATAATCGGCAGCACCGCCGGGCTGGCCACACACGCACGTCCAACAAGATCCAAAAAACGGAACACGCGAGCAACAATTCTAACACGTCGTCGGTGGCCGCCGTCACTCACGAGTTCGTTGCCCCGACGAAACGAGTGGCGGGGGACAGACACCATGGCACTACGAGCTTGTCCGTACGCTGGCTGCGCGTGCTCCGAAACGACGACCGCCATTCGTCGCCGCACGCCGAAACAGAAGACGTCCCCCTCAAAGACTGACCATTGGGCCGGGTCGACACCCCGTCAGCCGCGACCACGGCTCGCGTAGCGGAAGGAAGGCAGGGGAAGGGATGCGCCACGGATGGGAAAACGGACTGCTCAGCGCAGTCGCACGCGTTATGACTTCGGCCTGAAACGTTGCCGCGACTTTCGCCCGTCTGACTGCCCCCGGGTGGTCGTGGGAGCCGCACCCTAGACATCTCTGCCCTTTCTTTGCACATTTTAGTTTTTAACTCCGCATCAGAAGCGGGACGACACGCTAGTTTCGGAAATCGTAGGGCGGAGGAAAAAATTTGTCTTACTCCAAATACGATGAGAAAAAACTATGCGAACAAGTGCAAGTGCTGGCCCCGTCAAGAGCCCCACTAGAAGTCAAATTCCGGTATACCCGTATGGTTACAGCTATTAATGCCCTCGAATGCGTCGCTACTGCACCAAGGGCAAAAAAAAAAAAAAAAAAAAAAAAAAAAAAAAAAAAAAAATTCTGTTAAAGCTTTTTCTGTAGATGCGGACAGAACAAAAGGAGGGTCGGACCGAGAGTCGAGGACAAAAGTCGCCCGACAAGTCTCAAAACGAAGGGAGGCGTCCGACCAAAGTGTAAATTATTTCTCTCCTCTCTCCGAACGCGAAACTGATGGACAGCAAACGACGGACGTGCACGCCTCTTTCAGATGGCACCAGCGCAGATGGGCGACACTTCGAACCTGCCGAACAAAAACGTGCCCCTCGCCAAAGACAGTCGCAAACTGAACAAGCTTTCTTGCCGAGCCGTGAAACTAGACTTGGCGGGCTTCGGCGAACGCCGCAGCGCAACCAAACGGACGCGGTGGCCGGGCGACCTCGCGCGCAATTATTCGTCGCGTCTGACCGCGAGGTTGTGCCTCTTTTATCGCGACGGACTCGACGTAGCGCTGGCCGCCGTCCTCCCAAAACTGGGCACCGCTACGCGAATCCCGCTGACCGTCGACAAAAATGCGACCTTCGATTCGTTCCATTGTCCGTTTCGTCCTAGACGCGGTACTACTCCTCTACAGGGGGGGGAGGGTGGCTCGGGGGGAGGAGGGGGAGCACTTCTCGGGGGGCTAGAGGGCCGTGTGGGTGAAGGAGCTGGCGCTGTTGCTGTGGGCGAGGCTGAGGGTGCTGCCCGCCAGGCTGTCTCCGTCCGACAGGGGCTCCCGGGACGCCTCTGCGATCTCGAGCGGGTTGAAGCCCATGCGGGCGCTCTCCTCGTCAAAGGCCTCGATCTCGCGTGCCTGCCGCTCGCACAGCAGCCGCTGCCGCTCGGCACGCTCCTCCTGGAACTGCTGCTTCTCCAGGTCCATCTGCCGCCAGAGAGGATGCATCCAGTGATCGAGCCGAACACGCAACCCAAGAGGGTCGCGCCGCATTACTTATGCCCGAGTCCCGCTAGAGCGACAAACAGAAACAAACGACAGCGACGTGCCTTAAACCAGAGTCTTTTGCGATTTGACAGGCTTTGTAGAATAAAGGAGGCCATGCTCAAACACAAGCATCATGCACGCAAGGGTATCTTTGGAAGGCTTGCAATCACTCGCGGTTACTTCACGAGCACCAAACGACTAAATGCCTGCCAAAGGTACCATCGGGAGCATGCTGCATGTGTTTGAGGCTTGTCACTATTGTTTGTTGCTCTAGTGGGATTCGGGCATTACACTTATAGTGCTCACACATTCGGGCAGAACCAACTATGTTGTTGTCTAATTAAAGGAGCTGTGCAACAATTTCAGTGCTTTGTTTAAATAATTTGGGAGTTGGTGCCTGAACCTTTCTGAGGTAAACAACAAAAAACCGCTTTTGCCTGCATGTCCTAGTTTTTATTTTAGAAATGGACAAAGATTGGGGTTTTCAGCACCTCTCAACTCCTTCACCATCTTCCGAGTCACGTGCGCTGTGACGTCAATGGGGGTGGCGCGGGGTTCCGGTGAAGCTCTCTCTCTAGAACCATCAATGAGCAGAGAGAACTCACCCACTCGCGACCACGTGACCACGTGCTTGCGCAGTGGGGTCAACATGGTGAGAGGAGGAAAGTCTTGTGTCCGAGTCCGGCCATCTCCGTCCGGGTCTGCCCCCTTTACTCTCCGGTTTCTGGCGACTGTTCGAGCTAGCAGATAGAACTGACGGTTTTGTTGACCTCGGATAGATGGTACCACTAAAAGTCCCTACAATAAGTTTTGTCGATGATACCAGGTTTTTGACGCATTTATATTTATGTTGGAATGACAAGATTCATAGAAAAATTACCTTTTATCGAGCAGGTATTTGCGCAACTCCCTATCTTTTTACAAATCCCCCAGTGACGTCATGCCGCGTGATTCTCATATCCGCCGCTCGCAGCTGCAGGTCAGGAAATATTTTAATTTTTCCCTCGCGATTACGCGGCGGCATTGCCACATTTCGAAGGAATGTGTATTTTCTACCCTTTGTGACAAGATAAACAATGTCAAAAGTAGAAGATGCAAATTCTTTCGACGTTCGAATCGTTGCACAGCGCTTTTAAGTGATTAGCTGCGGACATATTAGAAAGTGCCAGAGCCGGTCACGTGCCAATTTTACATTTGGCGGGTAAACTGAATTTGAACTTGTGTGTCCATCAAATGACATCGAGCCGTGCGGTGTCATTTTCCCGGCTAAATTCAGAGGTGAAACTGATTTGGTGTTAAGACGACGCGACATTGAGCCGTGTGACATCATTTTTTCCACTAAATTAAGCAGGGAAGCTGAATTGGTGTTGAAATCGTAGGATGTCAATTATCTCAAGTGGGGAAACTGAACTGGTGCTGAAATCATTTTACGTCAATTTTCCCGTTAAATCTAGCGGGGAAACTGAATTTGTGTATAGGTCAAGTGACATAGTGTCACGTGACATAAATTTTCTCTCCAACTTTAGCGAAAAAACTGAATTTGTATACGTGATATAAAGTCATGCGACATAAATTCCCCACCGAATTTAGCGGTTAAGCTGAATTTGTGTACTCGCAACTCCAGCGAACCACAGGGGATGCGCTGGTCAGGCAAGAGGTCCTGCTCGTTGTTCAGCATACGAACCAGCCTAAATTTATTGCACTGCAGCGTAAAATCAATGTTATATATGAAAGCAAAAGCAATTTTTCTAGCGATAAAAACATTCTTACAGTCCAGGGTTGGCCAGACTGACCCGGCCTAAGAGCCGCAAATTAAACCACGAAACTTCTAAGAGCCGCGGGAAAAGGGGGGGGGGGGATTCTTTTTGTCCAGAGCAATAAACGAAACTCGAACTACTTTCAATCTATCCGAGTCAAAAGCAGTCCAACCGTACGTATGGTAGCAGTAACACAAGACTACCAAACTGGAACCTGCCTGGCAATTTAAAACGCGTTCCATTTCTCTCTGAGGAAGTGCTCATGTGACCAAGAGGGAGGCGGGGGAGTATGTGTGTGTGTGTGTGTGTGGGGGGGGGGGGTAGCTGCGACCCGCACTTTAACACGCGAAGAGCCGCAGCTTGGCCACCCCTGTTATAGTCAGTGCATAGGAATGACACGGCAGAAGCATAAAAATAATTTCTGGAAACAATGCTGCCTATGAGAACCAAACAGCGATAGCAGACAGCAGAGTCGAAACGACCTCCTCTCCTGAGCTTCTTGGCATTGCCGCTACGCGGCGTCTGTTTTGCTGCAGTCACCAATGGGTCACGTGATATCATTTCCATTTCCACCTCCACCCACCCACCCACCTACCCACCCCTCCCAAATTTAGCGGGGAAAATAAACAGCCAAAACATACCTCAAGGTGGCCTGAAGATTTTAAGAAAGCTAATCGCTTTAAAATTCGAAAAGGGATGTGCGCGACGTAATCCACGAGCTGTCCTTCCTTAGCTTTGCCGTTCACACGGTAAAGATGCCAGTAGAGGGATGAATTTAGGGGTTTTCATTCGTGGATTTTGAGATTGTCTTTGTAATGGAATATACTCACTCTATGCACCATAAGCATCCCACAAAACCCAAGATTACAATCAAGCATGGTTTTTTTCACATTTAAAGACGCAACCAAACATAGCGCTACCTCTCATTACCGAGATATATCTTAGAGAAAACGATGTATCAAGTTTTTTTAGGATGCTTAGGTCGAGTTTGTGGCACGCGAAGACAATCTCGAATCTTACCTTAGTGGCCCTTTGTGAAAGACAAAATGCAAAGGCGATCAAAGCTGGTGGAAAGAGCTTGAAAAGAAACACCCCGACAGCCTCCGAGTAGGAAGAGTCGACCTTCTATCGGGAGGCTCAGGTTCTTTGTGTCCAAGTATCTTAAGGAAACGCTGGCTGCTATTCCAAGGCTCTGTAAGGGGCTTCCGTCACACCTGCTGTCTGTCACAGAGCCAGTAAACACGTATAAAAGGCGAAGCCTTTCGACCTCTTATCGGCACTCCCCCCCCAACTGGGTTCCAACCACTTGTAGACTTATCTGCTGTTGCGCTTACAGTGAGAAGGCAACAGCCACCGAAACTCAGGAATGCAGGGCATAGCGAGTCCTCGGCATCTCAATATGGCTCCGCTGCCAATGAGATTGTCTCAATGAGCCGATAAGAAGGGAGCAGAACCAATCCCGAATATAATAAGCTGCGCCCCGAGTTTCTTACGCTTTTACAGGCCATGGTCTAAAGTGCTTAGAAATAGGTGCGGCACACGGCACTGCCGTCCCCCTCTCACAGGTGCCTTTTGCCCGGATTCGAAGGAGGCCTTAGATAGTGACCCAGTTGGGCTTTGAATTTGGAAACACGTGAAATTTAATTTAAGCCTGCCTCGATCGTAAACTCAGAGACTCACAGAATGTGTTGCGTATGTGTGTCCAACGCCACCTGACATCGCAGCGTCTCATGACTCGGACGTCACGTTACCTTGACTTCGCACGACCTCATGACGTCACAGTGACGTGACGTCATGACTTCGCTGGACCTTGCGACATTGCAGTGTCACGTGATGCCATGCTGTTATGTGACATCACAATGTCATGTCACATGATACACTGATATCAAAGTCAATAAGCATTGCAGCTTCTATAACCTTGACATGCGCATCAATCGAGTGCAATGTTTCTTACGAAAGTGAGCCCCATAATTGTGATGCCATGTTGTGAGGCGATTGTGATGACATTATGATGACAAGGCCATTCCCACCTTCTGCTCGAGCAGGGCCCTGCGCACGGAGACGCGCTCCTGCAGCTCGTGGCGCTCCCTGTTGCGCTGTGCCTCGGCCTGCATGCGGATCTTCGACTGGAACGCTATCAGGAGCTCCAACTCCTGCTGTAGCTGCTCCTTCAGCTGGCGCACCTCCGTGTCCTGGGACTCGTCCAGGCGGATCTGGAACAGGGGGCGCGCCCCGCGTTGGGTTTAGACAATGACCGATGGTTGGATCGGTGATGCAGGTTCTACCCTTGACCTGACCGAATGCCACGTGTACACTGCGTGACACTATTAGCACGGACAGTGGCACTTTTCCGCATTTTAGGTGGACAGAGGGTTGACAGGCACCAAACTTTACACCTGGGCTGGTGTTCTCAACATAGACTTTTTGACACACTAGTGAATTCCATGGCAGCCGTTTAATTTTAAAGCGACCAACAGTAAAAGGTTGGCGATCACTTGTTCCCGCAAACAGTGTCGCGCAGTGTACAGAGCCATCGAGGCCGGTGCTTGCAAGGCCACGGAAAGAGCACTAGCTAAGATGCCTGTACCAAAAGTACTTAAAAAGTGCAAACAAGAAAGCAGCTTTAAGGTAACCACAAATTGTGCAAGTTAATACTAACAGAATTCGTCCCACTGTCTAATCAAACAATGCTAAATAGAGGAAGTTTACACAGGCTAGAAGCTAGTACAGTCGAACCCGGATATAATGAATTCAAAGGGGATCGTAAAATAGTTCGATATATTGATAATTTGATATACAAATACCTATATGTTAAATTAAGCTCCAGTTGAAATTTCTGCATGTCTCTGCTAATACGGAAGGTCAGGACGAACAGAAGCTTACCAAATAGAGCATTCAAAAGCCGCCAAATACAGTAGAGTGCAGTTGGCGGAGATTGCAAACAGCGCGGCGCAAAACACGAAAATAATAAAAGAATTAAAGAAAAACGGAAAAAGCAAATTGCATAAAAGATTTCCTGATCCACAGAAAAAGTTATGAAAGCAAAAAAAAGAAGAAAGCTCACTAAATACAGACAGCAAAAAAAGAAAAAAAAAAAGAAAGAAAGTAAACAATAGAGGTTGCGAATATCAATATCTTCCGAACCGAAATCGAACAGTAAAGGTTACAAATAGAATATTTTCAATTACAAATAGTTATGAATATGAATAGTTTCAATATGAATATATTTCCTAATACAAATATTTTCTATTTGATGTTAACTAAACAAGGATACTTAATCAAAACACAACTGGAATTTTTTTTCAACAAACATTTTTAAAAGGTTAACTTTATCGCAATAAAAACAAAGGCCCCCCATGTCTCTGATAAAACAGATAAAATAAAAGATCAGTCAGTGAAACACCATTCAAGGAGTGAAGTACAGAATGTAAACAAAAGTACACAAGCGGAGGCGGCTCGGCAAGCCACAACACAGTCAGAGATCACGTCGCGGATGACGAAATCAACCACGTGAACGTAAACGGAAGTACACAAGTGGAGGCGGGTCAGCACGCCACGACAGAGTCGGAGATTGCGCGATCACGCCCCGCAGCCACAATGACCGCAATCCAGACATCACGGCAAGTGAAGGACAAATCATGCTACCGCGTGTTAATAAACATCCAATGCTTCATACAAAAAAAAAAAAAAAAAAAAAAAAAAGAGCGGGCAATTAGGTTGGCTTTTTTGTTTTGTCAAACTCATAACCATACTGCCCAGTAAAAAAACTAACTGGGACCGCGACTGCGGGTTGAGACTAACCAGCGAGTTCCGCATTATTTGTAGTTTCCAAATATTTTAAAAACTCGAATACTTCAAACACTAAAAGTGCGAAGCGAATCGAAGAGAATAGCAAGCATTATTCGCGAAGTATTTGAATTTTCGAATATTTACACTTCTAGTAAACAAAGATAAGGCGTTCAGAGTGCAACTGCACAGCCAAATTGCCGAAGACTTTTTCTTCTTATTTTGTTTTGGGGTTAGGGAGTCCTGCAGCGACAGCACTGTTCGAGGAAAGAGCGCACACTACTGTTCAAACAGCAGGCACTCCCCGCCCTTCCAATGCGTGCCCTTTCGCTTGCCTTTGCCATCCTCCACTTTTTTTATGGTTGTCATGGTATCTCCTTTCCCACAACTGCTCTTTTCTGGCGTATCCCTCCCCTCTTCCTCCTCCCCCTCCCCCCTCTTCCTTCCTCCCTCCCTCCTCCTCCTCCTCCTCCTCCTCCCCCTCCTCCTCCTCCTCCCCCCCCCCCCCCCCCCGTGTAGGTGGCTTGCGTCGCAATCGCGGCGCAATCCATTGGCGGGAAAAGCAAAGGGCAGCCGGGATTTGTTTTGCTATATCGAGTGTCCATGGGAGTTGGATACTAAAAAACGATGCTGCTATAGACCTTTGCAAAAAGAGCGCTCTGGCCGCCGCCATTTTGCAAATCGAGCGACCCCTATCAGCCAGAAATTTCTGGCACCCGCCTGAGCTGTGGAAACCCGGTCAGCGTGACTCCCCACCTGCATTTTGCATTCGGAGTTTGCCGGCTTTTCTTGGAAGTTTTTCTTTATTCGCCTGTTTAGGATGCTTACCCTTTGTATGTTATCTTCCACTGTGAGAACCAGAAAATAACAGGGCTCGTAGGCTGCTCGGCCTTCGCAGGAGACGAACGAAGAGAGCGAACGTCAAGCAGCCCGCGACGCGGGCAGTTCGACGTTCTTGGAGGATTATTTCCGTCGAGATAATCTACAAAAAGCCTTCCCGGCTGTGTTCCGGGTCTTCGCGAAAAATAGCTGATAGAGTCAAGTCCGGGGTGTGGGGACAGAATAGACACGTTTGTTCATTTGCTTTGAAGCAGTGCAAAAAAGCTGCTCTCTTCTACATTTTCCCCAAAACACGCCGGATTCCGTCCGATTGTCGTGAAGTGACTATCGTCGACACTGTATATTAGATATACTGTGTTATTTGAGATCTTTCTCAAAACCTGTTCGGATAACGCGGCACCGTGGGGTACGTACAATATATGTTGTTCGATTGATGAGACGCAATGAATTTCATGTTGTGGGCGGGGAATATCCATGCAGTTCGGATGTCCTGTGTGGTCAAATATTTTGACCTATATAGATTGACACGGCTGAGTCTACGGTGCCGTAAAACAATGAACATAAAATGAAAGAAACATTCCAGTTGCATTTGTTCTGTCGCGCACGGACTCACCAAAACAGCTTTCATTTCTTTATTTTTGTTCCCAAAAATAGAACACTGCTTTCTTAAAGACCTCTATAAAGTATGTTCGCCACAGAACACAAAATAAAAAAGAAAACGCGGCAATTCAGCCGCCACCAGCGTCCGGAATTGCGCCTACGCAGGCTGCCACAGCCCACTGACGAGAAACTCCACAGCTCAGCGCAGTCGGGCAACACTGACGTACCCTCTCAAAACCAGGGACGTGCGCTGTAAATCGCTTCGTTCGAGACTGCCGCTGGAAAGGTCTATACTATTACATGGGACTTTCAAGGGGATGTTTGGACTGTTTGATATAAACAATAATTCGAAATACTTGAGTGCGATATAACCGGGCTCGGCTGTAGATATCAAATAAGCCGAAGATAGAAAACAGAAATTAAACCGCAAGTTAAATTTTTGTAACCCACTATGTATTGTGCAAGCCTGTCTGCACTTACAAAATCAAACAAATGAAGTCTCCCAAGGTGTTTCTAAAAAAACAATTACCGTATTTTCCGGTGTATAAGACGCACCTTTGTATAAGACGCACCCACCCTATATGCAGGCTTTCATTGAAAAAGTTGGTATATAAGACGCACCCGTGTATAAGACGCACTTTTCATCGCCTGTAGTTTGGTGGACGACTGTCGCCATGTGCGAATCATCTTCTCGGTGACGTCGAAACGGCGACCTGCAGCCCGGTTACCGTGTTCGGTAGCGTACTCGACCGCAGATAATTTAAACTTCGCTGTGTAGCTCTTGCGCGACTGCGGTGGCATATTGTAGCAAGACCGGGCAGATGGCAGGAAAACACGACGACGCACGTACGCAGAGCGAACAAAGATGAAAATGGCGACTGAAAAAGAGAGGCGGCTTGTCCTAGCTTGTCTTGGCGAGAAGCGTGATTGTCGCCATCTGTTGGCATTTCACATTACTTACGCCTGGGACCTCCGCATCCGCAACGACCGCATGTTTGCAATCTTGGAGTTCACCTAAAACGTGGCACGCGGTGGTCCCCGTATTGAAGTATCACCGTGTTACGACCGCGTGATCGGTAGCGATATTTTGTTTTTGGTGAAACAAGCTTGAACATCAACCGAGTAAATTTCAAATTTCTGAACTCGCAAAAAAAAAAAAAAAAATTCGCGTATAAGACGCACCGTTGTATAAGACGCACCAGCAAGAACTTTTGAAAAAAGCCGCGTCTTATACACCGGAAAATACGGTAAATCAATTTCGAAAAACAAAAAGCCATCCCTCTGCACAAGCTGCTAACTCCAGAATGATGTCTAACTCTTTTGGTGACTTGAGCATATTCATATTGTGTTCCTATTGCCATAATTTGGCTTTACTTAGAATTAATCACGAAACATCACTGGTGTTTTGTGAATATCATAATAGAGTAGTTTTACACATTCTGCTATTCAATATTTGCTTCACTCAGTTTTCAAGGTGTCGGCAAGTCACGACCGCAAGGGGCTGTACCCAAACACTATCCTAAACAACGAAAAGAATGCATAATAGCTACAGATGTATTTGAAGCCAAGGAGTCCAGGAAGGTTAGGTTTCTCACGCTGTGCACTGGGTTGTTTATACTCCAACGTAACATCAGTAATGTCTATGCCCTGGCTGCCTCGGTAAAAACCGGCCACCCACATATGAAACAAGCTTGGCCAGCGTTCAGCCCAGTGCTTCAACAGTCCTTTCGTCCTACTTGAGTGCTCGCCGACATTTTAGAGCTGTGAACCCTATAGTTTTGTAAGGTTTGCAGTACCTCCACAAGCATGATAATTTTGCTTACCCAAGCAATGTAGAATGAAATGAACACATAAAAGTACACACTGAAATACACTTCTCCAACTTGCATCAACTTCGATGAGACCACCACAATATCCAGACTTTAGAGCAGGGGTTGGCAACCTTTTGCATCAACGGGCCACGTCGTCACAAAGCCTACACGGAGGAGGCCATACGGCAAGTCGCGAAGTGTGTGTGCGTTTGTTTGGGGGGGCGGGGAGATGCAAAGGAAAGGCAGAAAGGAAGTGAAGACGTTTTCTGCCCAAGTATGGGGATGCCAGACAATGCAAATTAAAAGTGCTCTTCGTTCTTGTCTAACCCTGTTTGAGGTTAAAACTGCCACATAGTTTTTAGAATATGTGTGAGAAAGCAGCATGGGGGAAGGGGGATCTTTTACTGGGGTCGTGCCAGGGACCGTATAACTCTGCCTCGCGGGCCATATGTGGCCGGCGGACCATGGGTTGCCGAACTCTGCTTTAAAGGATGGTGGTCACGTTGAAATGCGCTACCAATGTATGTTGCAGGTTAAAAGGCTGTTTTCATCACAGTGCCTTTTGTGTGTGCACAACCGTGAAACTCCCCAACGTTGAACTCATGAAGTGTGTCGGTCTGCCGGTACTCTCATGTGAACCCAAGTGACATTTATGCAACAGAAGGAGTAAATTGACAAGGTACAGAAGAGGGACGACTCACCGACTGCTTTTGGAGCATCTCGGCGATGCTCTGCTCGTACTGCTCGCCCAGGATGGCCAGCTTGCGTATCTGCTCCTCCTTGAGCTTCTTGATGACTGCCTTCTGGTCCTCCCTGGGCGTGGAGGCCAGCACCTGGCTCTTCCAGGCCTTGTACTGCCGTGTCTGGATCTTGCACGTTTCCCGGAACTGCTTGCGGATCTGCAGCTCCTTGTGCTTCAGGCTCTTGGGCTGCTGCTTCACCTCCTGGGCGTGCCGCTTGTGCAGCTCCCGCTCCCGCCGCCCGCAGTACTCGTGCTGGTTGGCCAGCTCCGTCTGGTGCTGCTTGCGCACCTGCTCCTCGCGCAGCTGGTGCACCCCGCGCTGCTGCCGGTACTCCAGCTCCTGGGTGGTCTCGTGGTGCCGCAGCAGCATAGAGTGCGCCTCCTCCAGCTGGCCCTGCCGCTTGTTCAGCTCCTCCCGCAGCAGGTCCTGCTCCAGCCGGTGGTACTGGAGCAGCCGGCGGCGCCGGTACTTGCGCACCTCGAGGCGCAGGTAGTCCCCCTGGTGGCGCTGGACCCGGGCCAGGGCCTCGGCCTGCTGGGCCTGCAGCTCCTCCTTGTGGCCCCTCAGACTCTCCTCCCGGGGGCCCAGGTCCCGCTTCAGCTTGTCCTTTAGGTACTTGTACTCGGCCTTCTGCTGCTGGCTGAACCGCTTTGTCTCCTCCTCCTGCTGCTGGCCAATGGTGCGGCCCAGGCGCTTCTCCCCAGCCAGGTTGTGCTTGAGCTTCTTCTCCAGGTCCTGCTGGTGCTTCAGCTGCAGTTTCTCCAGCTCCTTGCTAAACTGCTGCAGCAAGGACTCATACTCCTTATCCAGCTTCTGTTTGTGGTCCTCCATCTCCTGCAGACACCTTGCCTCCATCTGGGGAGACACCATACAAAATTGTCAGGCCTGATTCGCCCCAGGCGTTCTGTATTGAACGGCTGAGCACTCTCTAGCTCAGTGGTTCTCAAATAGAGGTCCGCAGACCCCTTGGGGTCCACGAAGCCCTGCCTCATCAGTCAAGCCCGGTAATAAAAGTTGTTTGTTTTCAGGTCGAGAAGAAACGCTTCAGTTTTCGGGCGAGTTTTCTCGTGTGTATGTAAATATGAGAGGTGTACTGCACACTGGCCCTTAGTTATTTATATCCATTTATTAAATCATTATATTTAACCCACACCTTTCCCCTCCCCTCACCGCGAACGGGGTCCTCCATCATCTCCGCCTATCCACAAGGGGTCTGCGAAACACCGATGGTTGAGAACCACTGGTCTAGCTGATCTGCTAGAGTCAAACCCCATTATGGACCGAAGCGGTAAAAAGGTGAATATAGCGACGCAAGGTATGCTTGCGCTGCCTCTTCTGAGGCACTGATATATTGTCAAGCCCATTTATGATAAACCCAAATACAGCTAAATATTTCCTATATCGACTGTCCAAATACTTCTAAGCAAAATGCAAAGAACCAACTCGCTATATCAAACTTTGTTAAAAAAAAAAAAGAAGCAAAACACATGTTCCACTATATAAAAAAACCAACTCGCTATATCAAACTTTGTAAAAAAAAAAGAAGCAAAACACATGTTCCACTATATAAAAAAAAAAAAAAAAGATGTTAAGGAGCGCTAGCAGCGAACAAAACAAAAAAATTATCACAAAGAAAGCAGAAAAAAAAAGGAAGAGCCCAGAAATGTGTGGGCAAAGGTAAGAGGTGCACTAAAACATACAGTTGGAAGTATTCCCTGATATCATCCCAAAAGAAAAGGCTTTCATACATGTTAGACTTCTTCTTTACTACTTAGGCCTGCACACCAAATACCTTGACTGCCAATAAAATGGCAGCATCACCAAAGCACCGCTCACCTGGACCAGTGCCTTCTGGTGTTGCCGACGCATGCGCTTGTAGCCTGACATCTGCTCGTGCATCTGGTTTTCTTGCTCATGTTCCTTCATCTGACGCGTCACTATCGACGTTGTCCGGATCGTCGCAAAGTTGTTGGTCGCCCCGGCGTCCGTGCTGTTCAGGCTCGTCGACGAAGAATTCTGCGCAAACACGGGCAACGAGCTCAGTCGTCAGCGCTGTCTTAGCGACGAATCAACACTATAGAAACAGTGCTGTCTTGAACACAGCGGCATCGTCTCAAACATAATTAGTGGAGATGCAATGCTTTATCAGTGCTGTGCACAGATATAGCACGAAGTCAGGGCTGAATCGGCACTACGATTAGCGATAATTCCAGCGCTGTGCTGTATATGTGAACAGGCCTTCCCTGTGTAGCCTGACTTTTCACCGAAACACTTGACTCAATAACGTTCTTTCGAATGAGCTACATCGGCAGACAACCTCTACAGCAAAACCATCCACATAAAAGCTTTAGAAAAAAAGAAAATTACAAATGAAGTCAATTAATAAAAAGTCTTTACTGCATTGGCATGTCTGCTCGATCAATCTCTCAACTGTGCGTACCAATGTTACGAGCTTCCTACAAGTTTTATTACCTTTTGCCACATATTTTCATATATAAGTCGTCCTTTTCTTCGGCACTGGTATTTCAAATTAGGGGTAGAACCATAACTGGTACCAAAGAAGGAAGAATAGTGAGTAAAATTTCCGAGTCCATCGAGCCAACAGCGGTACTTCAGCGCGAAAGCCAACGCTCTGAGCACACTGGTGTGAAGAAGTATATTTGACACAAGCGTGCTATACTGCAAAACGGTACAGCATAATATGAGCTCGCTGCGCAAGCACCATGGCGTGGGGGCACATATGGCTGACAGGTGGCCTTGTACCCCTATCAGGAGTAGGAGACTGGCCCTGTATGATCACAGCACCCAACACACCATGCTCTTGCAAAGTGTCTCCTCACAACATTTTAGCTTCTTGCCTGTGTTATCAACGACATGACAACGTCGTTGATATCACATCAGCTTGTCAATGAAGCTGACGAAGCATCCCAGGAAGGCAGCCATTTCGGATGTTTGGACATGATGCAACCAGCGAAGCTGACAATCGAGATTTTAGCTACAATGACTAGTGACATTGTAAAATGGTAAATGCTTGAGCAAAATTTCTTCTCTTTGACTTCTTTAAAAATTAGGTTCTACCTATACTCAAATATTAAATTTTTTTTTGGCACGTTCTCTAGTATAAAGGTCGTCCTACATTTGACTAAATACAGCAGATCTTGGCTACATCTTACCCTTTATCATACTTGGACTCTCCTTCACACTAAACCAAACTTGTGTAAGTATGAGGTGCTGAAACAGGCGTTTGTAGCAGGCTTTATTATAAGGAGTCCGTCTGGAAATATGTTGGGAGTCATAAAAGCAAGACTTGGATCCCGAAAACACACTCTGGCTTAAAATTCCAGAATACAAGTGTTTCTTGGCCCCTGACCTACTAAATTATCTGACTTATAAACCGAAAGAAGGCCAGGTGTATGAGTGCTGGCACGAGAGTTTGCAAACATTGAAAGGAGGCTACACGTCCGTCATCCTGCCTTCCGTGCCTTGGAGGCACCACTGTCGTCTTCACACCAGAACCAACGCTCTTCTAATCACTCCTTACCTGCTCGTTGCACGGAGAACTAAACTCGTTTTCACCTCAAGGAAAAAGGAAGTCTTGCACAATGTTCATGACCCGTACCAAATAGTTCTTATAAGATTTGGTTGTCGGAGGACGAAGCCATGCTTTAGGCATTTGAAGCCCATGTACGTCTTGATAACGTAACATACATCTAATTTAAAATGCACCCTACCATATGTTTCAATTCTCTACATAAGGCCGAAAATCAGTAATGCTTCGTGAGGAGCCGGTCTTTTTTTTACTGTGGTTCTTGATGTGAAAACGAGTATAGCACACTCAAAGTGTAGAGCCAGTCTGGTCTACGAGGCACTGGGGAAACGACAACAAAACACACAAAGTCTAAATATTAAATTATGTTAAACCTTCAGTTTGCGCCTTAACTTTTTGTTCGTTACTGGGACCTGTTGCTTGGCCTTTAGGCAGACGGGAGAGCCAGCACACGAAAAATGAATGTCATGGCATACGAGAATTAATACTCAACCAACAACGAAGGTTCACAGCGTTGCATCCTCCCTTTAATTTATTCTAATTCCTTCGTGTATCGTCACTGTTGATTACATCTCTAATGTAGCACCAACGTTTCTTGTCTGCATCTCTAATCTGTAATATTGATCATCAAATAATGCCATTAGATTAACAATGGTTTAGAAACAACCCCTTATACACCTGCCACAAGGTAGAACTTAAAAGGACACTGACAGGGTTTAAGCTCACCAAGATTTTTACTTGTACATAACATACCGTAGAATACCGCGCATCCGCCCATTCCACATTAAGCGCCCATTACCAAATTTGTGAGATCCGAGAAAGCACGCACAGTACATTGATATGTAAAATTGATGACTGGACAAACGCCCATCCCCCATTTTTTTCCGATTATCTCCAAAGTTTGAGTGGGCGCTTGCTTGGTATTTTACGGTATGAGAGCCCTAACTACCCAAAACACAATTCGCAGCTCGAAAATCATTTTCTTCCCGCCCAAAAACCGCTCATCAAGAACCAGTCAGTTTGAGTCACACACACTATCTTCTCCGTGGTGACGTGCCTTTTTCTATGGTTCAGACACAACATCCAAATATAATGAAAGTCGTAAGTCATTGAAGGCACAATTAAATTTAAAAAAAAAAGAAAAATATGATATCCATTTTTTGTGGCTTCCAAAATGCTGCAAAAACGTTGAGAAAAAAAAAAGTTGTACAGCCACATGACTTCCGGTAACTTTCTCCTCTATATTTCTTCTTCCTCCCCAGTCTAGTTTCGGTTTCGAGCGGTTGCGTTTATCGACATACGTGACGCTGTAGCAAAATATGGATTGGGTAGTCTTCCGACACCATAATAAATCACCTAACAAAAAATTAAAAAAATTTTTTTTTTGCTTTGTTAGTGGCCTTTTAATGTCAGTCCTATCAATCGAAATTAAGAGGTTATGCTGGCCTTTAACTTTTCACTTTTAATTTATCGTGCTGAAATTTAGTACCGTATTTATATTGAATGCCACTCGCATATTGAACGCACCTCCCACAACGTGCATCGATATTTGGACTTTTTTTCTTTTTTTTCTTGTGTACTGAACGCATTTTTAATTTTAGGCTGCTCGAGTCTTGAGGCCAATTTTCTTTTGCCGCCGAGCGGCCAGGCCAGGCCGAGTCAAGTCAAGCCAAGCCGCTCTTGAATGGCTGCAATTGGGTGGTTGCGGAAGTGATAGACCGTGAAACCGAGTGGCGCGCACGCCTAGCATAGCTGGGGTTGAGGAATTGTCCAGCCCTGGACGTGCTTCGTCCATCAGATGCATTGATGTCAACAAACACGTCATTGTTTGTGATCCGCTTTCGGACAATGATAGCATAAAAGTGGTTAGGCCTAATAACGGTCATGTCGCTCTCTGTGTGGGCGAGCCTCGAAGGGCGCTTTTTCTTCGCTAAAAGGCACGCCAAAAGTGCCCTAAATAAGTTGAGCAATTTAGAGAGCATGGTTACTGCCATGTCATATTGGCACCTAAAATGACACTTGCACGAAGTGTGTCAATGCAAAAATTTTACCCCACCTAATAATACCCAAATATGTGTCAATATTTCGGACAAAAAAGTGCGTTCCTTATGCGAGTAAATACTGTATACTGATTATTTATCAGTGGTGATTTCACTAAATCCTGAGTTATCAATAAATTTGTAATTTTAATTAGATCCTCCTTACAAGTTGTTAGCATAAAATTCTTCAGAAGAAATTTTTGATAGAATTGCATTCACCAAGACATGCTTTGTGATATTTTTGTTGCTTCAAGTCATACAATAATTTTAATTAATTAGTCTCAAAAAGATATACTCAAAAAGATATAGCCTCCCATTTTGTGCAACTTGGTTGCAAATGTTCTTACGGATGTAATATCATTAAATGAGGCTTAAAATAGCATCACCGCACAAAACATGTCTTGCTAAATGCAATTCTACAAAACTTTCTGATATATTCTGAAGAAGTTTATGCTAACAAGCCATAAGGAGAACCTTATTAAAATTACAAAGTTATTGATAACTCAGGACGTAGTAAAGCTATCTGAAAACTAATTGCATATTTGAGATCAACACAGAGAATTACATTAGTATATTAAATTTCAGCACGACAAATTAAAAAAAAAAGTAAAGACCAGTGTTCCTTTTATGTGGTGGGCAAATAAGCTCGTGGGTGGCCAATCACATAATGCCAGTTGATGAAACAGACAAATATTACTGTGTGGCCCGGGTGTTGTTCAACCAAATGCACTAGCAATTCTGCACCGGTAGCCATTGATTTTTAGCTGTGGCACTAAAAGAAGTGTAAAAATAAATGGCACGTGCGACACCACCTTTGCTTTGTGCACATGCAATGATAAAAAAATAACATTTTAGCACTTCCGCTAGTCCCTACTCGAAGCATTGAAGATTTTCCATAATGACCATTATTATATAACTGCACGCAGAAGATTCGAGTTGGCGTGTATTTTACCTGCCACATCATTCATACATTTACTTTTGAGAAAACGAGCACTATAGCAATGTCGGCAAGGAGCAAATAACTAACGAATAATTAGGAGAAATCGGTGGTGGCACCGCGACCGCATAGGTCGGACTCGCAAAACGATGCGGTCGCCCGCACGTGCCAATGATGAAGCCCGAAGAGAAGGTGGCAAAAGAAAGGGTGCGTGGACCACTCACGCTGTCCCTAGGGTGCCTGAAGGAGGAGGGCGGGTAGGAATCCATCTCCGAGGCGGGGGGCAGGCTGCTGGTGCTGCTGCTGTGGCTACCCGCGCTCACGTTGCTGCTGCTCTGCTGACTCTGGTTCGAGCGCAGGCTGCCGCTTTTGCTGCCCTCCCCGCCGTTGCCACCGCCATTGCCGCCGTTGCCGCCACCGCAGCTTCCCTGGTCGTCCTCCTGCCCGAGAGAGTCCGTCTGTTAGCAAAAAAAAAAAACTCCCTCGTCTGGCGTGTAACGTTAACTGTTGCACTACGATTATGGTCGCCGACAAGGAGAGATGGGCAGGGTGTCTCTTTTGAAACGCCCGGCCTTCACTGTGCGCTTGTTGCCTTCTGCCGTGCGGTGGCTGTGCATGCACGCTCGAGGTTAGCGAGACGTTCGCAATTGGCAAGAAGCTCGTGTGGCAGGCGGGACGACCGAAGGACCTCCTTGTTGTTCTCATCCTCTCAGTAGTTAGAGCCACAACTACCATAACTCGGTGGGCAAGGCAAGGATACGAATCTGCGACACAGGACCGCTACAAACACGGCAATTTTTATCGGCGTCTCGACCTTGCAACGCCAGCGACACGGCATTCACACGCCCCAACCGCAAAGAAAGAAAACCCGAACTGATGCTTTTTTCCCTCCATCATTAAAAGTGCAATTTTCTTGCACGATATAGACGTGCAGTTAGGCATTAATAACATTTTTTTATATCTTTGAGTGGCATTGAGAATACTAACGCTGATCTCCCCGAAACAATTTAGTCATAAAAACAATCCATTTCAAGCCATGGCCAATCTAAACCCCTTTTTAGTCATCGTCATCACCGCCAAATGGGGGTCACGTGAAAGCATTGCAGCCCCGACTGGCTGCCGCCGCTTTGAGCATCTCCAAGTTGAGTTGCCCTCCCATTTCGAGCCGGACATTCCCAGATACTTTTATTGCAGCTCAGGGATCTAGGGAACAACTCGCCGGTAACCCCAAAATTCCTGGGAAAATTGCCCCATCCGAAGCACACCTTGAACAGCTACAAACAAGCATCCTATGCACTCTTTCATATGCTCTCACAGGCCTATTGGCTTAATCCAGATCACAAACGGCTCCTAGAGTGTCGAAAGTTGGGCTCGTTTCTCTGGCGCTCAACAGAAGCACCCTGATCACCCTCTGGCGAGTTGTTCAGAGAAAGTGTTCAACTCAAGCAACAAGGATCATGGGATTTGAGCATATATATTAACCAAGAAATTTCTATTTTGCAGCTTTTTTTATGTGTGCGAGGTGCACGTTATGAATTGGAAAATGCCACTTTACTCTGTTTACCTCCAACCTGAAGGTGTGGATCAATCACCCACCTCTTTTTCATTGCATGGTCCCTCTCTCTCTGCACAGGTTTATGGGATGCATAACTGGTTCAACGAGCAAATAGCTTCCACCACACCGCCAGGTTAGAGGCAAATGAAGCTATCCTACCGAAATTCCACCTACAGCAATGTCCGCAACACCGAGATTAAAACGGGACTAGTTTAGCGCCTACAAAGTGGGCAGCAATCCCATTTCCTCGCAGCCCCCCTCCCCTCCCGCCTCGGGAAAGCAGACGAGAAAGAGGCCGGCCCCCTCACCGTGGAGTCGTCCTCCACCTCCACCGTGTTGGCCTCGTTCTCCTGAGAGTCCACCATGAGGATCTTCTTCATCTTGCGGTAGTTGAGGTTGTCCAGCTCCCGAACTGCCGCCTTGGTCCGCTGGATCAGATCCAGGATGACCTTGCCCGACCGCGGACGGGTCATGAATGGATGCTGCGCAAATGCACAAGTGTCCTTCCGTTGGCCGTTCGAACTCTCACCTCAGGGACGCCACCCCCCAAACATTTCCGGGGTGGTATGCACAAACAGTGCCGACTTGTGGATGTCACCAGAACGCCACGAGTAAGGAGGTAGAGAAGCGAGAGGGTCAGGCGATGCTACACTCCGTTTAACGATGACTTCACGAACTGTGAAGGCTACGGTCCCCGCGACTTTATAAGAGTGTCGGAGCGAGGCACGTGACAACACATCACGGGAGCACGTATGGCTTCGGTCATCTCGGTGCTTAAAATCATTGCTGCCAGTTATCCAAAGCTTCATCTGAAATCGCAAAAAATGCTTTTCTGTTTTCCAATACATTAAAACAATTCACAACGGAGCAAGACAACATCGCTCGAAGTTCCCGACGCCTTATCTAAAAGCTAAAAAAGTCTGACTTTCAAATCGTGACCATCACCAGTCGCATCTGCTTTGCACTTTCTGGGTGCTACCAAAATTATGGCACCTGCAAGATAATCAAGGAATGAAGTGCCAATACTCGAAGCAAAGCTTGTTTATTCGTTTTGGTAGCTTGTACTCTTCCGAACCACTTCCAGTTCACGACTGCACAGGCAGTGGGATAGTCTCGCAGAGCCATTTGCCTTCGCCCAATCTTTCGGACAACGCTGGACAGAATACGGACAGATCTATTTTTTCCCCCTACACCAAAACGGTTGAAAAAGAGCGCTTGCTTAGATGTCGCCCGCTCCATGGGCGGGGACGCACCTGTAACAGGTCCACTGCCGTAGGCCGATCCACGGGGTTCTTTTGCAGGCACGAGTTGACGAAGTGCCTGAAAACTTCCGACCTGCCAGAGAAATTATTGACGGCATTAGATGGCGATCCAACTACACAGCAATAAACCCAAGACTGAGGAAAAAAAGTAGAAAGAAAAAACAAAAGCGGATGTATTGTCTCTAAAAAAAGAAAACTGCTTTTCCGCAGTTGTCCGTTTTTGTTCCCAATGTTGGGTTTATCCCCGGGAAGAGAAATTACACTCGTGGTTAGAATGCCGTGTAAGTTGTTTTAACTCGACGCACTTTTGAAAACTAGAGTGTCGTGAATGACTACAGTCACCGACAGGATGAGGATGACAGGGCATGACTTCCGCCGCTTTTTCGCTGCACGCATGCACTCCAGGTGCACGAAAAGCCTAAACGTCGTCCAGGCTAGTCGTGCTGGAGACGAGACAACTCAAGCTCTTCCCTGCAATCTCACCTTGCCAGCGACTAGGGATAGCTGCTAAGGGGACATTTGTGCGGTGTCGGCGTTGCGCCAGGAAGAAAACTTCCATTTCACGTGCACTCGTGCCTTCGCTGCCCCACAACGCCAAGCGGCATTGTGTTCTGCTCCTTGTGTGGTTAGTGAGGGATGCCAGTACAGATTCCTCGCCATAAAACTCAATTTGCGTGTTCTATGGAATATAAAGCAACCCACCACACGTAACAGTATTTTTCTCGATTCAGTCTTAGGCAGGGACATTGACATCTCTTTCCTACATTCTTCGGTGACCACAAAAACGGTGTTGTGTGCGATAGAGTAAACAGAGAGCGGACACGCATAAATGGGGGTGTAACTATGTGCAACGACTGTTGTTGCTGTCGCATTTTTTGCGTGCCACGGCGAAAAGCTGAGAATTTTGTTGCAGAAACCAATGTGCTTAAGAAGAGCTGGTAACTCTTTCATGCTTTATAAACGTGAACAATTTAAAATTTTTAAAGGGTAACTGCAAAGAAAAAAAAGTATTTTTTTAAACAGCCTAATTGGAACAAGCGTGTCACAAAACAAATGTTGTGCGAAAAAAATATTTTTTTTTTTATCAATATTTACGCCACAGGACGTAATTTAGTCTGAGTCAGAACCTCTCCACATTTGAAACTCCCGCTCTTTCGACCCCCGCGGAAGAGGAGTACGCCCCGGCCCTCACTCTCCTTGCGTTGCGGAGTTGAACGACGCAGCATTTCGACTTCTGGTAAGATCTGGCAACAACGCACAGCGGCGGTATTGTTTTGGTTTGACGCGGTTTGCGAGCACATGTAGCGAAGACGTGACCAAGACGTGACCGGAGAAGTGCCCCTGTGATGTTCCCGGACGACTGAAAGTATCATTCGTAATCGTCGTGCGTGCTTTGAAAGCGAAGGGAGTCACAGAATCCACGAGTGCGCAACCACAAGCCAAGGTTCACGACAGCGCTGCGTTGGTTTCGGCAATCTTGTTCAGTATGGTGCAACACGGCGATGCGACAAAGAGCTGAAACGTTCGTGGTGTGTGTAATGCGGTGCTAACACGGAGCGCAAATTGGTTGTTGTGGGGTTGACGTTCGACCAGTTAAGTCCCGTTGTCGTCAGCTGATCCATTCAAACTGGTCCAAGAGGACGCAGCGAGCTTTTTTAACCCCTTGCCTACTCATTTTTTTTCTTTAAAGATCGTACAGGAAGCTTTATTTAAATCAAGCAATTTGCGTCAAAATAAAGAAAAACGTTTCCTTGGCTTTTAGGCGTAGCCTCGTGCTCTATACCAGGACTTCTGGTCGTCTCCTCTTCTTCAGTAGTTCTTCACAGTATGATAGAAATCGAGAAATTAGCAGAAACCTCACATAGGACATCGTTTTGCTGAAAATTGGGGTCTCCACTATGGACTTCTTGGACCAGTTCATTTTGACTGTGTGTTTTTTTCACTTGCGTCATAATGATGCACAAGGCAAAGTATGCCTTTATCTCATCCGGAGTGGTGTCAAACCATTGCTCCTCATAGCATTTCTTGGGACGATCCTCGTCGCCCATCTCTTGTTCGGCGTAGCGATTTGTCTCGGCAGAGACACACGGCCAAAAATCATGACTTGCAAACACGGAAAAGGTCGACAAGGCGCTTTTCTTCTCACCAAAACTGCGCTGAACCCTTGCTGACACACCTGGGGTTTCTACAAAGGTGAACTGAGCAGGCTGGTTGTCCCTCTTCTCCCAGTTCCACTGACGTGCAGACGCCGAAGTCGATGAAATGCTTCCAGGATTCGCATTGTTTTCAACACTTTTCTCACTGTCCGTTGAACTCTCATCGGATTCCGGGTAATCGGAAAGGCAGCAGGATTCATCGTCAGAAATACTGGCGCACTCATCACTTTCAAAAAGAAGTCTTTGTACATCTTCGTCCGCCAAAGCAGACCTCCGCCCCGAAGACATGTTTTTGGCGCACTTGCTTACAATAGCGCGCTTATTTTTTGTCAATGGAGCGCCGTCTCTCTGTCAAAAGGCAAAGCAAACAAGAAAAGAACCCAAGGTAAACAGGAGCAACAGGGGTAGGGCTGCCATCTGCCGCAGAGCTCACAAAACAAGCTCTGAAACCGAAACACGAGTCACACTCGTGGTCGGGTTTTATGGTCCGTAAATGGCGGCACGAGTGATACTCGTTATTAGTAGGCAAGGGGTTAAAAGTAAATCTGCCTCGTTCTGTTTCAAAATGTGGAAGTTTCCCGACGCATACCGTGAGTAAAAAGCTGCAGGCGTTTTCAACAAAATTATGTCGTTTTAATTGAACAATGGACTCCGAGTTGTTGTCCTAAATCTGCCGTTTTTATGCTTCGTGTTGGACTGCGTTTGCACAGCGACGTGTTGCATCGTGCAGTGTGAATAAATTTGGGCACGATTTTCTACCTGCCTACAGATGCATGAACTGAGACGACTTTTTACATAGTGAACATAGTGCTTTTTTATTTTGTGTCTAGTCGCGGACGTTAGGTGCACACGGGGCGAATCTCGACAGCCTCCAGAGCGATATGAAGAGACCGTAACTAGACACGTTTGTGGCTACGCGAACGCCCGATTGCCTCCAGCCAATAGCATTCCTTTCGGGGTGAAATGGCTGCTGGAAGGCTTGGTGTCGGGATCACTCATCTGACATCTCCGAAAAGTCTGTATTTGCACGTGCAAGCAAACAAACAAAAAAGCACGCTAAGCCAGCAAAGAAGAAAACGAAAGAACCGCGCTATGAAAGTCAAAACCCCGCGTCGCTTCCTATCACTAACACCTGCAACAGCTGCTAAACACACACTACTTCACTTCAAGAAGTCTCACTCAAGCACCTGGGTAAGCACGAAACACTTGTCATTTCGGCGAAACGATTAGTCGACGTAGGCGAGACAGGCGGGAGCAGAGACTTCGGCGGCCATGAAAGAATGGCGAAGCTTTTGTTTGTTATGGTATGGATCCAAACGGAAGTGCCCGTCTGGTAAACATTTTGTAAAGATTAATAACTCTCATCACATGGGTTATTCTTTAAACGTAAAAGTACGCCTTTCAGAAGAAAATTGCAACATATAACAATTGTTTACCAACCAAGATCTAGACTGTGAATCAAACTCTTAGCCAATGAGAAGTATAGCAGGCGATTGGTATTCAACGTCACGGAATACCAACTTTGTGGCGCGCGATTCAAAACGGACGAAATAGCCGCAAACTAAAATCGATCTCACGCAATAAATATTTCTGTAAAAAACTTTTTTCTCTCGCGGAAAAATTGTTTTTTGACATGCTTGACCCAATTAGGCTGCTTAAAAAAAAAAACTTCTTTTTCTTTGCAGTTACTTTTTAAGGACCCCCCCCCCCCCCTTCCTTCCTTCCCCCTATGTAAAGCAAATGGTACAGGTCAATGCCCAATCATTCCTGGTGCATCTTCATAAAGGACTCCACTGGAACTACCAAAAGAGCTTGTGGTTCACATAATTTCATTTTATAGCACACCTGTATGACTACTATAATTGGACAGCTTCATGCATCACAAAATGAATCTACACAGCTGGTGTACACTTATTTAGTGTTCCTCTCCAATAATGCTGTGAGCAGACACCAAATATTTTAACGCACTGTGGAAAACACCCAAGTTAAGACAGGCTTCAAGAGCAGGACGTAACTTTAATGAAATTCCTTACTTTGTTATCTAGGAAATTTCTACTTGTGGACCTAGCAAGCCCGTGTATTTTATTCAATTACAGCAATGACTTATAAGTAAGGTTTCATGTTTCCTGAGTTTTCGTCAAATTTAAAGGGTGCTTTCTGAAGTTTATTTTTGGCTAAATGTTCAGAGTTTATTTTTGTTAATTTCCAATTCTCCTAAATTCAAAGTATAATTTCGCGATGTTTTATATTTTTCGCAAACAAAAATAAATAATATCTAGGCGTAAACGCGAGCTAGATTGAAGTGAATGCGCTAGTATCTTAATATTTCTTCGGCTGGATTTGGCGTTAGCCCTCTTACCACTGGCAATACCAATCTGTCTTACGACAAAGCTTGCAAACAAGTGTTGCTTCAATTAAATACCTTAAAATCACTAAACTCCTGAAGATAGTCATGAGGAAGCTTGTTTTCATCCCATTTTATTCCATTACCCTACTCCACGGCTCCAGAGGGTGGAGTGGTACAGGGTGTAATATAGAAGCTCTAACTGCCCCCCCCCCCCTTCCCTTTCCCCCTTCCATGAAGTCCCTTTCCCCCTTCCATAAAGGCCTTCGCAAAAACAGAACCCCTCCTTTCACTAAAAAACACAAACAGTATTGTCCAAACTGGAAATTGGAACAGTGGCTTTTGTCGTGACCCAAAAGTACAATAACCTGTCATTCTTAAAAAACCCTGACAAGATGAATAAAAAAAAGGAAGGTTAATGATTAGAGATTTGAAAGGATGAGGGGTGGCATTTTCTTAGGACCATGAACCCTGCGCTCTGACCAAATTTAACTGCAGAATAACCTTTTTTTTTTTTTGCCTGGGACCCTAAAATTTGCAGTTTATCGGATAAATCCGAATTGACTAACATTTTACCGGCGAGTGCTTTTGCAGTTTCTCAGATTTATCCGAAACCACGAAACCCTACTTATAATGGCAGTGCAAATTGTGGGAAATGGGCAAAGACTGAACTTTCAAGAAGAGGTATTTACTATAAAGGCATTTTAATGGTACATCAACGTTTGAATATAAGTTCTGGGTCTTAATGACAACAATGACGAAGCAAAAAAACTAAGCGCACCAATGCCGAAGCCCCAAAGGGGGCGGGAACCGAGCTCACCATTCTCCTCCGCCGAGCACGGGTGAGTCGTTCTGGGCGATGTGGTACAAGGCACTCATGGCGTTCATGTTGAAGTAGGGAGGCTTGCGCTCACCTGAAACAAGAACAGGGAATAGGCTGCAACGAAACCCCTAGGCAGCGGTTCGAGAGAAGCAAAAAGAAATGCGCTGTCCTCGTTGGAAAGAAAACAGTTCCACTAAGCGAGGGCATTTCGTGCTTCTTTCCTGAACATGCTTTTTCAATATTATATATAAAAAAAAACTCCTCTTTAAGATCAGCCGACAAGTCATTCAGTACCTCCCCCCCCCCCTCCAGATATTCGGCCGCTTTAGGCGACCAAAACTCTCCCATGGCTTTTTGAAAGCCCGTTCTGAACTAGTTTGAGGACATGAGCAGTGGTGGAACTGACGAGTAGTGATTTGGAGCAGCTCTTGCAACAGGGAACAATGAGTTTTGGAGGAGAGCTTCCCACTTTTGGAGCAGACAATTTTGAGCTCTCCATGTCAGAAAATTTTCTACAATCTCTTTGAAAGTTAACCAGTGGAACCACTACAGATATTTATTTATTTATTGAACAATCATACGCCGGTAATTCGGCAGATGTCTCAATTAACCTATTAGGAATACCGATGGCGTCTTCGGTCCGTGTTTGACGTAGAAAAGATGTTTTGGGCTATTTTGTAGGATTTGTATCAAGGGGATATAATGGTTGCGAGTTCGACGTCAAATAGACACTTTTGTGTTGAATGTGTCTCAAGCTGCCGTCGCTTGTATTCAACCTGCTACCGTTCACATACCAGCTAAGTGGAGCACGTAACTACTCTAACCGACCGACCACACAAGTAGCGCTACCTATTGATTGCGATCGGCGTGAGCACCATTCGCACAAAAAGTGTTAACTCTTCGTTAGGCATGTGTAAGTAATGGATTTTTGGTTCGAAGCAAATTCAAAGTGAATAGTGGTTTTGGCTGAATCTTTTTAATTGAATATTGAGTAGTTGCTGTGCCTTTCTCTATGCCTTTTCCACTGTTACACAATGCTCAAACAAAAACTCAGCTGAAGTCGGGAAGGTTGTTCCCAAGCTTCTACCTGCCCACTTATGAGCTCTGTAAAGTTTAATCTAACTATATTTATAGACTGTGACCTCAGAGAGTCCAATACCTATATTGAGATGGCAAGTAAATGACAGATTTGACGTAAAATTAAACCTATAAAAGAGCCTGGCCATACTTAACTGAGGGGGTTTATAAATCTTCTTGCTCTATGGAAATATTTTCTGCAATTCTGAATTCAAAAAACAAAGAAAAGAAAAAACAAGCACAAATAATGACCACAGGTTGTTAGAACATTGCTGTCCAACATTCCCTTGCATGATAGCCACAATTAAATTTTGAAAATTTTACTGCAATGTAAATATTAACCATGTTTCCCCCTTTTTTTTTTTATTACATCAGGCGTGCGCTGTGCCATACCACTTTGAAGTTGTGTCTTTCACCTATGTGCGGTGGTGCTGCGGCGAAGCGAGCCGCAAGATCGCAGTGTCAGCTCCGCGGGTATAGCTTCTCTGCAGTACACCGGTGCTTGAGGAGAAGCACACTCAAGGGGCTAACCCGCCGCGATCAACACTTCGAAAAGTACCAATATTGCAGTTCATTTTGAAGCGAATATCAAATAGCTTATTATTTGAAACTACTATTTGATATTACAAATATTTGCCCTACTCCAAAAAAAAGTACTTTCCCAATTTTCAGTGGCGTTGCCAAGAATGCCACGTGTTACACACTTCCAGTTTCCTCTTCGAGAACAGCTCCCTTTCGGTGCAGACATGGCACAATTTGTGCACAAATACGGCCTTTGGAGCAGCATGCAGCAGGCTATTCGTTCTGGTGAAGTGTGGCGCAGCAGTTCTATCACTTCATGAGCAGCAATGTCAAGTTTTAACTGCTTTGGTCTTCAGTTTGAATTCCCAACATCTCCCAACACAACTCCGGCAACAGACCTCCCCAAAAAATATGGAGGCCACACCCTTCTCATCTTTTTGATGCATAGTGGCCATGTGATACATGGTGCCCGAAGCGGGTTCAGCATTTTGCGACTTTAGAATGCAGAAGGAGGCACGACGATATCAGAACAAGGTACATATTACCACGCGCGTTGGCGAGCAAGCGCATGCGTGGCCAAGTGGTTACCGCACTTGAATGTCGCGCGAAAGGAGTAGGTTCGATTCCAGTTAGGGGACTGTCCTTTTATTTATTCTTTCAACTTGACCTTCTCATAAGTTCGAGAACATTCTCGTCTGATCAAGTTCGGAATGTTCTACGCACCGAAAATTCTACGACGAACGATCCAGAAACCCACGAGGGTACATTAGGGATTCCGCAAGGCGAGCGCAATCGGTCTTGCCCCAGCGTTCGACTCTGCTCTTACGCCGACCTCGACGCTTGCGACGCTCTGCTGTTGTCTTCTGTCTCCTTTTTATCTGGGCACAAGTTTGCCCCATTAAACATTGTTTACTCAGTTATTCGCCGCCTCATCACTTGTCATTCGTGACAATATCAATTCTGCAATCTCGTTTGCTTCGTTTTATGCTTGTTCTGAACTTGTAATGGTAAGAGCGAAGGGATCGCGCCACTTCCAGGATGCACGGTGAGTATGAATCGATCCCGGCAGACATCTGAGCAACCCTCCGTTTTGCAAGGTGATTTGCTGAGATGGGATTTTCTGGAGGGGTCTATCAATCTGACTTTCTCAATCCCAAGACGCTACAACAAGCCGTGTACAAGACGAGTGCCTGGCAGCCATGTGCCGGGGCCACTCACCCAGCTCGATGCAGGTAATGCCCAGGGACCAGACGTCCACCTTGCCGTCGTACTGGCCCTCGTCCATGGCCAGGATCACCTCGGGGGCCATCCAGTACGGGGTGCCCACAAACGAGTTGGCCGGGCAGATCATCGACGCTGACCCAAAGTCCGCTGAAACACCGACGGTGCAGGCATCAAGCAACCGGTACCCTATTTTTCAAAGCGATTAGCTCTCTTGTGTTATTCAGGACAACTTTGAGGTACATATTTCTAGGTGTTTACTTTCCCCGTTAAATTAAGCGAGAAAATGATGTCCCAAATGACGAAAATAATCATTGGAGAAGGGGAACAAGGGGGACAAAGAACAAACACAAATTTCCAAACACAGCTAGATGACTGGTGTGCAACCGAAAAAAACCGCTTGGTCCTGGTATCGAACCAGAGACCAGGCAGATTTTTTCGGTCATGCACCAGTCAGCTAGCTGCGTTTGGAGATTTGTGTTTGTCCTTTATCCCCCTGTTCCCCTCCTCCAGGAATTATTTTCATCATTCCTATCCAGCTTGCTTGCACCTTTTCATTAATTGCATTATCATGATGTCACAACTTTGTCGCGTGACTCATATAGAAATCCAGTTTCTTCACTAAATTTAGCATAAAAATTAGTATTATGTGACACAATGTCGTGTGACCCAAACAAGAATTCAGTTTCCTGCTAGATTTAGCGGGAAAATTGATGTCACATAACCTCAACACCAATCTAGTTTCCGTGCTTGATTTAGCGGGGAAAATGACGTCGCATGACTTTATTTCACGTGACAAATTGAGCTTCCCCGCTTAATTTAGAGGAAGAATTGACGCCACGTGACCTCAACAAAAATCCAGTTTTCCCGCTAAATTTAGCGAGCAAAATTGACGTCACATGACTTCATGTCATGTGACCAAAACGCAAATTCAGTTTCCCCACTAAATTTAGTGGCGAAAATGATGTCATATGACTTGATATCACTTGACCTCAACACCAATTCAGTTTCCCCAATAAATTTAGCAAGAAAATTGACACGTGACCTGCTGTGGGTCTTTCAATTATGTCTGCAGCTAATAGCTCAATTAGACAGCAACATAGTTGGCTTTGCCTGAATTTTTTTTCTTCTGGGCACAGCCAATGGGCAGAGTGCGATAATGGTTTGCTATGCTGTTGGACGATTGGACAATGATTGCGCTTGAGCACACCACATTATAATTTGAACACATTTGTGTTAGCCAAAACTGCCTGGATCACAAACTACAGGGCGATAGTTCTGGGAGCACGACAGAACAGCACATAGAAAACAGAACAGGTATTTTGCAATATTTTTATCCTTAGGCCAGTGTGCAAGGCTTTTACAATGGGCATACGAACCATTATTGGTTTACACTTCATTATTTCGCTGCAGACACTGGCAATTTAGAGGTCGGTAGATACGTCCGTATTCTCAATATATTGCCAAATGAATGATAATCACCGGGACCAAGTCAGACACATGCATGACGAAATACCTCGCAGCTAAATCCAATCGTGACACTGTGCGAGTTCATGAGGTCGTGATTAGCTGGTGCCTGCCCAGGTTTGTCCGTCTTTCCGTTGTGTTGTACGAGCCATTGAACATTTGGTTGTGCAGGTGTACAGCCCAACTTGGCCCCAGCGATTTTCACCCAATCGGAGCCACGAAAAAAAAGGAATTCTGCGAAGGGCGCCTTTTCACGGTCCTCGATGAGCTGAAGCAGCTATCCAGACGTGTGTATGAAACACTACTAAAAAGTGGCTTTGACAGGGTATAGATATGCTGCCACACTGACTGCACAGGTGCATTCAGCTCCAGGGGTATATGCAGTGAAAGCGGACATGCCTACCGGCTTTAAGTGACAGGTGGCTATTGAAAAACAATTGCCGTAATATACCGAGAGATGCCCCACCCCCATTGTTGGCTTGATCTACTATTTCCTTTTAAACAATGAAAGACAGCCCACTCCTAGTAGCCGTAGAGTGCAGATCAATACTAACACCGGCGTAAATGTGGCTAGTTAGCTATGGCGGCATATAAGCGAACATTGCTGACTGGGAAGTAGTCTTCTTTACTTATTGTCCCTCGCCGCGATAACAAGTTTGGCAGGAAAACATGGTCTAAAACCAGCTTTCTTACAACTTTTCTTGACTGTACACCGAAAGTTAGCCCACTCCTTAGTTTTGCCCAGTTTGCTTACGCCCCTCGTAAATGTTGGCCTACAATACGGCCTTTTCCGAGCATCGGCAATGCCAATGCTTAAACGAGCTAACAAGGCGTCACTCTGCCTCAAAAAAGCACCCCGTTGACCAGACAAGGCGGAAAAAAAGGGAGGGGAGGGGGGGCAACGCACCCAGCTTGACGGTGCCGTTCTCCGTGAGCAGGATGTTGCCAGCCTTGACGTCCCTGTGGATCCTCCCCAGGGAGTGCAGGTACTCCAGGCCCTGCAGCCCGTCCTTGCAGATGGCCGAGATCTCGTCCTCACGCAGGGGTTTCTTGTGCACTGCGGCGAGCCGTGGGCTCAATGACGCTCCACGGGCAACCGGGGCGGGGACACTCACCTTCAATGATGTCGGATGCCGACCCCAAACAGTACTCCATGACCAGCTGCGTGAGAAAGACGGGAATACAATAGTTTACATCAGGGATTCCTGGGAACCTAGTGGTTCCCCAAATGGGTTCCCAGAGCTTTTGTTTCTCGACCGTCCCTGCCTCTACGTATTTTTCAGTTCGACCCCTTAAGCGGGGAGTGTTTTTTAGGTGCACATCACACCTTAGAAATTCTTTTGTCACTCAAAAATAAAAAAAGATAATTATTTTCGCACAAAACATTTGAAATGGTTTATTTAATGCGAAGAAAAAACATGTAGCATCTCGTTGCACTAAAGTACAGAGAAAGGAAGATGCTGTTCCCTTTTACACGTTTGACATCGTATGGTAGGTCGTGTAGACGAGCATTTCATAAACAAATTTCGGAAAAAAAAAAAACATAATGCCAGGCTTGACTCGTAAGTATATCTGAAGTTTCACTGCCACTGAGCATATACTCGTTTCCAAGAAATCGTCCCTTCTTTGCCGAAGCAACGTCGCGATTTCCGCGCCTGTTAAAACTTTTTGACGCGTTTGAGCATCCACGATCCAGAACGGGGACAGGAAGACATATTTCCTGACAAAGCAATTATATCCTTTCACCAGCCAGCGAACGCAAATGAACCTAAATGTGTTTCGTAGTGCCTTTGATAGATGGCAGCACCTCAAACCTCAATAAAAAATCGCCATGCGTTTTACGACATGCTTTCTCCGTTTAAAATATGTGTCGCTCGTCATTTCAAGGTCAAAATAAAGGCACGTCCAAAGGTGCGCTACCCAGATAAGGGGTTAAGCACTATTTTAGCATGACCGGGCCTCCCATCGATGAGCAACTAGGAGCCAAACACTCCCCATACATTTATTATTGTTTACAAGACCCGTACGCTTCTGTACTGCTTTAGTTCGTCAATGCTGAGACCAAGAGAGGTGTCTCAGCTGCCGTCCAAGGCAGATATGAGTTCCACCAAGTCGAAAAGCTGGAGAACCCCAAAGTACTTTTACCCATGTCTCCTTTCTTTGTTGGGCTCGCTGCCCCACCCAAAACCAGACAACTCCGTACCAAATGCTTTTGCTTATGCTGTGTCAAGGTTCCACCTGCCGTAATACCAAACCAATGAGCTGCTAGTGCAAGGTTAGCATAGTGAGGGGTGCGAACCATCCAATTGACGAGGTGTGCAATTCAGACACAAAGCGTTATTAATGCCCAAGAGCCATTGTGCAAGAACACAACCAACCACATTTCAAGGTCGCTGAATGTAATCAGGGTACTACACACCGCAGGGGCTCTCCAGCAGCATATTTGCACTTATGCAATCCCAAGAAATCTTTGTCCCGAATTACAACAAAAGTAAGTGACAAAAGCGGGTTTGTCACTTATGTGATGGACCTGCTTCCACTTCCACCACAAGCATTGGTGGAAACGGGTTTGAAAGTTTATGTGCTAGAGATCGCCAATAACTTCCACGGCGTTGCAAGGTAATCGATGAGCACAATATTTGCCAACTGCCGAAGAAATTCTTTTTGTTTGGCCCTCACCCCCCATTTTTATCAACTTTTTCTCGGAGCTATCAAAAAGCTACGCCCACCGCGTCAAATGCCAAATAAACGGTCGATGCAAACGAAATTACATCTTTCGCACACAATACAGAACTTGGCTCTGTTACCGAGTCGGAGCCACAAAGTCTCCATCTCACTCGTATGAACAAAATGTACAACACGCTGAAGAGTTGTGTTACCACGTTGTGACACCCAGCCTCCCCCGTACAGTTCAGTACCGGCAACATAATTTCTCGGCAGCCTCAGCCTGTCTGTATGGCCTCTTCAAAACTCTGCCACAACTCGGCAACAACCAAAGACCGCGGGAAGCGAGAGGTCCGGCGAGGTGCTCCCCTTTCCAAACAAGCGGGCCCCCACTCACCCAGGCAGTGTGCTCCTTAAGGTAACAGCCCTTGTAGTCTATAGTGTTCTTGTGCTTCAACTGACGCAGGAACTTCACTTCTTTGACGATGTCTTGCCATTTCTGGGGGGAGGAGAGAGGCAAGTTGGTCACACTCCATGCACCGACAGGGCCGCACGACGAGCCTCACCTCTGTTGACTGCTTGCCCGTAAAGGACATTTTCTTTATGGCCACAACTTCTTTGGACGTGAGGTTACGGGCCTGCAGACAGACAATGCTACGGTTAACGGACCGCAACAACAAGACTAGGCTGCAGAAAGCACACTGCAGCAAGAACTGGGTAACTATGTACAATCAAATTTGACAACAAAAAAAGGCATCTAATTTGGAGCACACGTCGAGACGGCTGACAACGAACCACTTTGCTTTCCATTTTTTTAGCTCTCCTCTGGTTTGCAATTAAGCTTGCACAAACTTGTGCCTTCGACAGTTTTTTTTTTGAATGAGGCAAGAGAAAGGGATTTAACAAAGCATTTACAAAGTTTAGGATACAAATTATTCATACCATGGCTATACTTTATTTGAAGCAGTGTGGGGAGCCAATCGCCCTATGATAGATAACCCCGACAAATGTCCCTAGCATAATTATTCATTTTTCTTCTACGGTTTCGGCATACTACCTCTTTTTATAGAATCCTCTATTTTATGCAACACCGATTCTCCGGCAGACTCTTCATGCTTTTGATGAACACGAATAAGAATAAGCAGAATGTGCAAAAAATGTTGGTCTCCACCTTCACAGAAGCTCAGTTACCAAATGTATAATTTGCTAAACAATGCAATATCCTGTAAAAAAACAAAAAAGTCACATTTTTGTTTGGTGTTTTTCTCCTTGACTCCGAAACCAAACTCAATGGGAAGAAACAGAAATAAAATTGCAAGCTGCTACACAGAATGCAAAAACGACGACCACACCGGTGCAAATGCAAACTTTCCATTTCTTTGTAAGCTTCGTAACTGGCCAGTGTGCACAATCCAAATCTAGCAGCAACTTACTAAGAAAATGCCCACAATAATCATCTCGCAATCTCAAGTGGGCGCCTCCACAGTATTTCCGGGCATGTAGCAAAATCTCACAAAAGGTTTGACCCGAGAGGAGGACAGAGTACACCGAAATGTTGGCTCCTGCCCGTCCCGCTTCCCCAGTCTCGACTTTATCTATGCAACAGACCCCCTCCGAAATTCACTCTGGCCTCCTTGAACACTACCGTCATCTGAGGCACGGCATCCGTGCTGCACTAATAGTGGCCCTTTGGCGACTGACGATGCAAGAAGTTAGTAGATGTTCGAGAAACGATTAGGCAGGTGATGCGAGGTCTGCACATTCGAGACACCATACTACGTTTCACTTTGCCGCGGCCGACGCTAGGATTCGATGAAGTCAATTAGCCGGTGCCAAAAGTGCATTGTCACAGTGCTCGTTGTCTTTGTGTATCTGCTGCCACCAGCTTTTTCTGCGCGCCACTGGTCTGGCCAGGGGCAACAAACGCACTAAGACGATGCACTGTTGGCGCAGATGGCCGGCTACACCAAATCATAGTGACGGTTGTGATCGGACCTAGCGTGCAAAGGAGTATGGTATACACAAATTTAATAATACGAGGGCTGCTCATGCATTCGTTTCGACCTTGGGTTCCATTAAGCTGTTGGTGGCACGCAACAAGCTTCAGAGGTGAGCGCTCCCCCCGAACCGGTTGCATTTTTGTCGCTGTCGAAACTGAGAACGACAGAGAAGCACGTGCTCCGTGAAGAACAGATTCTCGTCTCTGTCGTTGACTCGCGAAGGCGACCGTGCCTCCCACACTGACGTTCTTATCACTGCCATTAGTACGGTGAGAGGTAAAACTTCCATCTTGGCCACCAGATGGCACTAAACTTTGGAGGAGGTTCGGGTGTCTCGAAACCGGCGCCACTCCTGGCGTGGAGGCACGTATTAACCAACGTCAAGAAGTCAATATAATGCAACAAGGCCACATTAGATGCTGCCGCTTTGCAGTGCGTGGATGTAGTTCACGAGAAAAAAAGCGGCATTTTTGGGGGTAATTTGATAAACATTGACCCAAGATGACGACGAGCCCGGCCGAAAGATTGACCCGACGTTGTGGGTGTCTCCACCCAGGACGTGACGCTGGCATGGAGGCACCCTGAAGAGAGAGCCCGTCACGGGACAACGCGGAAATGAAAAGCCTTCACCGAACGGAGAGAGAGGAAAAAGGGAGGAGCACTCACGTAGTAGACGGCCCCGAAGCTTCCATGGCCGATCTCTCGGAGGTCGACGAAGATCTTTTCGGGGTCCTCGCGGTCAAAGAGCTCGGCCAGCTCGGGGTCCTTGAGGTTCCCCAGCCGCGTGAAGGACGGCATCTCGCCGACGCTGTGCCCCCCGGCGGGGACCTGCCCCGCTACCTCGGGGGCTGGCGAGACACTAGCGGCCCCCTCTCCCGGCTCCCTGAGGGAACCCCCATGCGCCTGGCGCACTGCACGGGTCACGAGGGAAAGGAAGGGCGTCTCGTAAGATGCTCTGCCACAAGGGTTAAAGGGGCACTGACACATCAAAATAATTTTTTTTTATTACCCGAAACGATTGAAAACGATTCCGGGACATTACCCTCAAAATTTGAAACTTGGGAATTCAGTATTTGTGAAGTAAATAACCATTTCCAAATTCCGAATTCGAAGTTCCCGCATGATCCGCGCCGGTGCGTCGACGTCAAATATTGCGGAGTCCTGAGAGTCCACTTTCTTTCACGAATCCGTCCTGTTGCCATTGCGACCGAAAGTGAGGAGGAAAGGAGCGAGTGCCGGCGCACCAAAAAAAGGAACGGTTTTGAGTGGTGTCGCCTGTTTTCCGAGGGAGGATACAAATCCAGGAGGCGGCACCACAACAGACTCCATTTTTGGTATTGCAAAAAGAAGGGCTGTAGTGCGTTTGCAATTGCATTAAAAAACATGTTTTACGATTGCCGTTATTAAATGTTGTAGAAATGTCGCCTACAAAGCTTCTAAATTTCATGATTCTTGACGTCACAAATCAAAAGAAGCGAGAAGGTGAAAAGCGGGAGAGGAGGACAACAAAAATAAAAAGGGACGCGCGCGCGCAAAAAAATTATTTTTCGCGATGCATTTTTTTTTTTTGCATGACTATGACTACAACGTACATCGTTTTAGACAATAAAAAAAAAAAACGACCCTTGGGGTGTCAGTTCTCCTTTAAAGGGGAGAGAGGGGCACAGAAAATCATAGGCACTGACATTGGTGGTCCCAAAACAATAAAAGAAAAGACAGAAAAAAAAATCAGATTATACGGCATGCAAGCATGTCTGCTCCTTGCACACCTTGTGCGTTTATTTACTTGCCAAATGCGCCCACATACTATTTTTGCTTCCCCTACCGACCTGAATTAATGACATCGCACACTCTACGTTGCCCTTTGATTGGCGTACCCCTCCTTAAATTTCGGTGCACCGAAGACGCATTTTGGAACACTTGCTCACCATATACCGCAAAATATCGGGCAAGCACCCACTCAAAATTTTTAGATAATCGCGAAAAAATGGGACATGGGCACTTGTCCGGTCATAAATTTTACATATAAATGTAGCGTATTTTCGCAGATCTTACGAATTTGGGAATGGGCGCTTAGTGTGGGATGGGCAGATGCTCGGTATTCTACGGTAGGTTAGACGCTTGTTTTGCCGCAATGTCTTAAAAGTTACGCTACTGCGTGTTAACTTTAGCTTATACTGCACAAGATGCTGGTGTTTTTTTAACGACATAAAGCTAAAAAGAACCAGACACCAATCTTGCTAGTGATGCTATTTATTTCTTTTTTGAGTTTATTAAAGACTCGCTAGCAAGCAGGGCACCTAGGACAACATAAGTCTGCATCTATGCTCTTCCCTTTTAAAGTGGTCCAAGTGCATGGATGATGGCAGACCCCTTCCTCTACACTTATTGTATAAACTCTATTTTCTCCCAGAGCCTGGAAAAGAGCCCACACGGGGTAATTCACGGTGCCCATAGTACGGTCATGCAAAGAGTTACCAGCCTTCCTGCCCCTGGGTTTGTTTCCTTGATTAAACTTGTTGATGAGTCGGTAAGCATCAGGTCTAATCAATTCCCTGTTCACTACCATCTTCCACAAAACTGCTGTCTGGGTTCTGCAACTTAGCTAAGCAGAGCTTCCAAAATATGAAAAGGTCACCTTCGAAAAGGGCCTATGCGCTTTTTGCATTGCTGCACCTGTCACATTTCCAGTCTTGTGACTTGCATGTCACCAAACAAAGATAACTGAATACAACACTGCAGGTCGAAAGGTGCTTGATAAGATTAGCTGATTACCAGACGCCAAAAATAAACAAACGATTACTATTTTGTCAAGTCGAAGAACTATATCAGAGCTCGGCGTTCTATTTACATTATACCGTAAAATACCGAGCATGAAAAAATATGCACAGTACAAATATATGCAAAACTGATAACCTAACAAGCACCCACCCCCCACTTTTTGGGAATCATCTTCAAATTTTGAGTGGGCACTTGCTCGGTACTTTACAACAATTACACAATAGCCTACAAAAGCAATAGATCACTAACATTCCAGTCACTTCCAACCTTTGGAACCCAGGGGTCCGAAAGGTTGGAAAGCACCTAATTTGTTACACCAAAAAAAAATTAGGAAGCATACCAAAGTCCTGAATATTGCCCTTCCCATTCTATAATAGCTGGGACTAACTTAGATTTTGACAATAAGGATCTTTTTGCTACGATACATTCTTTAGAAATAGGTGGTTCTCGTGTACACGCCAAAAGAATGCATATAGCAATTGTCCAAAAATGTTACTTACGTTACATCACTCAGCATATTTGAAGCAATGCAGAAGGGAAAGCTGAAACATAAGACAGGGTGGAAGGAACGACAACTCAGTAACCACTCGACCACCAACCTGAATTTACTCAAGCCTCATTTTCTTACAGCTCATCCAATTCCTCGCCCTTCCTAACGGGAAGTGAGTGGAACGAACATCTATTGAAATTTTCCGGCGGTTACGCTTCGGTAGGGTCACGCTTCCTAACAAATCTGGTAGAAACATTATTTTACAGATAGAATGCACAAGAAGTAGCTTAAAGTTTTTACGAAAAATGACCATTCAAAAGTGGTTGTTAAATCTCATAAACACACATCTGTCATTCCTACTCCTACTCAACATGCATGTTTGCAATCTTTTTAAACAAGCTCCACAACTTCTTCAAGGGCAACCAAGGAGAGAAGAAAAAGTGCTTTAAAACTTTTTCCAGTGTGGCACAGAGCACCATTACCGGCGAGATAAAACAATCGTACGCTTATGGTAACCAACAAACACCTAGTCCATAGAATGAAACAGCTATTGTAATTAAAAAGCGGTTCTGGCATGGAGGTTGCAATAAATCTGGTTAATGAGCACAACTCATACTTCTGGAAAATGAATGACTGAAGGGGTTAGCAAGTCGACCTTTGTTCCTAAATAAACTAAACATATCTTCGCGATAGAAGCGATTTAGAAAATGCGAGAGACGAAAACTACGATGCTAATTTGGCAGTCAGGGAACTGTCACATTCAGGCAGACGGTTGTTTGAGCCCTAAAAACCAACGAAATACAAAGGTATATTTCTAAGAACATCTGCTAGGTCAATCGCTGAAAGGTATTTTGTAGAGAAATAACAAACAAACAAAAAAGAAAAAAGAGGACGTCATTTGAGAGAAAACTTTGCTTCACGCTTCACTGCGATACATGTCTACGACCACCTCGCAAAAAAAATACACGCCCGTCCACGAAACGTGACACACAAGATAGAAATGTTGACGGGACCTCATACCGTTAGGACGAATTTCTCGCGCAATCGGAACGATCTTCAACCTGAGTTGCCTTCACCGAGACGACGATCTGAAGGCGTCGCTACAAAGCGCGAAGCAATAACTGTGGTCTCATGAAAGAACAAAGGCGATCACGGAGGCAAATATGTCGGCTATTCGCGAGCAAAACCGACGGACTACGCAATCGCCTCGCCTCCAAAGCACTAACTAAACGAGCAGAAATAGAAGTTTGGAGGCGAACGCGTGAGCAATTAGCACTTACAAAGGCACCTCAATACACACAGTCCGTCAAAGAACCTTACGAGGTGGATCGGACTCTCGCCCACGCATCCTGCTCGGAATTTCGATTTTTTTCGAAATAATTGAGTCACAAAATACGCGGAACACATCGCCCGCATTGCCAGATTCGAAGGAATGGGACGAAATGTGCGATTGTTTCGGCAGACTGCCGAGAGGCTCGGCCCAACAGAACCCATTTTCTCCGCGAGATCGGACGACTGAGTCGCGATGTATCCGACGTAAGGACGGAACCAAGAACGATTACGATTTCTGCAGTGAGAGGAATGCACGCTGATCGCACAGGCACAGCTTTCCGAGCCGAGCACGGAGAAAAGCTTCGCCCCAAGCCCGCCCTAGCGCATTTTAAGCCTAGACGGGGCATTCAACCGCCGGATGTGAATCAAACTAGGGAAGTCGCGCGATCGACACTCGAAATCGTGCTGCGACGATCGGGGCTTACTTACAATGCACGCGTGTTTTCTTTTTCCTTGCGAGCACTCGACGTTTGAGCCTCGATCTCGCCCAAAAAGACGCCCTTGCGAAGGAACTCACTTCAAAGATGGCGTTCTGTTGACATGCGCACTTGGGAACCTCGGAGGAAGCGGCAGAAGCGGTCGGGAGGTCTAGCTCGAAAGAGTTACGGAAACAAAAAAGGCTTCGTGGGGCATTTGTATTTTTTTAAACAAGCAGACGCCCCACACCATTGTGTATTGCTAAGCAAACTTAAATAGGATGTCCCAAACTATTTCTTGCCCTGCTCCCATAGAGACTTCTGGCTGTGCCGAGCTGAAGACATTGACAAAATTTCATTGGTCGAAAGTGATAAAAGAAAAAAAAAAAGTTGGGCATGGCCGTTTGTGACTTTTCTTTGCTAAGCTCAAAACGGAACACTGGCGCTTTTTGTTCGATGTTGAAATACACAGATATTATCCGATTCGCAAATTAAACAATAAAATAAATAAAAAGGTTTTATTTTTGCTTAGTTAGAGAGTGACGGAGTGAAAAGAAAATCATTTCAACGTTAAGAATACCATAGAGTTATTATAATGTACGCTAGAGGTTCAAGTGGCGCTAGTGTGCTGACGCAAATTGAAGCAGACAGCAACCAGTCGAAAATTGACTTCCGGTAATGCATTTCTATGGGAAAAAATGAGTGCATTTTCTGCCTGCGCTCGATCATAAGAGCAAATAACCCAAATAATTCATACGTACTAGGTAGTTTGGAACATTTCTCAGTCAGGCCAACGAAAGAATTGGTCAGTTACGGCGTTTTTCTTTCGAATTCATCGCATTAAAAACGGTGCTAAAACGGCTTCGTACGTGTATTTATGTGCACTGTCGGACACTGTTAAGGCTCTGTTATACTCCGACGTAACGCATGCGCGCGCGCGAGCGCGTCACAGCGACGTCACGTCGGCGAAAACCCGACGCTCTATACTCCGGCGTCGTGGCGTAACCGGCGCGACCGGCGGCGTTCGACGCAGCCTGACCGCCTCGACGCCAAAATGGAGCATGCTGTATTCCGCGCCGGCCGCGCCAGCGACGCCGGACCAGGATGCATCACGCGCTGGCTCCCGGTAGCCCTCGCGGCGAATACGAGCAATAGCAGACGACGGGAGCACCACTCCGTGCGGCGTCATGTTTGAAGAATCGGACGTCTCGGTCGTCGAGAAGCTGATCGAGGGAATTCGTCCTCACCCGTGTGTCTACGACACCAAGAAGCTTGAGTACCGTAGACCGTGCGCTTGTCAAAGATGTACCGTATGTACATTGACCGCCTACGCTTGCGGGGCAGGCGGTGCACCAACAGTGCAAGCGCGAGTTTTCGTCGTGCAAGGTACGTCCAAGCCATCGCTCGACCTTAGAGCTCAAGATGCGCGAGAATTCTCGTCTGCTATTCGAAACGAAAAGGAACCGGAAATGGCGCACTCTCGCAGGAAACGCGCCCTCGTAGCCAGATTCTGCGCATGCGCCGCGCTGGCGGCTCACCGACGCGCGCCGCGGAAGTCGCCAGGGCCGCCCGCGCGGCGTGACTGACGTGACGTAGCCAACTTCGGCCAGCGTTCGCTTGCGCGCGCGTTACGTCGGAGTATAACAGAGCCTTTAGCGCGAACGCGGCGTCGGCGATTTCCAGCATGGGGGATATACATGCCAACCGAACGAAGCACATCTGGAAAATCAAGAGCGGCGGCAAGAACTGCGCAGTAACACCGGATCAGTAACTCGCAGTGCATGTACGATCAAAATAAATTGAAGGCCACGTAATCTATTCCGATTTTAAATAAGTAAGTACCGCTTTATTCTTTCTGCCCTGAGCGAAGCTGCTTGTTCTACGTTCAAAATATCACCCGCGCGCTCGATATCTTTGAGAACAAGTGCGCGAAAAAAGCTGCCCGGCAGAGAAAACAATACGAAGAGACACCTTTCATAGCCCACGGACTTTATTATCTACGTTTTGAAGGTTTTTATCCCCTCATGCACGACGGGATCATTTTCATATAGTGACAGGACTGGCATATTGTCAATATACAATCGTCACCGGAATGCTGGCGAGCCTTGAACCCACTCTATATTCGTTTCGATTGTAATTTTGCTTTGAATCGTCTCTTGTTTTTACACACCTGCTGCGGAACACACGTTCGGGACTGAAATGTAGCGAAGTTCAAATATCGTTCACTGATGAAGAAAAATGCGCTAACTAAAGCAATTACACTTATACAGTGTTAATCAAGGTACATGCTATTTGGTGCGACCCAAATAACCAAAGTGTTCCGTGTTATTTTCCGGCGAAGAGACAAAATGCACGCGCGTTTTCCCATAAGAATGCACAGGAGCACCGCAAAAGTAGACTGGTTGCTGTCTGCTTCAATTTGCGTCACGGAAGTCGCGTAGACACTAGCGCCAGTTGAACCTCTAGCGTACATTATAATAACTCTATGAAGAATACAGGCTCGGGGGAAAACAAAATTGAAAGCTGGGAATACTGGCTAGGTGACGCAAGCCACCGCCCAATTCAAAGCAATCATTCGCATAAATTTGTTTGTCCACCTAAATAGTAAAAGTGCCCAAAAGTGCGCAACTTTTAGAACTAAGTTTAGTTTTCGACAACGAAACGTAAATGAAATATAAATATTTAATTTAGCTAGGATTGTTTAACACTGTGCTTTTTTTACGTAGGGGGGATGGCCTCGTTTCACGGCTAGGGTGACCACCCGTCCCGCGACTCGCGGGACTGTCTCGCATTGAGGGCTCGTGTCCCGCGTCCCGCAAGAAATTTTCAAATCTTCAAAATGTCCCGCATTTCACACTGTAGTAAAATTCACTCTGCAACTCATGGCGCTGCCGAACAACGGGGCACGGGCAAGCGCGGATGTCTCTAGTAATCGTGTGAATCGCAATAGTACACCATTTTCTATCCAAGCATTGTGGAAAGCAACCGTCGTAGGGTTGTGCGAATACTGGTTCGAATCGAATAGCGCAGTGTCATTCCTAGCTTCTGCACTGGTGAAAGGAACGGTCGTCTTGGCTTTCCCTTACACTGTCAAGGCTATGAATGACACAGCGCTATTCGATTCGGACCACTATTCGCACAACCCTAAACCGTCGTTCTTGCAGGAGAACCGACGCGCATGCTCCGCTGCGCCTCTCCCCTTGGCAAAATATTCTAAGAAGAATTGCTCACCAAAAGTTTCAATAAAAATATTGTAATTATTTTGAAATCACTGTGTCAACGCGAAAGGTTGCTGTGGATTTTTCTTTTAGTGAAGGCAGCCATACAAGGCAAAGAGCCTACAACTCGCAACGGTCGAAAAATAATATAATGTTAAAATTTTATGTAGGGCCATGTTGATAAAAGTAAGCGTTGACAGGAAACAATAACCCGAAAAAGATTTACTGTTTCTTATTTCCAGTTGATGCATTGAATTCTGCTACAGTCGATTTTTATATTTTCCACTTCGACACATAAATAATACATTAGGCATAAAAGATATATCACTGGAAGTGAAAATTAATTGAGCTTAATGGGCGCAATACAATTAGCAGGTGTATAAACAGCACAGGATATTAAATGTGTTAAGAGGGGGCGCACCTCAGAGCCCCATAGAGAATACATGAGGTTTTTCACCAAATTAAAAAAATTCTCACATAATAACGGCTGCGCGGATCTTCTTGAAAATTTCGGCTTTAAAGACATTGAGTCATTATCGAGTCACTAAACGCAACAGATGTTTCGTCATAAATTTAATTATATTCTTTAAAAAAATCATGAAAATGGTCAAAATCGGCTAATTCGGCACTCTTGCGTTCGGAGCGAATTTACAAAATTATCTAAATTCAAACATAAGAAGAATTGCGTTTAATGTCTTCTAAATTTATTACGGAATCGAATAATATTCAAATTATTCATGTAAGTCGATTTGTTCCGTAACTACAGCAAATATAAAGAACCAAGGTGTCGGTGCTTGTTTTCGTCGTTTTTAAGGTACCTCTCTCTCCCGTGCGGTGGCGCTCGCTGTCCACGAAATGCGAAATCGTCCGTTCGGAGATCGGCCGGATCGGCACTGTGCGAGGTGTTCTTCCGCGGCCGTGTTCCGCGCCCGTATCCTGTTTCATTCTGCACGCCGAGGCGTCAGTGTGCGTGTCTTGCTTTCCTGGTTCTCGCTGGGTAGGTCTCCGTGTTTTCGCAAGTGGCAAATTCACCTTGGAGCTATGGGTCGAAGACAACCGTCCTGTGGCAAGCGGACCGCGAGGTGTTCCACAACCTCGCGGTCCGTCAACGCGTTGTGCTTGTTTCTACTTTTTTTTTTTTTCTTTTAAAAACGGGCTTTTTTTTTTTGACGCAAAGTTTTATTTTATCGTTATCCTTCACACAAACGTCCTTCGGCCTTGGGGTCGTGGAAATTGGGGATGAAGCGTGCACAGAGTAGATCGTTGTTTGCCTCCTTTTTATTTTTCACGGACGTCCTGTGACCTCCGTACGGTTCGTGGTCACCACAATCTAACGCGGGGAGAAACGGGTCGCCTGCTCTGTAGTCAGGGTATTCCTAGGGGAGGGTGATAACTCGCTGTTCTTCTGGAAATTCACATATCACCCAAAAAGGTGACATGGGTAATGATTACGGTATGTTTTTTTTTCGGTGTTTATTTTTGAGCGAAAATCGGTGCATGTTTTTCGGTGCTTATTTTTTAATCACCAGTGTATTATGGGTTGAACGTCTTGTGATGACGCTAAAAAGCGTTGATAACCAAAGAAAAATGCGATTGGACAAGAACATTTCAAATTTCCAATTCTATTCACACATCCATTACGCTCTTCTCGTGGGAGCATCTATCCTGACGAAAAATGCCAAAGTCATTGAGCTGTGAACGCATACTCAGTGTACAATCTTTCGGCCTAGAGAGGTATTGCGCACGCTCGAACGCGCTTCACAGCCCAGTAGACGAAGTTGGTGGCACCCAGAAGGCGAGTTCTTGAATGGTCTGTAGTAGGCAAAAGAAACAAATAACAATCAACGCATATCAGCTCTTCAAGCGAAGAAGCGCGTTTCTAAGGTCAATGGTTCCGGACGGCACTAATGTTGTTGGCGTTGTCGTAAGATGACGTCAGTTCATACGAACTGACGTCATCTTACGTGATGACGTGACACAAACACGTCCTCTTACATTATCTCGTTACACGAAATGACGTCATCTTACGTGATCACGCTGCACGAAATGACGCCATCTTACGTGACCACGTAACACGTCATCTTGTAAGTCAACCTCTCCACACAGCAGCGCTTTCCGGGCCCGTGCAGTGCTGTAGTCGAAAGCA